TCAGTCCAAGAGGTCAGTCGTCAGTCGTACTTTTTTCTTTTTCACTTCTCTGAGCAGTTTTGATGGGCGCGTCCGTCAATCGTCCGAGTGAGTCAGATTGGCTCAGATACAGCATGCAGTTTTCAATCGAAGAGGAACTTATTTAGGTCTATTGACTCTGCATGCAGGGAAAAGAAGCGAAGTGTTCTCCCAAAGGAGCGGTAATGACACTACTCCTTCGCATTTTGGCATGCAAAAATCTAGTCATATCGGTAAAGGCACAGCTCAGGAGTGGTTTGTGCAGTTTCTTCACTTATTGGACCGGCTGAGCAGTCTTGGACAATACTACATACAATTTCAGGCTTGGCTCCCTGCCCCAAAAGTACTCACAAATTAAACTGAAACTACTTCGAAACAACAAGCAATATAAAACCAAATGACGACAGCTACAATGATGCCTGTTGATATCTGCAAATACCTAGTAAACCTAGAGCTTATCGTATTGGAACGAGAGCAACAACGACGAGCAATTCTAGCAGCCGCCGCATTTCAGCACAATCAATCGCACAATCTCCATCAGCATCAACAGCACAAGGTCAAACTACCACTGCACAAGATGGACAAACACCACAACGCAAACAACAACATGATACTGCCAGTATTCCCACCATCATCGTTTTTGCAACATGAGATGGAAAAGGACAGCGAACTCAACAAAGTGCTCAACCGCATGACCCGATCGGTCAGTACGGAATCGTCTCTGTCCAGATGCTCTTCCAAATCATATTCCAACAAGCTTGATCATGTGCAACCGTTATCCAACATTTCCAATCCACAACAACAGCTTGACAGCGATTTCGATGGCGATTCCCAACCACCCGCCGCCAAACGTGCCAAGCACAAGGACGTCCGATGGCTCTCCAACCTCGAACAACTCCGAGAATACAAGGAACAGCATGGTGATTGTGTGGTCCCACGTGGTTTCAGTGGCAATCCAAGACTTGCCAGCTGGGTCGCCGAACAACGCAAGCAGCGAAAACTGTTGATGGATGGAAAGCAAAGCAGCATGATTCCAGGACGCATTCGCCTATTGGATGACCTTGGCTTTGTTTGGAACGCTCAAGAGGCAGCATGGGATCGTCAATTGACAGACCTCAAGGCCTTTCAAGCCAAGTATGGACACTGCCTAGTCACGGTTGGCCATGCGGAATACCCCAAGCTTGGGTCCTGGGTCAAGGAACAACGCCGTCACCATGTGTTGATGGAACAAGGAAAGGCCTCCAACATGTCGGCTGAACGAGCTGCCAAGCTCGATGCTGTTGGCTTTTGCTGGAACACACATCAAGCTCTTTGGTTGGAACGCTTTCACGAACTCGATGAATACAAAAAGTTGCATGGCCATTCGGTAGTCCCCACCAAATGCCAAGAGAACCAACGTCTTGGCACATGGGTCCACCACCAACGTCGCGAATACAAGAAATATCAACTTGGAAAGCCAAGTCACATGACTGCGGAACGAATTGAAGCGCTAGAATCATTGGACTTTGTTTGGTACCCACGAGACAACAGCAATGATACTAGCAGCAGCACAAAAAGTTGTGGTGGTGAACGCCCTTCTTCCCCATGTGGATCAATCCTATCTACATCCTCGGCATCAATGTCGTCATCATCAAGTTGTGGCAAGAGAAAGAGATAAAATAAATCCTAATAGTAAAACATATGTTGTAAACTCTGTCATCCTTTTTAAAGGATATTTTTATCATATTTTTACTTTAGACTGCGCAACCTGAAAAAACGTACACACTACCGGTACCAGGTACAGAACCACCACTTGATCGATGATTGGTGGTTTGACGTGCGTTTTGGGAATCCGGAATCGTGCATACACATTTTGAAGTTCCCAAGCAACACAAACAGAAAAATGATAAACATGATCCAAGAATTCCGTCTCAACGAAATTTGAAAACTCTCAATCTCGTCGGGAGAACGTCAACAAACAAACAAAAACACAACTCCGTGTGCTGGCCGCAACCAGAAGCAATAGCTGTCAAGATCCTCCTAGTCTAGTCACAGCCTTCGATTGTACTAGTCATCATGGACGACATTAGTGAGACAATTCGCAACATGTGCGGCCTTCCTGGCGACGATAAAGTCGTCATTGACAACATTTTGGCAGACGCCAACAATGACAAGACCTTCTTGGATTACTTTCAAGAAAACGTGAAGCTTGTAGCCGACCAAACCTTTCTGACGCAGCCCATGGGAAAGAACATCGTCATGGAATGGACCTACGCAGAAGTTCTGACGGAAGCGAAGAGGGTCGCAGCTTATATTCAGAGCTTGGAACTACCGGAACGATCTCAGATTGCCATTTTATCCAAGAATTGCGCCTGGTGGGTCGTCGCCGATATTGGAATCTGGTTGGCCGGTCATGTCTCGGTCCCAATCTTTCCCGGATTGACGGAGGAAACCACCAAATATACCTTGGAGCATTCCGAATCTAAACTGCTCTTTGTTGGAAAGCTCGATGAAAAGCCATGGGAAGAACAAAAGGGTGGAATTCCGGACGATCTTCCAACTGTCTCCTTTCCCTTATCACCAGAGAACGGTGCGAAAAAGACGTGGAAAGAAACAGTTGGAGAAATGACACCATCCGAGAAGATCTTTCAACCAGAACCAGACACCATGGCAACCATTATTTATACATCTGGTTCCACTGGAAAGTAAGTATCTCGGTGCATACCGTATGTTTTTGCCGCCATGCTTTGCTCCTTGTGCACACAATGGATACCGTATCTCATGACGTTTTTGGCTGACTTAACAACAATCTTTCTATGTATCTATCTATATAACAACAACATCAGACCGAAAGGTGTCATGACCAGTTTCAGGGCCATGACAGCTGCTACCAGAGGAATTACAAAGCAAGTCAAGATTACGTCAAGAGATAGGTACTTGTCGTATTTGCCATTATCCCATGGGATGGAGCGCTTCTTGGGTCAATGTTGTCCCCTGTACGCTGGTATGCAAGTCTTTTATGCCGAATCAATCGCGACCTTTGTGGATGATTTGAATCGGGCCAGGCCCACCCTGTTTGTGAGTGTACCAAGGCTTTGGACCAAATTTCAAGCCGGTGTCTTTAAGAAAATGCCTCAGGGTACGTTGGATACCCTGCTCAAAGTCCCACTGGTCAACAACTTGATTCGCCATAAAATCTTGGCCGGATTGGGTTTGGACTGCGCTCGACTGGCGGCATCTGGATCGGCTCCCATCCCAGCAGAAGTGTTGGAATGGTACCGTTCCCTTGGCCTGGAATTGCTAGAAGGATACGGAATGACCGAGAACTTTAATTATTCACACATGAGTAAAGAGGGCCATTCTCGTGCTGGCTACGTTGGGAATACGTATGACGATGTTCAATGCCGAATCGCACAAGATGGAGAAATTCAGGTCCTTACTCCAGGAAAGATGATGGGATACTTCAAGAATACAGATGCAACTAAGGAGACAATCACCGAAGATGGTTGGGTGCGCACTGGTGACAAGGGGGAAATTGACGAAGAAGGTCGTTTGAAGATTACTGGACGAACGAAAGAAATTTTCAAAACGTCCAAGGGCAAGTATGTTGCACCATCACCGATTGAACAAATGTTTGTTTCACACGCCATGGTGGAAATGGCGTGCGTCTGTGGACAGGGACAGCCTCAGCCTCATATTATTCTGCAGCTAGCAGAAGACGTCAAGCAAAACGCCATGAACGATGGACACTTCCGACAAGAAGTTACGACGGCTCTTATCTCTCACTTGACGAACTTTGTAAACCCTTCTTTGGACGCACATGAACAATTGGACTTTGTGGTGATTGTATCGGAAAACTGGCTTCCAGAAAATGGCTTTCTAACCCCCACGCAGAAGATCAAGCGGGCAAAGATTGATGAGGCCTACAGTGCATCGATCCCCGATTGGTACAAGGAAGCAAAGAAGGTGATCTTTCACGGAGGCTGGATGTAAATTGATGTATTTTTGTATTTTTTTAATATCATTTTGACTAGACATTATCTTGTGTCATCGATTTCTTCTGCTGAAAATGAACTTTTGCCAATGGGATTGTCGGTTGAGCCAGTCAGTCGACACGAATCGATCAATCAATCAACCATCATTCAACTAGGGATTGATTTGTAGTCGCCAGGCACGCCCACATGTGCACTTCGAACATCTGTCGGAATGGAAACCTATCGGCTGAACTGCAGCCTCTACTCACTTGGTGCATGTTTGTACTTTTGGACAGATCCGCCGCATATGTCACCTTCCACGTACACGTATCGCTTAGTTGCGAGCACTTCGATCGTCCACAGCTGCCATTGCATCCAAAACGACTCGGACTTCTCCAAGCATTCGCAAAACTTCTTGCCGTAGCTCATCAATTCCCTGTCCTTCGTGGATGCTCAGGCGAATGTAGGGAGTATCGCCTAAAATCTCCTTCAATTCCTCTTCCGCACCATCAACAACTCCCAAATCGTACTTGGAAACGACATCAATCCAAGGCCGTCTGGGGAATCTTGCTCGGACGTCTTTGCGGAGTTGTAACTGATCCTTTACAGAAGAACATTTGTCACCAGCTTCACCAGACAGATCCATGACGTACATGACTGCCGTTGGCAAATGGCGCATGGCGGCCAAGGTCAATTCCTCCATTTCGTTACGCTCCGTCTCTGGCCGAACCAACAGTCCTGGACTGTCCATCACTTGACACAATTGCGAAAAGGCATATTTACCAGCCAAGATCTCTTGCGAGGGTCCCTTGCGCTTCTTTTCGTGCTCAGGGATAATGGCCCTGGCAATGGTATCGTCGTCGGACCAAAAGACTTCCACGTGTCCCAAAGTCATCCCCCTGGTGGTGAAGGGATAATTGTTTACTTCGGGAGTGGCCGACGAAATATATCGAACAATACTGGACTTGCCCACATTGGGAGCTCCAACCAAGACCACAGCAGGCGTATCCAGCTGCACGGCGGGGGCACCACGGAGACTTCGCTGCAATTCCAAAATACCATTGACTGGTTCAAAGGCAAGCTCTTGATATAGCTCGAGCATCCGTTCGGCACCTTCGGTGGCAAACATATTGGCTTCTTTGGCAGTCTCGGCATGTTTGGCCTTGTACACCCATTCCTTTCCAGCTTCGAGTAGCATTTTGCGTGCCTCATGAATATCGTTGAGGACATCCTGCAGGGTAAGTCCATCCTTTTTTTGTCTCGCACGAGCCGTCAAATCGGCCACGACTTTTTCAAAGGGATGCAACCGTCTCCATTCACGCTTGTATCCATCCACAATATCTCTGAGAGGAATGCACAAGGCTTGTGTCATGGCATTCAAGGACTCGGCACCATGCTTTCGGGCTCGATTCCGAACGTTCTTGACGGTGGGATCGGTCTTGACACGTAGTGGAACCTTGCGAGCCTTGTCCATGAGTTCTTTGGGGGCCTTGACAACGGGTAATCTTCTCAATCCTCCGGTATTGTTCTTTTTCTTCTGCTGATTCTTTGGTTTCGGTGGCTGTGAGGATGCTGGTTGCTGCTGTTCGGCTGCCGTTGCAAACAGGCGTGATTCTTGTCCAAATTGATACTGTGGGCTCAGATGGGAAAACGAGGATGGGGCGGCTCGGATCACTCCTCTTGATTGAAAGGCCAACGCTCCTCGTCGCAACAGCATTGATGAAACCGATGTCACTATCATGATTCTCTTGATCCAAAGAAAGGCAAGCGGCATGGCAATCTGGCGTATTCTATATTCACTGATGGGATGACTGACTCGTTGATATGTAGTTTGTTGATTTCAAAGTTTCCTTTCTAATCTGTTGTTACCGTATCCTCTTTTATTGCTCTGCGATGATATGTTGGAATACAATCTTGTATCAGTCGAGTTTTTATACCGTATTTTTCGAAATACAAAATATTTGATGGGATGGGGAGATTCTTCGCCTGTGACGTAAGGGCGGACAGACGCCATCTAATCGAACCATTCAAACCGTGAACCATACCACATGATATGAACATCTCATTGCAAAAACATAAAACGACCCAATCACTTTCAGCGTCGCTTCCTGTGAGCCATGTCGGAGGAAAACAGAACAAAAGATGACGAAGCTTCATCATCAGCACCACCTCCATTTAAGAAGCTGAAGGCAGCCGAGAATGGGTCTTCAATGTACGCACCAGAACCCGTCAAACCAGAGTGGTTGGAGCTTCCTCCTGAACTCCACCATTATGCCAAGTCGTCGTCATCATCATCATCATCATCATCACCGTCGTCTCCAGATTCAGTGCCACCATCGGCAGCTTGGAACAAGTACTATCCCTACGACAAGAGTCGGCATCTGCCACTGACTCCACTGAATCAGCCACCAACTTTTACATCCGAATCCCCAGCACTCTGCTTTCAAGTTCACGGGATCTGTGGAAGGGCACGGGCCTGCACTTTGCATTTTCCCAATGGAGGACCACCAGTTCCAACACCACGTTTCATGCCTGTGGGGACCAAAGGAACGCTCAAGGCAGTCTTGCCAAGCGAAATTAGTGACATGAATTGTCCCATCATTCTCGCCAATACCTATCACTTGGCCATTCAACCAGGAACGGAGCTGATTGATGAAATCTTCGGTGGATTGCCCAAGTTTATGGGAAGCGTCATGCCAGAAGACAATAGTGACAAAGCAGCCAATAAATCATCGGTGCCGCCAAAACGACGCTTCAATCTCTTGACTGACTCGGGAGGCTTTCAAATGGTTAGTCTGGCAGCACTTTCCCAGGTCACGGAAAAGGGCGTCCTATTCGAAAGTCCTTATACTGGAAAGCCGATGCTACTCAAACCAGAAGATTCAATTCGCTGTCAAAATGAAATCGGGGCCGACATTATCATGCAGTTGGACGATGTGGTGAGCTCGGTAGCAACGGACGACAATCGATTCAAAATTGCCACCTTTCGGACACTTCGGTGGTACGATCGGTGCGTCAACGCACATCAATGTTCCCATCAACAAAACTTGTTTCCAATTATGCAAGGTGCTTTAGACGTCTCGCAAGGGGGACTACGAGAATTGTGTTTGGCAGGTTTCAAGCATCGAGACGAGCAAGCGCAGAAACACGTCAACACAGGAGGAGAAGGGTCAGTACCCAGCAAACTACAACAGCGGATCCCGGGATTTGCCATTGGTGGATTAGCTGGTGGGGAATCCAAGGAAGAATTTTGGATGGTAGTTGACCATGCCTGTAGGCACTTACCTGATGATAGGCCACGGTATTTGATGGGTGTCGGATATCCTTTGGATTTGGTGGTGTGTACTGCCTTGGGAGTAGATCAGTACGATTGGTAAGTGCCCTTGCCATCGGTGTGCGGCTACTTTGCGTTGGAGTTGGTCGATTTATCATGACAGTCATTCCGCATCTTTTATCCTTCGATGACTCAATCATGCATTCTTTTCCTTGCTTTATTTCACAGTGTCTATCCAACTCGAACTGCTCGCTTTGGAGTCGCCCTAACTGATGCAGGTCTATCGAAGCTCAAACAACACGAGTTTATCTTTGACGATCATGTTATTGAAGAAGGATGTCCATGTCAGGCGTGCAGTCGAGGTGTCTCAAGGAAACGACTCCACATGTTGCTCAAGTCAGGCAACACATCAGTAGCAATTCAATTATTGACCCAACACAATGTGTGCTACATGATGGGATTGGTCAATCGAATGCGAGAGGCAATCTTGGAGCAACGATATCCAGCATTTTGCAGACAGTTCTTGGCGGCACAATTTCTCAATCCGGCGGACATTCCATCTTGGGTAGTCGATGCATTGGGAGCAGCTGGGATTACAATCGATAATGGGACAGAAGCAACAAGTAACTTGGACTTTATTATGAACGTGGACCAACTGCGAAAGAACACCAGCTTTGATCCTACCCAGAAAAACGGCTTGTGGGATGAACTCAAGCGGGAGTGGGACACATCGTTTCAGGAGTTGGATGAAATCCAAGCCAATGCCAACAAAGAGAAACTGGACAAGTGGTTCGACAGGTTGTATCAGCAGCACAACGAATCGGGACGGTACTATCACACAACAGTGCACTTAATGGAAATGATGCGGTACTGGAACATAGTTGTGGCGGAAGATCTTTCCCTGTCGAAGCATTCACCTGCCATTTGTTGGGCCACCTTTTTCCATGATGCGGTTTATGATCCCAAATCGTCTACCAACGAAGAAGACAGCGCCAAGCTGTTTGAAGAATTCTGTTCGGATGCACTGGGAATCCAGCGAATAGCGAGTGGCGATAACGACAGTCGTGTTGCCAAGGTTGCCAGCTTAGCTTCCACACTAATTCTTGCGACAAAGAAGCACGAAGTCATTCCCAACGAAATGATGTCAGATTCTGAAAATGACTTGCAAAAGATATTTTTGGATATTGACATGTCCGTGCTTGGTAAGCACGAGAACGCATACCTAGCGTATGCTGGCTGCATTCGCAAGGAGTATTCTTTTGTAGAAAAGTCAGTATACTGTGGAAAGAGAGCAGAGATTCTGACTGGATTCTTGGAAAATAAGAAGCAGATTTTCCTTTCTGATTTGTTCCACAAGACGTCAGAAACGCAAGCCAGAAGCAATCTGAAGCGAGAAATCGAACTTCTGAAACAAGGGTCCATTCCGGGTGCGCCCATATAGTATGCACTAGGTAGAAGGTAGAAGCATCGAGTGATTACGTGAATAATTTCTCTCGTAGCAACCAGAAAACGACATCCAACCTACGGCTTCTCAATATCGGAGCTTGCCATTCGTCTCGGACCGAATAGTATTTTAATCGCATTGCTCTCTCTAGAACGAGGGGCCACAAATTTCGTTGCAAAGGTTGGTCGGTAGGCTGCTCTTGCAATGCCCGTCTCCCACCTCTGTTCAAGCTCAAGGGAACTGAAAAGTGGTAGCAAAAAAGAACGAAAACGTTTTGCTCAAATTCGTGCTTGTCATCCATCAGATATGTGCTCTCAAGGCTAGTGTTGACGTAAAGTGCCTCTAAAAGTGTCTGTTTGCTTTCCGAATCAGCGACTGCGAAAACAGGGAATGAAATCCGCTTAAGGGATTGCATCCTTCCAATTTTCTGAAAGAATCTGATCCATTCGTCATGCTTGTCAATTTGGGATTTCATGGACACCACAAGGGTTTCCAACTTACATCCTTCTTCAAGCAGTAAATCTTCCAAAGGCTCAAGCTCCAAGAATGGGTTGTGATCTAGATTCAGATGCTCCAATGACTTGAACGACCTGACGATTGCAATTGCCTGTTGGCATGTCACATTGGCTTCGTCCAGGTGAAGAGTGGTCACCGACGTGTTCTGCTTGGTATTTTCCCAAGAGTCACTATCGACAGCAATATTCTTCAGGATTAGACTCTTGACAGAACAATGCTCCCGACATAGGCACTCTTGCAAGAGTGACGATGGTAGGCGTCGTTCCCCTTTATGCAACTCTAGGTTCAGTACTTCGAGGGTACCATTCATGGTCGCAGCCTTGAATATATCGCAAAGAACTTCACGACTATGGAGCTTGGGCGTATGCAATTTCAGCATCTTGACGCTGCGGTTTTGCTGCAGTGCCTGTGCCAATGCCTTGCCAGAGTCCTCAATATTTGCCAGACGGAACGACAGTTCGAGTTTCTCAAGTGTAGAAGAAGATGCCAATCCCTTGAAGATTAGCTGAGCTTGGTATGCTGAAAGAGCTTGAGGATTGACTGGACGCTCTATAGATAACTTCTTCACTCCATCCGGGTGCGTCATGCTCGACATCAAGCATGAGCACACAGTATCATTCAATGTACATTCTTCCAGTCGAAGTTCATTAGTTTTAATGCATGATGATGTCAGTAGAGCGAGATATTGTGGTGATATTTGGCAAGCATCTCGGATAATGATGCTTTCCAATTTCCCTAAGGACTGGTTGAGCAATTTGGACAACCTTGAGAAGTCTTCGTTGGCTTCGTCGTTGCATTCCAACGTCCACAGGTCAAGCACTCCGCCTGTTAAATCTGCTTCATCAACTTCATCGCCAAAGCAGCGTCCCTTACTGTCGACAAAGTCTATTTGTAACATGATGTGTTCTAATGTATAAAGGACGAGTTTGCGGCTAAACCGTATGGAAAATAGTGTCTACCTGGTACTCAAGATTGTGGATACAACAGTATACCGTTAGTTCAGAACATCACCGATCACCTTCGCTTCGGTGTATGGCCGGCTTCATATTTGACATGACTTCGACATCGCTTCGACTAGTTCGATCTCATAAGACGAAATTCTCCCATTTTCAATTTGATGATTCCACATTGAATATGACAAAGCAGGAAGGATTGGCTGTTTACGGCAGGAGCTGACTATGGTACTAATACTGTTGGCATTCATTCCTACGCTCCTAATCCATCATTGTACAGTTTAAAAAAATAAAACTGTTTGTCACATAACCACATTGAACATTTGAATTATTTTGGTGTTCGGACCCATTTTGCGAAACAAAAACTGACGAAGTCTTTGCTGGCCATTTCAGCAACTTTAAAAAAATAGTGTAACCTTTGGCTCTAGTTTAGTATCTTCATATAGGTTCCAAATCAATCGTTGATTTGGTATCTCTTGGGTTCTAGATTTTTACCATCTGGGTCCCTCCGATGGGGGGAAGGAGCCACGAGGCACTGCGAACTCGGGGGGCATTTCTAAAGGATTGAACTGAGGTGGTGGTGGAGCAGAATCATCTTGACAATCAGCATCTTGAGAAAGATGCTTGACAGGATGATGAAGCGGCTCGTGTACTGGGACACCAGCACATTTCGAATTCGAATGTTTCCTCCGTTTTGAGGAAATATCCCCCTCTTCGTCGTCCATGTCACTAAAGTAATCGTAGACGTTTGGACTCTTGGTTTCCACCCTTTCCTTGACAAACTGTTCGGACTTGATCTTGGAGGGCGAAGTAGCTCGGTCGACACGTTTGGGGTACGATTTTAACTTCGCAGGCCGTACATTGTGTTCGGGCGAAATCGATGGGCCACTTTGTATGTAAACCGGTGCCCATGGTGGTGGGTAGGACCATTGGGCATAAGGTGGTAATGCCGAAGGATGCATCGTTGGTGGAGGTTGGTGAGGACTTGGTCCAAAGGCTGGATGATATGATGGCAACGGTGGCATTGAGGTATGCATGGACGACGCATGCATGAGTTGATGTTGATGTTGATAAGAATGAGGGTGCCCCGCATACAATGGTGCTGGCAATGGGTTGGGCTCGCGAGGATAAGCATGGTAGACTTGGTGGTTGAATCGCATGCTGGACGCTGCAAAGCCCGAGGTAGGATGGTGATACGTCTGTGGTCCACCTTGCGAAAATATTTGAGGAGGCATTGACATGGTCGAATGTCTGCGTTTCTCACCACTGAAGCTTTGGCGAGAGATGGTATTGGCATACGCCTGTGGACAGGACATGCTCCTTATCCGAAAAGATTTAGTGTTATCACTGTTGTTGTTGTTGGTGGCAGTAATGGCGGCGGCGTGCGATGATGTAGGCGCCAAAGATGGAGCTGGTTGTACTCGACCAACGGTAATGGAAGCGAGCTGTTGGATTCTAGCCGAGTCTATGGGTACCTTATGTCGAGACTTTTGAAGCTGCTCCTTCGTAAATCCTAGCAAGCCGGCAATCGATGTGAGTGCTTTGCCAAGATTCGACTCCTTTTCGGCTTCGGTGAGTATGGGAACCTCCACCTTGGTACAGTTCAAACTTGATAATACATTTTCGTGGCAGTCGTTGGCTACTGCGAAGGACACTAGAGATGCTGCTTCTCCCCCTACAACAGTCATTGGTCTTTTGGTGCCTAAAGCTTTCTTGATTGCAGATTCCCCTTCTGCCTTGTGCATAGTGTATTCATCCTTACCGTTACAAGTCTCCTGTATTTTGTATTTCTCTATTTCCCGAAGAGACTGATCATAATCCACCAAGAAGTTGGCCTTCCCCCTATCTGAAATCTTCCGGTACTTTTGCAAGTGGCTCTTCATGATGGCCCGTGTTAAGGTATGCTTCCCCTCATTGCGAACATATTCTAGAAGCAATGAAGGAGAACAGCTCTTGATTCCAATGTCCAGAATGGCAGCCACAAAATCACGATGCTCCCCTCTGCTGAAGGGACGATGAATCATACTGGTAGTCTGATCTCGTATTGGCTTCTTGGAATTCTTGGATTCTGGTGATGGTACAATTTTGGTGGCGCTATGCAAATGAATGACAGACTTCGGCGGGGCATCGCAAGTATCTAATTGTGCAATATCACCCCTAGACGAGGGCCCATCCAAGCAATCGTCCTTCACGTAGTTGTTTCTGACATTGTTGTCTTGAGGACATTGGCTGGTCGTGGTTGTTGGCCGTGCATTTGTTTCATGGTTTTGAATCATCTTGGCAGCCATTGATGAATCAGAACAATCTGATGCACAAGGAAGCGATGCTGAGCAGGGATGAGTGTCTTTGAGTTCAGTAGTATGTTTACAAAAGCATTTCATCACCATTCATACCAACGATGCACAATTTTTCACAAAATTCCTAAAATACTGATGATTGAAGGGAAGATGAGCAAAAAGATCCAACTTGGGGAGGCACTTCTCTCCAGCAATATCTGGTGGTTTGTTTCGCATAACAAATACGCGAGCTACAGTTCGAAAAAACCCAAAACGTGCTTTTCCATAAATAATTGTTTTTCCGAACTCGAACTACGGATGGCGGAGAAGTACGTACTGCATCTGAACGAATTCGAAATAGTTAGAATCACAGGGATAAGAACAAACTCGACATATTTATTTGTATATCCTTCGCACGTCGAAATGCGATCATCGTCGACGATGGGACGGAACGGCATCTTTTTTTGCACAAATATTCCGAATTGAAAACGGAAGTTTGACCAGCTGGATCAATTTGGTACTCCTGGTGTGTCCGTCTGTTGCCCGTCGGCAGCTGTTCTGGTCTGCGTGACGTCACGCTTGACGTCAGCAGCCAACACTGGGAAAAGATTTGTTGCTGTCGTCATTCATGATTCATTCATTCATTCATTCATCACAGATCTTTACTGTACAGTATTGTTGAGGAGGACTATCAGAACTGTGTATCCAACTGAACCCTCTGCCCGCAAAGAAGAAAACGCTGCACCATGGTGAAACTAAGGTTAGGATTTTCCCTTATTCTGTTGAATGAATTGAGCAATGTGCAGGGATTCTCCACGTCTAGTACGGCTTCCTGCTCTTCAGGAGCATTCCAACATGACATGTCCCTCAGAACGACGGCGGATGTGCACCTTCCATCTGTTACCACCAGACGATCATCCAGCAGCACTGCTTTGAATATGGTAAAAGAAGCCACGGGCGTTCCGCAGCTGGAACGGCTGTCCAATGAATGCATCGAAGCCATTAAGCAAGCTCAAGATTTGGGAAATAGCATTGGATTGACGGGGTTGCGACCGGAAGTCATGTTTGCAGGGATGGTCTCCAAACCCGAACGGGCCAAAAGGACGCTGGATCAATATGGAATCACCAAGGAGGAAGTCCGTGAAGCTGCTCTCAAGACGTTGCAATATTCTTCGGGAATAGAGTTGGAGGGACCTAATGCAAACAACGGTGCCCTTCCATTTTCGGATGATAGCAAAATGATCTTGACCAAGGCATCTCAGATTGCCGATGGAATGGAAAGTGATGCGGTTCGATCCGAACATGTCTTGCTAGCTCTCTTTGGTTACAATAGCGGTAATCCTATTGAGACGGTTCCTGTCTTTGAGGTCTTGGCTGGTATGAAGGCCTTGACCCAACGAGATACTGACTTTTCCATTACCAAGTTTTGTGATGACTTGGTCAACTCGCTCCCGTTGATTTCAACCGATGGAGGGGGCATTGTCCGAGATAATGTTGTCATTGGCGGCGGATCTGGTAATACCAATACCCTTGCCGAAGTTGGTGTGGACTTGACGCAAATGGCGCTCGAAGGAAAGCTGGACATGGTCTTTGGACGAGATAAGGAAATCCGAACGGCGCTTCGAACCCTGGGGCGTCGCCGCAAGAATAACCCCTGTCTGATTGGAGATCCAGGTGTCGGAAAGACGGCAGTGGCCGAGGCAATTGCCCAAGTCTTGGCCAATGGAATTGAAGAAGCCTTGGGAAAGGCTGACAACGCCAAGCCAGCCAACAAGATCCGACAGCGCATCGGAAAGATATTTGGAAAAGGAGGAAAAAAGGAAAAGGAACAAATGAACGGCGACTCTTTCGACGAAATCGACTACGAACTCCCCAAGTGTCCGCGGTCTCTCCTTGGAGCAAGACTCATCAGTGTGGAATTGGCCAGCCTTGTCGCTGGAACTGCCAACCGTGGTGACTTTGAAAAGAAGATCAAGGAACTAATAAAAGAGGCGTCCGAAAATAACATCATTCTATTCATTGACGAGATTCATAACTTGATCGGTACTGGTGGCGGTGGCGATGGTGCCATGAATGCTGCCAATTTGCTCAAGCCCGCCTTGGCTCGTGGTGAATTGCGTGTCTTGGGTGCCACCACAACTCCAGAATACCGAAGGTATATTGAAAAGGACGGAGCTTTGGAACGGCGATTCCAACCATGTGAAGTCAAGGAACCAACCGTGTATGAAACCTTGGACATTTTGGGTGCGATTTCTCCCAAATACGAACAATTCCATGGTGTCGAGTATACCTACAACGCACTTCTTTCGGCTGCCAAGCTTTCCAACCGTTACATTAGCGACCGATTCCTTCCCGACAAGGCTATTGATCTGATCGACGAGGCCGCATCCATGATCAAGATGAGGGAAGATGGCGAGACCTTTTTTGTGACTGAAGATGCCATTGAAGAAGTCATTTCCGAAATTAGTGGCATTCCACTCGGCAAACTAGACACGGACGAGAAATCACGTCTGAAAAATTTGGAGGCAGAACTGGAAAAGAGAATCAAGGGACAAAGTCCAGCCGTTCGAGCTGTTGCCAAGTCAATTCGTCGTGCTCGCAGTGGCATGAGAGATGGAAGAAGACCGGTTGCCAGTTTGCTGTTTTGTGGTCCCACCGGTGTTGGAAAGGTACGCAAAAGATCTAGTTCGCCATACCGTTGCTCGAGTTAGTGTCTTGGTGTCTAATTTGTTATTACAGACTGAACTCTGCAAGTCATTAGCGGAGACTTATTACGGACAAGAAAAGGATATCATCCGTATCGATATGAGTGAATATATGGATCGTTTCTCGACAAGCCGTTTGATCGGAGCTCCCCCAGGCTACGTTGGATACGAAGAAGGTGGACAATTGACCGAAGCTGTCCGCCGGAAACCACATTCCGTCATTCTCTTTGATGAGATGGAAAAGGCGCACGAAGATGTCCTCAACTTGTTGCTGCAAATCATGGATGAAGGTACTCTGACCGATGGGAAGGGACGGACGATCAACTTCAAGAACAATATTTTGATCATGACTTCCAACATTGGAAGCAAGGACATCCAAGAAGCGGCGAAGAGTGCCGGATCAGAAATTGAAGAGGAATCCTTGACTGCTGATATCGTTAAGGTAGCTTTGGAAGAAGCCCTGCGACCAGAATTGTTGAATCGTATTGACGAAATTGTAGTATTTGCTCCTCTTGCCTATGACAACTTGAAGGCCATTGCCACCAACTTGATTGCTGACACTGTCAAGCGTGCCAAGGATGATCAAAGCATTGAACTCAAGGTCTCGGATAACATTGCGGAAATTGTCACTCGAGAAGCCTTGTCCGGTGCCAGTGTATACGGCGCTAGACCCATTCGCCGAGCCGTCCAACGATTCCTGGAGGATACGATGGCCGAAGCCATCATGGATGAATTTGTCGCTGAAGGAGACAGCATTGAAGTCGACTTGAAGGATCCTAATAGCGGCAAACGAGTGGTGGAAATTAAACGTCTCTTGGATGGCGTCACTGTCACTATTGACGTGGACGAGGATTCGGGAATCAGCAAGGACATTTTGGAGGACCAAGCATTGTATGGAGACCTACCAAAGTTGAACGAGCCGCCCAAACCAGAGAGCGACTCGTTCCAATAGATATTAATACCACGCATTAACAAATAGTAGTACCTAATGCAATATCTACGAACTTTTGACTCATAATAATCCTGACCATCAGTCTATCATTGATCCAAATTTCTCTCACCGTTGAGATCCAAAATTGGCCAATTCGTTCATGAGAGCAATGTAGTCTGGGTGATACGCTTGGTGCTTGTGACAGGCGACCAACATGATCTTGACATCTCGGCTAGTGAGATGCAAAAAGACAACCATGACCAAGGAATCCTTCCACTCAGTAAGAGAATGAGTCTCCAAAAAGTTGGCAATGCTTACAAATCGATCCCATTCATCACAGTATTGGCTTATGGTTGATTTGGATTTTTGAAAGAACTCGCCTTTCAAAGTCTTGCCTAAGAGCAATGCTAGGAATTGGTTGGCAGTGGCTGGGACTAATGCTCAAATCCTGTACCAACAAGGCTTCCAAAAATGCCGCAAACACCACGTTTGTAAATTCTCAGAATATTCGGCTTGATACAGCGAGATCACTTCTCGGTCCTTTTGGTACAAGGCTGGGCGCATGCAGGGGCGTTGGCAGCTTGAACCTTTTCTTCCATGGTTTCACAAACGAGTCTGACAACCTTGATAGAAGCACTGGACGAATGAATGGAAAAAAATGGCATGTATTGTTTGACTCCTTCATGCAGTTCCGTGATTCCAACTTGTTCAGCATTGTGCTAGTCATTATTCCCAAGTTATTCCCAAGAATATCTTTGGCCTTGTCCAGCAAGATGTATTGTCGGTGCTTGACATACTTTTGTGGTAGCTTGTCACAAAAGTTGATCAATTTGGGCTTGGGTTTGATTGGACTGATTTGTTTTGTGCCGATTCGACCCAAAAGTACCCGGTACCGGTAGAACTGGGGGCCCCTGAGGGTCTTCTTTCCAAACACTGGGCGCCCCTCCAGCAGGACCACTTCTAAAGCCTCAACAGCCTTTGTATCGGTACCCGCTGGGCGACTAATTTGGGTGAGCAACTTGTTGCCCTTGGCTTCCTTCTGTGGGAGCACCGCAATCTGGCTCAACATTCCGACAACAACGTCCAGCATCGTTTCTGTCACCGCAATGGCAATGGCGCCATTTGGGAAAACTCACGTCATTGGACATGGAGCGTGTAAGTACCTGGTACTATACCTGTTTGTCCTTCCTTCCCCCATACCGGTAGAAACCTGCGGTACTTTTGAGCCATTCCCAACGAATGAATCATTCAATCAATCCAAAGCGGTTCTCGCGTGTTCGCGTTTTCCACACACTTCTTCTACTGGTTTTCTGTTTTTTTGACAAATACGTTATTCGGTCTTAATTAACAAGCGCCATTTTGAGTCTCGTGTTGCTGTGGATATAAAAGCCTATTAAGTTAAAGAATGACCTCCAGATATTTTATGGTGCATCAAGAGTGACGGTTAGTTCAACTATTATGTGGCTCCTTCTTGGCTTCCACGTATTCTTCTTTTGAAAGAGGAGGGCTCGAAAGAACAAGTTCAAAGTTAGTGAATAACTTTTGTTCCTGAACGGAGCCCTGCTGGCAGTTATTGCCGGAATTTGGTTGAAGACGGAGAATATCAGCACACTCATATTTTTGAAGAGAAACCGAAAAAAGAAAGAGAATGTCGCTTCAAACTGTTATCAACCAAAACAAGGAAACCATTGCTTTCCTCAAAGCTAGAGACTGCTACAGCGCGCTTGTGTCATCTTCGTCTGCGTTGCAGTGCCTTCGGAGCGTCTCGCAAACGCAGCAAGGACAACACGAAGGCGATCTTCTTATTCTTCCGGCGAGAAACTCCTCCTCCTCACCTGAAGATGCATTGGATCAGTGCATGCTTCATACTATCATTCAGGAAAACGAAGAAACATGTGGAACTCAAACTTTTATGTATAGCCATGCCATCCCATTGCCTCCGAACGTGAATGATTACGCCACCGTTACCCTCGTTCTCATTTTCAATGCAGCGCTTGCTCATCACTTGGTGGCAATGCAAGACAAGGAAAATTCATCCCAATACCTGCGCAGAGCAAAGCAACTGTACACATTGGCATACAATTCGTCACAAGATATCGAGCAGAATCAATTGTTTCTCTTTGTTGTATATAACAATACCGCATTGGCCAATCTGCAGATTGGGGAGGACAAGGACTCGTGGAATGCCTGCGTTGAGCACTTGGTTTCCGTCTACATGGTTCTGGTGGGTGAAGGTTACACTTCGCGACTACGTCACCTCCAAGGATTTCTGGGGAGCCTCGTCGTTTCTAACATGCCAACAGCGGCCGCGGCTTGATGAAAGCGCTAAAAAAAATTAAATTTACTGTACTAGATTCTAGTTGAGTAGCTCGATTGTCCTTCTCTAAACAAGATGCTACTAGTGACTACAGGCAGCAGGCAGCCATTCGCCGAGAAGTCTAACTACTATTGGAGGATCACGTGGAAAAAGCCAACACGGTCACTGATGAAGGGGACAGCATTGCAGTCGACTCGAACGATGATTAATCTTCGGCAAACAAGAGAATGGTCGCTTCTTGGATGGCGTCACTGTCACCATCGATTCGGGAATCAGCAAGGACATTTTGGAGGACCAAGCATTGTATGGAGACCTACCAAAGTTGAACGAGCCGCCCAAACCAGAGAACGACTCATTCCAATAGATATTAATACCACGCATTAATAAATAGTAGTACCTAATGCAATATGGACGAACTTTTGACTCATAATTATTGTGACTCTCAGTCTATCATTGATCCGATCCAAATTTCTCTCACCGTTGCGATCCAAAATTGGCCAATTCGTTCATGAGAGCAATGTAGTCTGGGTGATACGCTTGGTGCTTGTGACAGGCGACCAACATGATCTTGACATCTCGGCTAGTGAGATGCAAAAAGACACCCATAGCCAAGGAATCCTTCAGCTCAGGAAGAGAATGAGTCTCCAAAAACTTGGCAATGCAGACGAATCGATCCCATTCATCACAGCATTGGCTTGGGGTTTCCTTGGATTTTTGAAAGAACTCTCCAATGTCCTTCAAAGCCTTGCCGAAGAGCGATGCTAGGAATTGGTTGGCAGTGGGGCTAATGCTCAAGTCCTGTACCAACAAGGCTTTCAAAAATGCCTCAAATACCACGTTTGCCAATACTCCCATTGCTGCTGCAAAAACATCCTTTGGCAGAATATTTTGCCAGGCTTGTTGCAAGTGCTTCAAATGATAAGTGGCAGCGGCCAAGGCAGTTTCCGCTTCGGACCATTCGAGCAGAGACTCGTTGCTTTTCAAGCTCATGGCAAAGTATCCGAGACGAGGCTGAATCAACTCGACCATTTGTTTCTTTTGGAAATCCAGCATATCACCAAGACACTCGAGAGCCAACTCTCGAAAGACTGGAACAATGTCAACAAAAACAAAAGTTTGTTCCATGATGGGCCCCATTTCATCTTCTTCAATTGGTTCTTGCTTGGCAAATCGGCCCTTGTACTCCAATCCCAATTTCGCGCAAGTATGAGAAAAGAAGACAGCGTCATTGTGCATGACGGCTGCCGTTCGTGGGACCGTCTTGACTTCCTTTCGAAATTTCGAGGGAATTACGGCTCGATACAGTGTGAACATTTCTCGGGCCGTTTTGTACAAGTTTGGGCGCAAACTTTGCAAGGAAGCAGGGGCGTCGGCAGCTTGGACCACTTCTTCCATCGTCTCACGAACTAGTTCGACAATTTTGAGGGCCGTGACAGAAACACTGCAGGACTGCATGAAAAAAATTGACATGTATTCTTCGACTCCTTCCGGCAGTTCTGTGATTCCAACCTGTTCAGTATTGTGATAGTCATTATTCACAAGAATATCTTTGGCCTTGTCCAGCAAGATGCATCGTCGGTGTTCGATGTACTTTTGTGGTAGCTTGTCACAAAAGTCAATTAATTTGGGCTTGGGTTGGATTGGAATGAACCACTTTTGACACATGGCCATGCAAAATGGCTTGACATAGGACTTGAGTTCACTTGCAATATCTTCCAAAGTCACTATATCCTCGTCCATGAAATCGTAATGATCCGGAAGAGATTCCTTGGCGATTAGTTCCAAGATGGGTTCCGATAGCATTCCCTTGTCGGCTCCGATACGAGTCGAATCCAATCCCATCGCATGAAGGTTGAGTTCGGAAGGCATGGCATCGGGATCTCCAAAAAGAAAGGCCCCGACATATTCGCATGGATCCTGTCGATTCATCAAGATTCGCGATTGGCAAAAGACGAGAATTCTGCCCAAGACATCCAAGGTGTGCTTCCAAGGAGTAATCGCCGACGAGTTCTCGTTCAGCGTGTCCATGGCGCTGTCGCCGTGAACAATGGTCCAATCAATTCGATGGACGGGTCCCTTGGTGGTGACTCCGGCCTTAGCGGACAGTGCCTTTTCCTCCTTTTCTTCAATCTTCCATTTTTTGCCGTGATGCTCGTATAAGATTGGTTTCAAGAGTTCTTGGTAAAGCTGCTTGGTGAATCGTCGCAACGTTTCTCGCATGATTCGGTTCGATAGTTCGGCATCAAATTGTTCCAAGATTGCATACGCTTCATTGAGCTGTTTGGAATTCTTAACTTCAATGGAGTTCGGAGACAATTGAACGGACTGGTCCAAGATTGTTCCTGCCGTCACCAAGAGCTTGGATCGTTCGAGTCGTACTTCATTCCTCAAGCTGGTAATAATGTTGGTTCCATACTGGTAGGGCTCTTGCGAGTATTCTTCCTCTCGTTCTTCATTATTGTCTTCCATTTCTTCGCCTTCCTTGTATTTATGCGCAGGCAGGGAAGATGCGAAAGATTCGGCTTGTCGCAAGAGTTCGTTTGCTTGCACAAGCAACTTACTGGCCTTTAGGAGGTCCATCGAGTTGGGAGACAGAAATCTATTCGAGAGCGTCTTACTGTCATTAATTGCCGTTCGAGCCAAACTAGCTTGCTTAAGAAAGGCAATTTTGGTTCTGTGAAGCTCAATTTCGTCTTGTAGAGCTTGAGGGTCATTCTGAAGGAGCAAGTCTTCATCACTGTTGTCTCCTTGGTCGGCTTCCCCTTCGCCGATGGTCGACATGGGCAGCATGATCATTGGTGAGTCTTCACTGTCCTGTGATATGAAATCATTGGGTTGGGTTTCCGTGGAAAGTTTGTTGAGTTCCTTTTCAACGTCTTCCAATTTATCACGAATCCGCTCGTCGACCCGTTCCACATCGTCGCGAAACAGCGTCAATCCTAATTGAAAGGAAGCACTGTGCGACTTGATGTTGGGAAGCGCAGATGCTGGATTCTGATGTTTCCAAGTTTCTTGTTGCGCCTGTCGAACGGCATTTTGAATTTTATTCAAACGATCTTGTAATACTCCACGATCGCTCTGCATTGCTGTTGTTGCTGTGTGGGCGTGGGTTTTGTGATGTTGTTGTTGTTACGATGGTATTGTCCTTTTTAGACTATTGTTTGTGGTCCCTACAGCGTGGCGGTACGGTATGTACAAGTATAGGTCTGGTTGGAGATTTGAATTGATGAAAAAGGGGAGCCTTGCCGGCGTGGCATGCGCCAAACTGAATAATATCGCCCCTCGCCCCCAAACGATTTTGGTGTTTGTCTCCCGCTCAAGATACGTACCTATCCTCCGAGACATCACGCCGTTTTGACGACTTCTCATGGATGGTGCTACAACAGTAGCCGTTACTAGTGGTATTTGCTCGAAGCAATGAGCCACAGAACCGTAGTGATCCTAAAGTTTTGCATTCAAGTACCTCGCTGGTACCCACTACTAATACTGGTACGATACTATACACAATACGATACCAGATTTTGCATCTTTCAATTTCTTTCTGGAAGAACCATTTAGCAAACTGGGTACCGCCATTTCTTTGCTTTCGAATCCAATGAGGATCTTCCTCGGAGAGAACACTATCTCGAGACAGATTACACTAGTGAATGGCTGAGTTCCAACTGTTACACGAGGACTGACGGTCCCGTTCAATTATTAGCTGGGTGCTCCGTGCTCCTTCTTCGCTTTCAGCAGATCAATCTTCCTCAATGACGTTATCTAAAAATAATCAATTGACGAGAATGAGATCCAGCTGCTGCAGAACGACAATAGGTCCCGTTTAATTAATGGCTTCCTAATGTTTTAATTTCCCCCGGAGACGCTATCTCGAAACAAATCGAGGAACAAGCCTTTGTACCCAGTGAAATAGAAGGAGCGTGGAACTAGCTCCCGCCTGAAAGTCTCTGGGTCACGTCAAATATATAAAAATGCATTGAATGATGAGGTGCCGCCGTCAAATACCTCCGGATAATACATACCGCAGCATTGAACACTAATAAAGTTCCCACCAAATCTCACCAAATATGGAGCCAGCCTTGCCTATTTCAAACAAGATCGGAAAGCCTGCCAATCAGAAAATGCTTGGCGTGTCTTCTCCAGCTTGTGACAAGTCAAACATCGTGAAAACAAAGTCCAGCGATTTTTAAAGGGAAACGTGCTGCAGTTACCCTGTATATGAAAAACATTCATGAGGATATTCGCAGTCGCTAATTCAATGATAGCAGTAAGAAAAAGGAGAGGGGAAAGATAATAATAATCAATGGTCTAGACTAGAGCTTATTCAGTTTCCTTCATCTATTCGTCAAGTAAATTTGACTTGATAAATTTGTGTTTTGAATTCACAGTCGTAACTAAATGTCTTGATGTCACCGTCGTAACCCAATAACACGGATGAAGCGGAAGAGAGTTCTCTGCTATCCTTGTTGAATCCAAAGGTTCTGTTTCGAGAAGTGTTCGCAGAGGGCGACCCGATCCATCGTTTCGGTGGGCTGGATGATTGGATCTCATCGGAAGGGACACCATCCATGGTATTTCCCGTGGTCTTGCAAAGTGCAGTCTCCGGAGACTCCTAGATCATCACCACCACTACATCCATCGGATTAGAATAACGCATCATCTATTCATTCTCATAGTGTGCATCATGCCATAATGACGCTCATTGGCAGATCGGAAAAACAATGAGGGATCACAACAAATGACCAAATGACGAGAACAATTTTAAATTGAACTTTATCAAATACCGCACGTGACTATTCAGGTCTGTATAATATATAGAAAGTAAGCCTGAATCCAAGCTGTTTTGATGAGTACAATATTAGTGTTCAATGCTGCGGTATGTATAATCCGCAGCTTTTTCTGTTTTTCTCCATGTTTAGGCTCAGTCATCTTCCTCCGAAACCCTAGAAGTATTGTTTCGGGATTTGGAACCAAACGTGAACCAGTGAGTGGTTTTCTTCAACCAACAACAGTACACGTATTTTAATAACTGCCTGCTGGTAAAAATCTTTGATGACCGCAAAAGCTTTTAAAAAAGAGTTCTTGGCACGAGTCTGAGACAACCAAAGGGAGGACGTACTTGTACTGTACCTGGCTGGTACTGTAACAATGGAGCCGGGAACTGAAGACGGAAAATCAACTACCGGTAGGGGCGGAATGTTCCGACTGAACTACGGTTCTACAGTATTGTACGGAGTTTTAGTTAACTTTCACCACTCATATTTTCGAAAACAAAAAGAGAGAGGTAAGAATGTCGCTTCAAACTGTTATCATTCAGAACCAACAAACCATTGCTTTCCTAGAAGCTAAAGACTACTGCAGTGCGCTTGTGTCATCTTCGTCGGCATTACAGTGCCTTGACAGCGTCCCTCCACCAACGCAACAAGAACAAAATGATACAGGCAATCGCTTTTGCCCAGCAAGAAGCTCCTCCTTTTCATCTGAAAGCTCAATCGATCAGTGCATGCTTCATATTCAGATTCAGGAAGACGACTATACATGTGGAACTCAGACATTTATGTACAGCCATGCCATTCCATTGCCTCCCGACGTGACTGATCACGACATCATAACATCCATTCTCATTTTCAACACAGCGCTTGCTCACCACTTGGTGGCACTACTAGACAACGAATGGTCACCGCAATACCTTCACAGAGCAAAGCAATTGTACACATTGGCATACAATTCGTCACAAGAAGTCATCGAGCACAATCCTTTGTTTCTCTTTGTGGTATATAACAATACTGCATTGTTGGCCAATCTGCAGATTGGGGACAAGGACTTGCGAAATTCCTGCGTTGGGTACTTGGTTTCCATCTACATGGTCATGGTGGATGAAGGTTACACTTCGCGACTACGCCACCTCCAAGGTTTTCTCGAGAGCCTCGTAGCTAGCATGCCAACAACGGCTGCGGCGGCTTGATGAAATCGATAGATAACATTGAATTTTTATGTGATAGTACTATTCGATCTACATGCATAGTACCAAGTGAGTAGCTCGACTGGTTCAATAGCCTCCTGTAGGTCTAGTGATCGATCATCACTCAAAAGAGACGCTGGATGTACCGTAGCGTCCCAACCTGCTCCAGAGCAAATAATGAGATTCTTCTACTTGTACGATGCGTACCAATACCTGGTACCTCACACACGTATTATTAGCTTCCGCGGGTACCATGATTGATTCATTCAACCAGTATTGAGCCAATTGCGTTTGAACCGCAAGAATGTTCTTTGCTTGGCAAATTCACTGTGTGCCAGACAAACACGAACAACCAATCGGAAAAGGACAGACATGCAGCTGTAGTCTGCCAGCTGCTGTTGGTTTGCCGACACAGAGTAATAACCAGGAATTTCTTGCTCCAAAATGTCACGTTTCAGCTGCTCCAGAAAGACTGAGGGTCCCGTTCAATTAATGGCCCCCGTGGTTCCTTCTTCGCTTTTCAGTCAATCGTCCTCGGAGACGCTATCTCGCAACACAAACCAAGAATACTCTTGTCAAAAATAATAGGTACGAAACAAAATATGTGAGCCCGTGGCATAATGTACTCGTACCGGGAATTCAATAGAGACGGCGAATTGGAAAAATCTGGCGTAACGTAATCCGAAAGCCGATGTTTCGGTTGAATTGCGGTACGACACTACAGGTTTTAAACTTACAGTACCGGTACCTGGTACAAAGAAATAGTTGACACTCATATTTTCCGAAACCTACCACACGAAGCTCGGTAGTCGCGTAGTCTCAAAGCAGCTACATAGCGACATCATAATGGAGGCTCCCAGCCCATGTGGAAACCCACAACTGATGCATCCGTTGAACGCATACAATTCTTGGTTGCATGGTGCACTGCATTTCCAGAATCAGAACGGTGGTTCCACAAGTAAACCAATGGGACGGCAGAGCCAAACAAGATTGCCAGTGTACAAACGGCTTCAATATCGAGTAGCAAAGAGAGCTCAACCTTGCACAAGGCCTATCAGCTGGCCTCTTGTAATCGATATTCGGCGTACCGCAAGAGACACTTCTCTGCTAGGATGATCAGTATTGGTGAGAACGGTGAAGAAGTACTAGAGAGTTCACACAGAAAAGGTCCATGTTATGGAAACAGATTCAGCGGTTGCAACTAAGATGCCTGCGCCAACAAGTCCTCCGCATGAAGTTGCATTTTTTGGAGAAGAGCATTGCAAACAATCGCCACCGCAAACAAGACGGTCCCACCTGTAATGTTGGCATTGGCAGTTGAGATCGTAGATCAAGATTGCCGAGTCGGTGTCGCCACCACAGAGTCAACCATTCAAGGAAGCGAAAGCTAGATTCGACGCATCTTTGGATTGAACAACATCGTGTATACGGAGCCATATGTGATAGACTCAAGACGTTTGATCGATTCACATTTCCATTCCCTCATCGGGTCCAGATTCATCTACGTGGACGTTGAAGTCGCCTTTCCAAGCTTGGAACTCGCTTTTGCTATCAATTCTCATCTAATGATCTCTCTAAAGAACTTGATTACTGGAGTCACCACAAGCGTCTGTTTCCGGTTGTTGATGATTCCAATGAGATTTGGTGCCTACCGTTCCGGTACCAATGCAACTGCGTTGCAAACACATATTCTCAACAAATGAAGGTTCTTGCAACACTTCCAGCATTCATCCGCAACCAATACCCTGTTGGTCCAAGGTATGCATATGGCCCCCAGCAAACTCACATATCGATGCGACTGTTCCACTTTAACCAGCAAGTTACGAAGCTTCTGAACCCAATGCACCCGCACTTTCATCTGGTAAAAGATCGCTTTCAAAGGTCTGTCTATACGTGTAGGTACAACCAAGACGACACGGTACAATTAAGACGACATGGATGGATTGGTGAAAGCGTTTGTGATGGGAACATAAAAAAGCAAGGTGATGGCGAGCCGTACGAGAAGGAAGAAGTGGACGAATTGCCACTCTCGTAAAAATTGGTGTAGGAACTACACCAAGTATCTCCGAATCGGAGATATTGAATGGAGACCAAGTCGACATGCACCAACAGGGGAGTCTTATCTGCTGGGTTTTTTCAGTGTTCGTGTACTCTTCTGGCAGAAATTGCTACTGAACTGGGTTCCAGAAAGACTTGTAGTGAAGTCCTGCAAAATAAAACTTGTACCAATGCACAAAAAAACTTCAGTTGTACTATGATCAAAGAAGACGGGATCAATAATCAGGGTAACTACTGAACCGTCCGCTCATATTTCTTAAAAAATCTTTGATGACCGCAAAAGCTTAAAAAGGAGTGCTTGGCACGAACCTGAGACAACCAAAGGGAGGACGTACTTGTACTGTACCTGGCTGGTACTGTAGCAATGGAGCCGGGAACTGAAGATGGAAAATCAACTACCAGTAGGGGCGGAATGTTTTGACTGAACTACGGTTCTACAGTATTGTACGGAGTTTTAGTTAACTTATTTCACCACTCATATTTTCGAAAACAAAAAGAGAGAGAGATAAGAATGTCGCTTCAAACTGTTATCATTCAGAACCAGCAAACGGTTGCTTTCCTCGGCGCTAAAGACTACTGCAGTGCAGTTGTGTCATCTTCGTCTGCATTAGAGAGCCTTGGTAGCATCTCATCAACACAACAAGACAACATCCTTCTTCCAGCAAGAAGAAGAATCTCCTCCTCACATGAAGAAAGCTCAATCGATCAGTGCATGCTTCAGACTAACATTTGGGAAGACGATCGTGCATTTGTCCCTGACAACTTTATGTACACCCATCCCATTCCATTGCCTCCAAACGTCGCTGAGCATGACATGATAACATCCGTTCTCATTTTCAATGCAGCGCTTGCTCACCACTTAATGGCAGGACTAGACAACGAATGGTCACCTAGATTCCTTCATAGGGCAAAGCAATTGTATACATTGGCATACAACTCGTCAAAAGATATCGAGCAGAATCCTTTGTTTCTCTTTGCGTTATATAACAATACTGCATTGGTCAATCTGGTGCAGACTGGCGACAAGGACTCTTGGAACCCCTGCGTTGAGCATTTGGTTTACATCTACATGGTCATGGTGGATGAAGGTGACACTTCGCGACTACACCACCTCCGCGGTTTTCTCGAGAGCCTCGTAGCTAGCATGCCCACTGCGGCCGCGGCTTGATGAAATCGATGGATAATTTGATAAAATACTGTGATAAAACTATAATAGATTCATTTGCATATCTACTGTCAAGTGAGTAGCTCGTAGATTGACCCAATAACATGCAGGTCTAGTGATCCTCTCTCATAAGAGATGCAATGTAGATAACTCTTGCATTCAAGTCGCAGGCTTGTTCCTTTGCCGTCAACAGTGATCTGAAAAACAATAGATTCCGAATTCATCCAATTCATTTTTTCGAAATTGTGTCGTTATGGAATATATCTTTGGATCTACTTGTTTCGTTGACGACATGAATACATTGGCAGATGGGGTCTGCTAGCCTGGCTATGTCGGGACGAGTGAAGACAAACCTTTCGTACAATGCATTGATCATGGAGTCGAGGTCAGTTTTCGGGCAATTTTCTGGCAGAAATCGCACCCAAAGTGGGTTCAAGAAACACTCGAATTAGTGCAGTACCGTCGTAGATGCCGGTAGGTGGGTTGGTACGTGTACACGGGTACCGGTACCGTTGGCGTTTTGTTCGCTTTCAAAAATCCTCCTCGGCGGGAATACTTGTTTAGTTTGCGAAACTGAAACCGGATGTGAACAAGAATATAACATTCGACGCCGGGAACCAATAAATGACATATGTAGCAGGCAGCTGCTGGCTGTCTGCCAGCTGATGTAGCCGACACAGAAGAAGGAGTTCCAGCTGCTCCTTTCATATGAGTACCGTTCAATCAACGGCGCTGGTCGGCCGTGCATAGCGCCAAAGTGAGAAGATAAAGATTCAGCAATCCTTTACGCTAATAAGACCTTGATCTTCTTGTGGTGAATGACTTCCAGCTTGTTCCAGAAAGACTAATGGTCCCGTTCAATTATGAGCTGCTAGTTGGTCCTTGTAATACTGTTGTCTGATGAAGACGGGAAATTATTCTTAAAATAATTGGAAAAACCCAGCAGAAACTGCTAGGACTACTATAATAGGACTATGTATTTACCCTCATATTTCCAACAACAACAAAAAAACAAAAAAAAGAGAGATATTTATAATGTCGCTTCAATCTGTCGTCGACCAGAACCAGCAAACAATTGCTTTCCTCGAAGCTAAAGACTACTACAATGCGCTTGTGTCATCTTCGTCTGCATTGGAGTGTCTTGGTAGCGTCCCACAAACGAAGCAAAAACAACATGAAGACAATCTCCTTGTTGTTCTCCTTCCAGCAGCAAAAAGCTCCTCCTCCTCACCTGAAAGTTCAATCGATCAGTGCATGCTTCATACTACCATTCAGGAAGACGACTATAGTATATGTGAATCTCATTCATTTATGTATAGCCATCCCATTCCATTGCCTCCCAACGTCACTGAGCATGACATCATAACATCCGTTCTCATTTTCAATGCAGCGCTTGTTCATCACTTGGTGGCAATGCAAGACAAAGGAAATTCAGCCAAATACCTTTAAAGAGCAAAAGAGCTGTACACATTGGCACACAACTCGTCACAAGATATCGAGCAGAACCCTTTGTTTCTCTTTGTTGTGTATAACAACACTGCATTGGTCAATCTGGTGCAGACTGGCGACAAGGACTCTTGGAACCCCTGCGTTGGGCATTTGGTTTCCATCTACATGGATATGGTGGATGAAGGTGACACTTCGCGACTACGGCATCTCCAAGGTTTTCTCGTGAGCCTCGTACTGGATAGCATGCCAACAGCGGCCGCGGCTTGATGAAAATCGATAGACATTTTTAAAATTGCAAGTGATACTAGACAATAGATTCATATATGCATACTGTCAAGTTAGAAGCTCGACTAATGCAACTACCTGTAGGTCCGGTGATCATCACTCAAAAGATACTACTGTACCAACCTGCGTCGCAAATATGATTATTCTCTTATTGTACGTGTACGACGCCACCGGGAATCTGAACGATACCTACCTCGCACACGTACATACTATCGAATAATCTTAAATCGCATAATATCATGCATGCATATTCAATACAGTACTCCTATCTAATTGAGATCAGATTGATTCCTAGGATTAATAGCTTTCAGATACCATACCATTGAATCAGTATTGAGCCAATTGCGCTTGAACCGCCAAGAATGTTTGCTTGACAAATTCATTATGTTGCATGATCAGTGGCAATCGCGGGTGTTCATTCACATCCTTTCCCACACCCTTCTTTTGCAAGTTGTCTAGATCTTTAAGGAAGGTATTGACGTGATTGTTGAGGGCGACTGAGGTTTGTGGAAAGTAATGATCGTGAATGGCTTGTTTGGTTTGATAATCTCCGTTTATGTGGGCTTGGTAGAATTGATTTTGGACATTTGCATCCGAAGTGAGAATTTGGTACAAGAGAACGTCCCAGACCTCTTGCGAGATTTCTCCAGTATTTTTGTAAAAGAGCATTCTGTTTTGGGCATACCCCATGTCCACTAGTTCTTTCGATGGTTGGGAAATCATGATCTTGCAAAAGGAAGCTTCCGATGTCTCATCCAAGAAACCATATCGAGCAAACAGCTGGGTTGGATTTGTCGAATCTCCGTACGACAATCGAAGGGGCGATCCTGCTGGAACGTCCTTGCAGGAATATACAACACAATTGCCCTCTTCGTCATATTGCAAGGAAACTTCGGGATCTGATCCATGATCGAACATGTCCGCCATGGGTGCAATTTTGAAGTCCCCATCCGGTGTTGGAAACCCTCTGGTGTACACGACGGCAAAGGCCCACTTGGCCAAGTCTTTGCTACTCTTTACGTTGTCCGACAAGAAGTCGACATATCGCAGTGCTTGAAAGAACTGAATAAACTTGATGCGTTCTCCCATGGCCAAAGAACTTGCCAGTGGTGGCAAACAATCAAAACAAAAGGGTGTCATACTGGCACCGTTGGCATAATATCTCGGCAGTGCGTTGAACCAGGGAAACCATGGCGATTGGTCGCCCTTTTCAAACTCGATCAAAATCTTTAGAAATAGGTAGAACTGGGGCACATGTTCCGATGCCTTTGCTGAGATTAATCTCTGTTCCGCAGCTTCAAGCTTGCCAATCTCTTGAAGAGATTGTTGACTGGAAAGACACATGCCACCGGGGACAAACAAGACCGGGGATCCATTTGGCAAATCAGTAGCTGTCATGACTCCTACTTCCAACACGGGAACGTCTTGGGTGGGTGTCAATTGAAACCCCTCGCATCGTTGGACACCACAGGAAGTCGCCCATTCATCCATGGTACCAATATCGCGGGGCGCTGATTCTTGAATGTCCACGTACATTTGCAATTGTATATCATTCGATCTGGTCATGATTCGTGGCGCATTGGGTTGAAAGGCAAACACTGCCAGGTTGAAAGAAAGGAGGAGGAGGAGTGCCAATTGGAGCCGTCTGGTGGGATGTACATGCCTTATCCTAGATCGATTCATTTTGTTGTTTCAATTGGCAATGCGATGAGGAAATAGAGGAATGGAATGCACGTGCAAAAGCTGATGTATAACTGTAGTGATTTCAACGAGAATGCTTGTACTATAACGCGATGATGTCTGATGTCTTCTGGTTTCGGTATTATTGTCAGGCTGATTCATTCATTCATTCAGATCGCACACAGCCTCGATTTCAAAAATCGGTCCATGACGTCAGACAAACCGATCCAAAAGGGGTTCAAAAAGGTTGAAGCTACAAACTGTGCCTCCTTTCAATTACCCCCGAATCTGAAATCAATCGTCCACTAGTTTCTCTTCGTTTGCTGATGCAACTTTGTTGCAAAGGAAAAATGAGATTGATGAATATAATATATGGCATAATAGTATCCCATACTGTATATTACATGCATCATACACGTCGCTCTTAACTTCTTCTTCTTCTTCTTGAGTAGTAGTCGTGCTCCTGGCTGGTGGTAGCTGGTCGCTACCTGCCTAGCTCACTGTTTGCTCACCGGCTGGTGTATGCAAGGGTCAAGGTAAAAGTACAGTAATAGCTTGCTTCGTCGGGGAAGAAAGTTTGGATGAATACTGTTTGTTGGCTTTCGCTGTAGGTAGTTCTAGCTAGTAGTGGTACTGGTACCCTGGTAGTTAGTTCTGTACCACCACGTGGTGCTTCGTTGCTATGAGGCCAAAGAATGTGCGGCAATCGGACAAATTTCTCGATCGTCACGTGCCACCCGCATAACGGCTCCAAATCCTCGACGGACGACTCCCGTAAACAAAGTCCGATTTTGCGGCGAGTCCAAGACCAACTCCTAAGTAAAGGTATGTGTTGGCTCCAAAATTCTTATGTCGAGCGGTGTTACCATTGGTGTACGTCTACCAAGTACTGTGAAATCTGGCGCGGAACGAGCCAGCAATCCTCAACAGAATCTTTGGTAGTCTCTCGCTCGGATCACACTCTCACCAATCCCATCAAATTATCCGAAAATCGCAACTTTCTCTTGTGAATTGAGAGTATCAACAACAACTCACATCTTCATATTACTTCCAGTACAAGGAAACCCATATTTGAAAGCAGTGACAGTGACAGTGACACTTTTTCGATTGAATCATCTAACGAAAATCGCACTCAATAGGCAACAACAACAACAACGACAACAACCACGACAACAACAACAACAAGTATCACTTGAGATTTAACAACGCAAGAACATAGCATAGCACAACATGTCGGATATGCAACAAGAAGATGTTTCCAAACTGACGGAGGGTTCACATTCGTCAGCCAGCAAATGGACCGGTCTCTCCTCGTTTCTGACCCCCCAGAGTTGGCAATTGAACCGCAATTCCGACTCTATCAACATGGAACACGTCGAAGAAGAAATCGAAATTGAATATTCTCAAACTCCCATGAACAACAATTCTTCACCATGGAGACTCTTTCACACGGCTCCCTTTACTTCCCCCTTGGCAACCGTTCCTTCCGATACCTCGTCCTCCACTGTCCCTAGTGACGAAGAAAATGAAGATTCTGACGATACTGACTTTATCAAGGCCTACATTGCCTCCATGGAAACCTTTCTCGCGACGAATACCAAGGCGAGACAAACCATTAGTGCCAAGGATTCGAGGCGCAACACCAATCGAAATGCCAGGGTTAATGCTCTGGGTCAGATTGAAGAGGACAATGCACCTGTGACTCCTGCTCAAGTTGTCCCTCAAGTAGAGTTTGATTCCAATCAGACCAAATTCTATGTCGAATCGGAAATCTCGGGCGAAACGGGTGGCGATTCCTTGCTGGCCGGTATTTCGGTGGGGACCGAAGCCGCAGCTTCCATTGAAACTGTGGATGTCAGCAATCATGATAAAAAGAAGAGACTACTGGGTCTTGGCAAAAGTCCAGCACGCAAAGTTCAGGTACTGGTACCTCAACCACCAAGAGAACCTGCCTCGCATGTACCAGCTGCTACCGAAAGCATGTCGGGAACTGCCACTACTCATCGGGATGATAGTACCAAGGCTGTGGTTGTTCCCATGAGAGAAAAAGCTTCCGCTCCTAAGAAATCATCGGATCCACTCAAGAAGAAGCTCAAGACTTTGGATGAACCCAAGAAGAAGAAAAAGCTTATACAGACTCGCACCACTGTGAACCGGTCACTTCTTCGCAAGATTGTCCTGTTTTTGCTCGTGGTTATCGTTCTTGCTGTTACTATTTCCTATACTTCATCTGGATCAGAGGACAGCGTGTCACAGGCCGCGGCTAATGGAGGCGAAGGAAGTGGCAATGAGGCCGTTGACAATCTCAACCCAACCGATGGAAGCAATGGAGATACTACTGATGGGGACAACAATGCTTCTGGCAATGATGGTGGGGATGGCAGTGATGGTGGAGACGCGAGTGATGGAACTAGTGGCAATCCATCCAACTCGGATGGAACCAGCGACGGCAATAGTCCCACTGCAGGCAATGGATCTTCCGAGCCAAATGTTTTTACGGTTCCAACGGCACCACCCACACAAACCACACTCGCAACTCCCAAGGAACCCGCCAAAGCACCCAAAACACCGGAACCCACACGATTTCCCACTCCACCACCAACGCCATACCCCACACCACCCCCGACTCCGGGGCCCACACCGCCACCAACTCGGCCTCCCACTCAGGAGCCCACAGTGACACCCCGTCCAACTCCTCGGCCAACTACAGAACCATCAGCACTGCCCACGCAAGAACCAACTTGGAAGCCGACTACGGCACCCACACCAGTACCTCCTGGTATTACTGTGACTTATGTTCCAGGCAAATTGACCAGGATGGAAAATGGAATACGATTGAGCCAAGGACTCAAGAGTAGAATCATTGCGCGAACTGGGCAAAGGGTCCCACTGACGGCCAATGAAGGCATTCGGGGTGCCAGTACACAGTCCAATGAACCATTTCATGTTCGACCGGATGGAGCGGAAGTGTTTTTCGACTCGGATACCGGAGGATGGGCCTATCTCAGCAACTCGGAATCCAAGAAACAAGGAGAAGGCGGTGTCGGGGCCATTTACTTTGATAAGAACGGAGAGGTTGTGGATTACAAAATGCTACTAAAAGATACGACTTGGAATTGTGCAGGAGGAAAGACACCTTGGGACACATGGTACGTATAATGACAGGGATGGAACGAAATGAAATGTAACCAGTGCCATCATAATTTCTCATACATTTTCATTTCCTTACTCTTCAACAGGGTCTCGTGCGAGGAAATACGAGGCGGATCCATTTACCAAGTCGATCCCTTTGACCGTCGACCTCCTCAAGAAACCACAATGGGTCAAATGAGAGGAGGTTTCTACGAAACATTTGCGTATGATGTTCGGGATTCCACAAAACCCCGATTCTTCGCCACGGAAGATCATCACCGAGGCACTTTGAGGCGATTTACACCCAACGATGCGAGTTGGTTCGATCCTTGGAATATGCTGCACAGCGAGGGTGAACTAGAATACATGTACATGACACCGGATGATGACACCAACCGAACAGGTACCTTCCGATGGACGACGGACTTTGAAACGGCCCGCAACAATGCTTTCCTTTACTTCCAAAATAGCGAAGGGCTGGACGTTCGAGACAATGAATTGTACGCTACTTGCAAGTACTACAAGGAATTGTTCATTTTCAATTTGGATGACTTTACATATACCGTCCACTCGACGGTATCTGGTCTCTTTGATGGGATGCCCGATCAAATCAAACGATTGGTACATGATGAAGATGAATTGCTGTACATGTGTGAAGAATCCGGCAGCGAAAACGGGATCCACGCAAGAAATTCCAGGGGCTGGTTCTTTACTATCCTCGAGTCGGCTCAGATTAACGATGAGACGACTGGATTGGCTTTTTCACCAGACAACAAGCACATGTACCTGGCTTACCAAGACACCGGACTGATATTTGACGTCTGGCGAGAAGATGGATTGCCATTCAACGGTAGAACATTGAATGTCAGATACCACGAAAATGCTCAACGAGGATGAGCAAAATAGAAAGTGTATATATAATACTAGAGAGCGAAATAGTTATTTGATACTGTAGTCCTATTAAACTAGTAGGTTGGCGAATTGAAAGAAGGAAATTTAGGAAGAGCAGGGGAATGTTTCGAAAAGGGTGGGGGGTTGCGTGTCCAATTTCTATTTGAATTTGGCTGTCAACATACGAATTGATCTAGGCAAACTTATAACGTTGCATATTTAACTCCGGTTGATACTTCTTCATCTTTTCAAGGTCCCAACTTTCGTACGGGTGCCCCTCTTTTATCAGCACTTCTTCCGCGATTGGACCCCACCACTCGGAACATTTGATGGGACTATTCATTCCCAGCGCCAATGATCTCAATCGGGTACTCATGAATTGGGCCATTACAAAGTTGTCGGGCACCTCTTCCCAGGGATCTTCAGCTTTCATGTCATCAATGAATTGTTGAATATTTTTGCCTTCGGTGACGTCTTTGCCCCAAGAATCGTATCCAAATAGAATGAGTTTCATGAGGATATCGCGACGTCCATATTTGCTCTTGTACCCTCCAATGTCGCAAAGTTGGAACAACTTCTCTTCGTCCCTTCGATGGATGGCAGCATACAACAAACACATAGACAAGCGTTCATTTCGAATCAATCGTTTCGTGGCACCATAGTCAATCAAACCTATTCTTCCATCAGGCAAGAGCAAGAAGTTCCCACCATGTGGATCTAAAAAGCTACCTTGTGAGACACTGGCAAGTCGAATAGAGTTTGATTCGATAGAACATTACTCACCACTATTGAAAACTCCATCTTGTAACAATTGGTATCCATGTACCCGCATAAGGGTATCAATTATTCGTGGCGTGTTGGGTGGTATCGATGACTTCTGGTAGGAAATTGTGGATGCTCCCAGAGCTTTCCCCGCAACGCTGTTGTAGGCAGCGATACCGACATTGACAAAACTGTCCCGAATCTTCAAATATCTTGAATATATAGCAATTTGCCATCCCGATGGTCCATCGTATTTCGCAGGAATTCCCTCCTTTTCGATCCTGGAACGAGCTTCATTTTCCAAAGCCTCCAAAGTGGTGCCGTTGGCCTCAGCCCATTCTGCATAGAACTTACGCATTCCGTCAATAAGCTTCTCCCCCGGTAATAACTCCATGACAAGCATTCGTTTAGTAGAAAGCTCAGGGAATGGCCTCGGAACTACCACTTGGCCTGGGGCAAAGCCATCCTTTTCGAGGTTGGCTCGAATCTCTTCCAGGTTCTTTGCTTCTTGCGTGTAATCCAATTCGCCCCTATTTGATTGTTCCATGGCATTCAACATTACAACGTGTTCTGGTGCAAATGCCTCGCAAAAGGCACGAATGGCGTGAATGTCGTCGGAAAAAAGCTTTTGGGCCTCTGGATATTGAATTTTGATAGCTACCTCGATCAGTTTCCCATCCTTCATCAATGTCCCACGGTGAACTTGGCCGATCGATGCACTTCCTAATGGTTTCGGGTCAATTGAGACAAAGGTTTCATCGTAGGGCTTTCCAGTCTCCTCCAGAATGGTTTGGTGCACCACTTCAACTGGTCGTGGTGGGACCTCATTCTCCAAGGTTCTCAAGGCGCGAATCCAAGCCTCCCCAAGAGTGTTGGTGAATCCGGCAGCTGAAGTCGAAAGTGGCATGAGCAGTCAAAACAAGAGTATGCACAAATGATGAAAATGATTGCATTCGTACCTGTTTGTCCATATTTGCAATACATGCCCTGCAATTCACCAAGTCGTTCCACAGTGCGATCAGCATACAAATCATCAAGAGCCTTCCATTCCTCCTCCTTCTCCTGTTGATCTAGTTCCTTTTTCTTCAGCAATATATTAGGTGTGCTTTCCTCGGAAGATAGTAGAGACGACAAAGATGATTTCGCCGTGGCAAGATACTTGTGGCGAGCTTCTACCCATCGATAATGAAGTACCACAGGAACAAAAGTCGAGTAGGCCTTCATGGCTCGACGGGTTCCTTCATCCTCATACCAGTATAGAAGTCCTCCTCCAATACCAGCCGTTCCTACTATGCCTCCCAATACCTTTGGGACAAGCTGTCTTCGTATCCGTACCATCGCCTGTGTCCAAACAGAAATTTGGTCATGGATCGTGTTTTTGTTCTTTTGATGGTGCTTCAAAAGCGATGACGTCATTGCAAACCATTTTTTCGTGAAGTACACTGTTGTCCTGTACCAGGTACCGGTAGTCCTAAAAGCTACAGTAAAAGCTAGAATCATCAAAACATTCAATACTCTTAAAACACTCTTAGCTCTATCTTTTCTTGTCATTACGAGTTTACATTTCGCCGATCCAATCTTAGGCTGGTGGAATTACTCCTTCTTTTCTTCTTCACTAGTACTGTCAGACGAAATGACCTTGATCATATCCTCAAAGTAATCGGGCTGGACACTGCACACGTAGAATTTTTCAGAAGGACTAAAGCCGTTGAAAGCACTTGCAGCAGCCATGGTATAGGCGCCCATGTTTTGAAAGTACATCCAGTCGCCAACATCGAGCTTTGGCAAAAGGACGGATCGAGCAATGACATCGATGGAGTCGCATGTGGGACCGAACACAGTGGAGGCGTAAAGCTCGCGATTACCATCGTCCGATGTCTCACCAGCAGCCCACTTCTTCTCAACGTCCACTGGATTCATGCGGAGAACACGAGGACGGATGTTGGCATGATCAAACATGATATTGTTGAAGGCACCGTAGACGCCATCATTGATGTAGTAGGCGTAATCGTCTTGGAGCTCTGCTGTATCAATCACGGTTTGCACAACAATACCCTTTACGGCAGCTTCTCCAGCCGCAGCCAATGTAATCATGGCACTATTATCGGTTTGTCCCTCCTCCAACTCGGCAGTGGCTGCCACAAGTGGATATGCCATACCTTCCACAGTGTGTAGTTGTTTGTCAAGCTGACTATCCTCTGGTGGACCCAACAGATAACCGGCAGTCTCAAAGCCTTCGTCGTACAGATTCAATTTATCATTGTATACATCAAACTCTTGCTGAGCCAGTTGTTGACTGGCGTACAGCTTGGAATAGTCGTTCAATCCTTCTTGAATTGAGGCAAAGACTGAATCGTCAAAGTTCATGGATTGAGTGATAGAGCCCGTGCGACGGTGAACAATGTCCCCTTCTTCTTTGCGGGTCATCTCGCCCATGGCGGCAGACGCTTCCTTGTCATTGACAGGAGTCTCTTCAAAGGAGGTATCATAGACACTGGAACGAGCTGCACTTACGGAGCAACACAATGTGGAGGTTGCTGCTGCAAAGTAACGGCCAGGTTCGCCAATGATACGAACACCAGACGATGGTGGAAAGTGTCGGTCGAGTGCAGGGCCTACTTCGGCTGCAATTTCAGTGAAGAACATGAAGTGGTCGTCCTCCTCTTCCTTTTTATCCTTGTTTGCTTCGACTCCAATCTTTTCTTCCACTTCGTCTGGCTCCTCGTCGTCGATTTCTTCAGCAGGATTCCACAAACTGTGAGTTTCACCAGGGAATCCTCCACCTGAAGTGCAAAAATGGTTTTGAAAAAGTGAGTTATCCGATCCACACTTGACGCGAAGATTTTCATGATGAATCAGCATAACATACCGATATCAATGAGGTTCATTTTCATTCCAAACTCGTTTTCTGCCATGGCAAAGATTTCCTTTGCATCCTTCAAGGCCAACTCGTACTTGGAGGCATCACGGCATCCCGATCCAACGTGGAACGAAACGCCAATGACGGGCAATCCATATTGCTTGGCAGCCGCCAAAAGATGCTTCCACTTGTATCGAGGGGCTCCGAACTTGGTGCTGAATCGGCATCGACTCCCCCGATCGTCTGTTGCGATACGTAGAATAAGCTGGATGTTCTTGCTGATGGAAGCACACTTTTGAACTTCGGTGGCATTGTCAAAGGTGACCATGCGAACACCCTTACACACGGCTTCGATCACGTGAGCGCGAGCCTTGCATGGGTTGGCGTAGATAATATCTGGCTTTCTTGGCAAACCCTTGGCTGCTTCTTCGACCAGTGCAATCTCAGCGCGAGATGCACAATCAAAGTTGCATCCCAAAATGGCCAAAGTCTTCAAGATGACGGGATCAGGGTTGCATTTGACCGCGTAGAAAGGTTCGACACGTGGAAAGAAGCGACGCCCTATACAAGATGGACAGCAAGAATAGGATATTTGAGTGATTGGTATTCTGATATTCTGAATGAGAGTTGTAGAAAGCACGATCGAGTTGTTTCCTTTGTCGTGAATGCGACAAATAGCCGACATCAATCAGCGGCGCTTGTGACTTACATTGGTAAACTTGGGAGAAGAGGACTCCAAGGTCAACAATATAGAAAGCTTCTTCGTTGAGGGCAGGACAGTCCGCTGTAAGTTCACTTGCTCCCGGAAGCTGAAGAGCGTTTGCCAGAACGGAAGTGGTGGAACGTTTTTCCAAATGGTATTGAGCTGCCTTTCGAAGACCTTTGCCCATGGAAGATCCACCGAGGTAGACGTTCTCTTGCTTCAAGAAGTTGCCCAAGATGCCGCTTGTTTCTTCTGGATCAACAGATTGGAACGAGAGTTGCCGAGTGTGGACCATAGTTCTGTTTCGTGCGCAAACTCTGAAATCAAATTTGTGACGACGGGAAAGTGCCAATCTTTGAAGAATGAATCAATCAGGATCCGTCAGTTGTCGTTTTTCAAGATTCATTTCTGATCAGACACTTCTTTGAAATGTGTTCTTCCTTGAAAAACCCAGTTCTTATTTACATGATGTGGAGAACAGAACCCTCCCATTCCAGTAGCTTTTGAACGTGACCTGTCCGTGCATGAGCCGCCTTCACAAATCCAATCTATTGAAACTCACGGTAAATACGCGAGATTTGATTTCGGACGGCTCTCGTTCACGGACTAAATTCTTGATCAATGACTCTGTCAACCACAAATTGAAAGCGTCTGACTCCTTTGCAACTGCAACGCTAATTTGTTCGTGTGGCTGTAACAATGAATATTGTATGAAAATGATGCCCAAGTTCCCATTCCATCCAAGAGAGCGAAGGCTGACAACCCACTGGACCAATAATGAATTCCAAAAACCCATCCCAATAGCTACTATAGGAGTAACAAGCCAGCAGCCAGCAAGAGGAGCACATCGCTCATTGAACCACCTATCAAATAATCTACTTTTAGTCTTCTCAATCTTCCTGATCTTGGTAGACTCTGCGGTGGTAGTTTTGCTACTAGATGTTAGCTGATTGATTGTTATCATGCATTCATGACCTCCCACCTATACACTACGACCATACCCACCTAATACCTACAGTACGTCCCATATTTCATTCATGCCCGTTCTACTTCGATTCATTCCTTCGACTCGCTTACAAAGACAAAATCTCAAATTGAGCCGCGTTTGGACCAGAGGAAAAGGCATGTATTTGAAACTAAACTACTACTGTGAAATATCCTACACTACCAGGATACCGGTGACTTAGCGGTAGCCTGAGATGCCTAGATTCATTCTGGTGAGCCACTGCTTCGACACCACTCGCTCTGTAAAAAGGAGAAGAGCCCATATCTTCCTTCCATCGGTTGAAGCTCAATCGACACTCATCTTTTTACAAGAAAAAGCGTTGGCCATCTTTTTCCTTTTGTGCAACCGAGTTATTACTTTGCAGCATAGGTACGTACACCTTATATGAGCGGGTGTCCTTGTCATTTGAGTCATGCAATAAGTAGTACAGTATTAGTCACAAATGAGCGTACTGACTTAGTGTCTATCGTGTCGTGAAATCAAAATTGAGAGACACGTTTCGACCAAAGGCATGTTTCAAGCTCAATTGCTATACATATCCTTGGAATATCCGACACTACCAGAAGACAGGTGTCTCAGTGGTAAACTGAGATGCCTGCATTCTGATGAGCCACTGCTTCGACACCACCTGTAAAAAGGAGAAGAGCCCATACCTTCCTTCCATCGGTTGAAGCTCAATCGACACTCATCTTTTTACATGAAAAAGTGTTGAGCATATTTTTCCTTATTTGCAGCCAATCTGTTTTGTAGTACGAGTATCTCATGCAAGAGCGGGTGTCGTCATCCAAGGTTATAGCATCATCTCATTAAAAGGGACAGTATTAGTTTTAGAGGGTACTGCTTTAGCGCCGTTTGTTGAAGCCTTCATTTTCATCCCATGATGAGCCCCAACAGTAAATAGGCATCACCACCTTATACGGTAGGCAAAGTCCGTTGTTCGAATGTCATCATCCAAACCCACCAGCGACGCGAAGGACGCAGAATCTGCAGCAGCTGAAATAACGTCGGTTTCAGGTTCCTCAGATTCTAAAGCACCCCAAGGAACACCATCAGCATCAACGCCATTGTCAGCAGCAGCAGCAGCAGCAGCAGCACCATCGGATGCCAACCAACCCAAAGTAGAAGTAACTGTTCCATCTCCATCTCCATCTCCTTCACGCAAAGTCAAGGTTCACTTTGTTCCCGTTGGCTCTGCTCCCATTCTAAAAAAGACCAAGTTTCAAATCAGTGCCGACCAACGGTTTGCGGCCGTGCACACCTTTTTGCGCAAGTTGCTCAAGATGAATCATACTGGCAGTACTACTACCAACTATGGAAATTCCTCAGCAGCAGTGCCTCCACCACTCTTTTTGTATTTGACGAGCGCCTTTTGTCCCAGCCTCGAAGAAATTGTGGGAGAGTTGGACGAATGTTTTTCCAAACGGGGGGAATTGGTCGTGCATTACAGTTTGCAAGAAGCATGGGGATAGATAGATAGATAGATAGATATAGACGTTGGGAAGGCTCATGTCATTTTGAAGTATACTTTTGAGACCCGAACGACTGAAAACTCGAGTTTTATTGAGGAAGAATGGCTCTCAAGACATACTGTCCAGTTCTGATATCGTCTCATATCATGCAATGTATACGGCACTTATTGCACATATGACACACTACCACCATCCATTGGCTGTTCCAATAGGAGGTATAATCACAGCACATATATTATATATGTGCTAAGGAAAGTAAGAAGTGGCTGTTTGGAAGTATATCATGTTTCCCACCAGTCACTGCGGAATGAATGGAAATCCACTAAAAATATTGCCAAAAGAGATGAACGTGAATCAATCAATCAATCAATCAATCACCATCACCATGACTAATAAATATATATCTGTATTGAATATGTATGTACAGTAGATACTAGCTAGTATACAAATAGAATACCAGCACAGTCAGAACATACAAGTACAGTAGATACTGTCATGAATGCTTCTTGAAAGCAAAAAGTAGCTCCTCCTCTTTGGATTTGTTGGTTCCGCACCGGTCATGCCTGAACATGTCAACGTGGATGCTATGTAAAATACATTCACCAACACCATCATCATTATGTCTATACATATTATCGTAGGTAGATATATATACTACTAGTGAGTCAGTCGTACGATTACTAGAGGTCGTTCCCTTCCAAGACAGAAACCGAATGTCAAAACAAGTAGTTTTGTAAGATAGAACTATGAAAAAGAAAAGTCTAAAGTCTTTGATAGGAGTTGTAGAATAAGTTCAAGTCTTTAGTGGTTTTTAAGTTGTTGTAGTTCAAGGAGGATTCGCAAGAGATGTATAGATATATGTGTACATATATATATATATATACGTCTATCGTCGCATGTAGTCTATCAATGCATGTATAGTCTCTGGAAAGGAATGTGTGTGTGTGTGTGTGTATGGTGTATGATGATTGTGTGAATGGTGGAAATTGGATGCGCCAGTGGTTGTGATGTAGTGACGAATGAATCAATAATGCACGATTGATTTGAGATTGATTCGTGGAAGAAGCATCATGGATCGTCCATGATGCAATGTGCACATGTGTGTAGGTAGGGAGTAGGCAGGCTGCAATCCATAGGAAAGATGAATGTGGTGTGGTGTGTAAGGTGACGTTGGTGCTTTTGATGTGAGCATGCTTCGTTTCCTGGTCGCCACCAAATCTTGTGTTGTGTGTGTGTGTGTGTGTGTGTATATATCTTTTAACTTTTCATAGTAGAACATACAAAAGTTCAATAAAAGTAATTCGTCCAACCATCTTCGGCATGGACTTCGGCAGGCTTGAGGAAGTGTCTGACTTCGGTGGATTCCATGTCAAATTGAACCACCGAACAGGAGGATTCACTGCAAATGCTGGAAGATCGCTTCATGTTTCCTTCTTGGCCAGCAGTACCACAACTTGCCACCGATGAAGATCCATTGCCATTGCTGGTAAAGGAAAATCGAGATTCGCGAAGGCAGGAAGTAGGAGGACGCTTCTTGAGTTCCCCTTCCGACTTGTGTCTCAATGGCGAAGTGTTAAAAGAAGTAGAGACAGTCTCAGGGATCTGCTCACCCACCATGTGCAAGGAATTCAGCGAAACAGATCGCCTCGTGTCTTGCGAAAAGAGCGACCTTCGGGGCATGCCGGGAGAAGCTCCTGTAGCTGTAGCCGTGGCTGTAGCTCGAGTGTTGTGATGCGTATGCGTATCCGTGGATCGAAAGGGATCCGCATTGCGTGACTCCTCTTGAGATAGCTGGTCGTCAGCAATCTCAATGATAGCGGTAGGAGGTCCGGAAGCAGACGGAAGATTCTCAGGGGATTCGCCAGTCTTGACCCAATACTTGGAAAAGAGCGACCGCCTTACGGATCCCGTGGATTGAAGGCCAGAGGTGCTGCTTCCGAGACTGGAAACAGAAGAGTCATCAAGGCCAGGGGTGGAAGCGTTGCCAGCAAATGGACTCGCTTGCTTTGAAAACAGAGCCGTTTTCACAGGCAGCGATTTCTCCTTCATTAGCGATAGGTCAAAGAGTTGCTTGTCTTTGGACGCTGACGAGCTAGATGACTTCATCACCATCATGTTGTTGTTGTTGTTGTTGCTGCAGCTGATATTGCTTTGCATGTTGTTTGTTATCTTTTGTTGTGAGAATAGATTCAGATAAATATGACCTGGACACAAAAAGGAGGAAAAGATCGGTGTCGAGTCTAACGTAGGCAGTCCTTTTTATCGTAGAGGACAAAATGGCTGTAAAGAACAACGGGATTAAGATGCTTGGGATGGATGGAGGATCAAAGTGTTGTTGAATCCGTTTTTGTGTAAAGAGATGCAATAACGACCAGAAGAGAGATCTACTGTCAAGAACCAACAGAGATTTGTGCTCGATACGATCGCAGTAGCGATCTCTTGTTTTGCTAGTAAGTCACACGACAAAAGCTTCCACCAGGTGGTGAAAGATGATATTGGCCACCGAAGCATACTTTTAGCGTTCGCAATCGGTCCGGTCAGAAGCAACAGGTGCTCGCCACCAAAATTCCGTAGAAGGTCATAGATAATTTTGTTGGCGTCGATTTATCGACTTGAAAAAGACAACGTCACTCAACTTTTTGATTGGTTCCACCACGTCGGTAGCTCAAAAACTTGGATTGTGAAGGTGTGATGTCGACGACTCCGACCGCACAGAAGTTCGAACAGCTGTTGTTTTCAATCCCAAAAATTCCGGAAACAGATGTTCTCCAGCGAACGGAACATCTTGAACTTTGCTTGTTATGGGTAGAGCTTGTTGATACTGAACCACAGACATACGGTGGTGCGAAATGTTCCACACATGGAACGCCAAAAAGGGGCAAGACAGTTTGATTCGAATCATGTGCCAAACGGTCAATATCTCACGGAGGAGTCAGTACCTAGTACTGGTACTGGTATGGGGGTCTGTATGTACGCGTGCTTTATCAATACCACGCGCGGTTCAGTCATGATACACTTCATCAACTGTGCACAGTGGCTGTTATTACCCGGCACCCGTGTTCGTTCGACCCGAACCAATTGAGGTTTGTGCCGTCCACTATGGTGAAGTAGGTACGCAGGACTAATTACTACTGTACTGTACATGTACGAGCCTTACATGCAACATAAAAAGCAACAGTGAACAATGGTCACGTAGGACTAATTACTACTTTCATCATTGCACAACGGTCATGCCGTGCATGCATTGGTACCAGTACCGGTAGGACTACTACTAGCTAATTAGTACTGCATAATAATACTTCCTTCCATGCAACAATGGTCATATATCGGTAGGACCAATCTACCGGACCGCTGTCATCATCGTCATCTTTTGGTAATCCTACAGTACAGTAGGTAGGAGGCCTTCATAACTCGAAACATTATCATATGTCCAATGATATTACCCCTAGCTCGTCCAAGCTTCGACATACCAGTATGTGTGTATGCCAGTCTTTTTTGTGTGTGCTAGTTATTGCCTTCAAGAACGGCCTCTACACGGCCTCTTGGATGGTCTGCACTTTCGTCCACGTTCTGTAGATCCAAAGACAATCGCCATACCCTCTTCCAGACGGAGGAGAGGGGTGTACGGGAGTAGTCGTCGGTGTCGATCCTCCACCTCAGCAAGGCTCAAGGTTGCTTGCAGAGTATTTGGATCAACAAACCCGCAAGACCACCAACGCCCACAATCTTCAAACGTATAGTAGTTGTACCCATGATCACTATTGTCCAATAAAAAATTGCCCTCATCGCAGCAGTGATCGTCTTTTGTCAGCAATGTCAGGTTGGAAAAGGATCCGACATTTGGAAGAAAGCTTCCAGCATACGGGTCCGACTGGTGTCGATCAAGCGAGGTAGGAAGATCCGATTCGTGAGGCAGAGGTTGCAGGCGATGGGGAAAGAATGCAAGTCCATCATCCAGTCCTTGCTTCAAAAGTGGCAGAACCGAAGGTTTCGTGTACAAGATGGTGTCCGGTTCGGTCAGATAGACATATCTCCAGTAGGAAGGATCCTGCAACGTTCCAAGCCACTCGGCGCGTCCGGGCAGTCGTCCCATCAACGAGAGCCGCATTCCCAGTACTGCCGCTCGTGGCATGTTGAAATCTACCCATTTGGTCTTGAGCCAGGTTTCATCGTTGATCTGCACACATGCAATTTCCGTCTGCCCCAATAATACCGTTACTCCAGTGATGATCGTCACAGGAGAAGAAGGAACTGCATACGATGCCAACAATCGAAACGCCTCTTCCACTAGAACTTGATCATGGTCACCATGACAAGTCACAACGATTCGTCCAAAGCCTACTTTGTAGAGGGATCCAAGAGTTGCAGCCAAAGCATGGGATGTTAGCTTGTCCGCTCGATCCTCCAGCTTGCCAACATATGGTGCAAAAGCAACCATTGCAATGGTCGGATGCAGAGGTGTTGTTGTTGTTGGTGGTGGTGGTGTTGTTGATTGACCTTGTGTTTTCAGTAATGATGATGATGATGATGATGCTAACTTGCGCAAATAGTTTTCCAAAAAGGAAATTACCTTGTCAAAGGTAGCGGAATTGGAATCCTCTAAAATGAACAACCACTTCCACCACTTGGAAAGATGCTCCACCGAAAATTCCGTCCAGTCCACCAACATTTTGGATCTTGCCAAGGGTTTCGTCTTTCCAGAAGCCACCAAGCATGCATCCTCTACGATTCCAATCTTTTGCGGGTTCATTTTGAGAAAATCGGACCGAGAAAGTAGCCAGGAATCGGAAAAGTAATCGTGTACTGACAACTCGTGGTTGGGAATAAAGTTCAACGATGAGGATGATGAGGATGATGGCTGTGACAAGAATGACTGCTCAACTGCCAATACGGAGAGGCTCCCTGAACCAGTGGACATCCACCTATGGACTAGATGGAAGTAAAAGATTAATAGAAACAAAAGAAAAAGAGCCGCGGATCGTTTGCTGCAACGGCAGGGTTCATGATGTCGCCGTGCTGAACGAGATGATGACTTCTTCTGATGTGGCTTGGGGTTTCGGCAGATCCAGCAGCGACATGGCCTATGCATCACTCCAAGATTTGGCATTCACAAAAGTAGTGTGGAATGTTATATCATTCTGTCTGTGATCTCTATTCAGCAACAAGCAACTTGTATTTGGTACTTGTACTTGAGGTGCGTGCGACTTCGCCATTGCGACTTGTTGTTTTGGTGACATCGATATCTTAGTGTTCGAAGGAGTCGATTATATGGTGAAAATATTCCAGGTCGGTCCGGTCTGTAGTGTACGTGTACTTGTATGTCCTTGGCTGTGTCACATCTTTTTCAAACATTTTCTTGTGTGTGCACACAATAATAGCATTGGCAGCGCAATAATATATAGCGAGACAAACACTTGAAAACAACTGGAAAAACACTTGACAATACAGGATCCAACAAGAAGAGATCTTGGAATGCAACAACCACTATCATCGGATGGAATTGTGCGAGATTCATCCAAACAAGTGGATGAGGAAAACAGAAATGCCACCACCAGTTATCGAAAAATGGAGAACGCAGATCCCAATTATCCCCTTGAAGTCGACAAGGATGACGACGTGTCCATGGCAATGTCGATTGCGTCCTCAGTCATGACAGCAGATGGAATCGAAGATCCAACAGGTTTCGCAATCGTTTGTCTTGCTATATTGATCGGGGATATGTCCAGGGGTGTGATGTTTCCATCATTGTGGCAACTCGTTGAGGCCTTGGGAGGAACTAGTGTAACTCAAGGTTATGCAGTTGCCGCATTCTCCTTCGGGCGCATCCTCGTATCGCCAATGTTCGGAACTTGGAGTGTCACGCATGGATACTCGCAGACGCTGTTGATCAGTTGCTCTATTTTGCTTCTTGGTACTCTGTTCTACGCACAAGCTCAGAACGTAGGAAGACCAGAGTTCCTAATCTTGTCACAAACTTTGCTTGGAATTGGATCTGGAACTCTTGGAGTAACACGTGCTTTTGTAGCAGAAGTCACAGCTACTCGGAATCGAACTACATACATGGCTTGGATTACTGCAGTTCAGTATGCTGGGTTCACCGTTACACCATTTGTAGGAGCTTTCTTCAATAAAGTTCTTGAAGACACTGACGTCAACATTGGGTAAGTTCTGTGTGTCTTGCGGAACATTTTGTCATGGATGCTTGATACAATTCCTCCTTTGCTATGCCACATCAGTTGGATCAGGATTAACATGTTTACAGCCCCAGCATACTTCATGTCTATCACTGTGGCGCTCACCATATACATGCTTTTGATGCACTTTCAAGACCGAGCCAGGAGTCAAAACCCCAAGGATATCAAGAAAATGTCTGCCAAAAGGGCTGCAATTGATGACCATGCGAATCAAATGACCATGGTAGGCCTTTCCATTTACGACTGCTGCATCGTTGGGTGCATGCTACTGAATGTTGCTACGAAGGGTAGCATCGGATGTTTTGAAACCCTTGGTATCTCCATAGCAGAATCCCTTTTTGGAATCTCATCCACGATGGCAGGGACCATTGTTGGTTCTTGCGGGACGATCGGGGTCATTTCTCTGCTGTCGATGGGAAAGATATCTCAATTCTTGTCTGATATTCAAATGATCTGTGGTGGAATGTTTGTCATGGCAATTGGCATACTAAGTCTGACATTTGTAGAGGAGAACGGCGACAATCCTTCGTGGGTATACATGTTGTCCTTCTTTCTGATCTACTCTATTGGATACCCCATTAGTCACACGGCTGTGATTAGCTTGTTCTCGAAGAGTAAGTCCCGCTATTTTTGCGAATTGGCCGAATTGACTACTAATAGATGCGAAACTAATCCATTTGCGTTCCAAAGTTGTTGGGAGGAGACCCCAGGGGACACTGCTTGGTTGGTTTGCATCCGCTGGATCGCTGGCACGGCTTGTGTTCCCCGTCGTTTCCGGTTATGTGGAACACTACCTCGGCATTGTCACCCTTTTCTACATCTTGACGGGAGTGTTGGGCGTTTCCACAGTTGTCACACTCTACAACCAGAAGACACTCACAATGTTGTCGCAGTAGCAGGTAAAGTTAATGAACCTGTACATGTTTTCTCACATGGCTACTCTGGTCCTTGCATTAGTCAGCAGCACGTGGCAACCATAGTCTAAGATGCTCGGGGTGTAATCCAATTCTTTAGCAGTTGACTTTCAGCGAATAGACAAAGTGCGTTCATTATTTTCTTTGTTCTTGTACACTTGTGTTGATAGTTTGTATTGGTGTATTGGCACCATCTAACAGTGCATCAGACGGCGTACCAAACTGGCTCTAGATCGCACATTCCCATCATCACCAATAGCATGGTATTATCTTCAATCATATTACTGGTAACGCATGCATGTCTGATCGCTTTGAGTTTGGCCTTATTCAAGATTTATATCAATACGGTAGTTGTTTTCGAGAAAGGATGCTGCGCTGATGGACACATGTGTTGAACGAACAAGATTGAGGTTCCCCGAACCAGTGGACATCCACCTATGAACTAGATGAACGTAAAAAAAATCAATAGAAACATCAGAGTAAGAGTCACAGATCGTTTGCTGCAACGGAAGGGTTCATGATTTCCACCGGCTGAACGAGAGGACTTGGTCTGATGCGACTTCGGGTTTCGGCAGATATAGGAGCTGCATGGCCTATGCATCACTCCAAGACATGACATTCACAAAAATAGTATGGAATGATATCATTATCTGTCTGTGATATCTATTCAGCAAGAAGCAACTTGTAATTGGCCTTCACTTTATTTTAAAAAACGTGACTGGCTGAGTGTCTCATTCGTCCTACAGTATTATTGTACCGGTAGTTTGGTCATAGAATGGGATAATATGTTCGAAAGAGTCGATTTATTGCAATTTTAAAAAATTGTAGTCATGTTGGTCGGGGCCCTTTGGCTGTGTTGATCACAACGAACCTCTTTTTCAAACCATCCTGCCAGCACAACAACAGCGTTGGGAGCGCAATACTGAATAGTAGACTGTATAACGAGCTAAACACTTGATCACTTGACAATACAGGACCCACCGAGACGAGCTCTTGAAATGCAGCAACCACAACCACTATCATTGGATGGAATTATGCGAGATTCATCCAAACACGTGGATGAGGAAAACAGAAATGCCGCCACTAGTTATCGAAAAATGGAGAACACGGATCCCAATTATCCTCTTGATGTCGACAAGAATGACGACATGTCCATGGCAGTGTCGATTGCGTCCTCAGTCATGACAGCAGATGGAATCGAAGATCCAACAGGTTTCGCAATCGTTTGTCTTGCTATATTGATCGGGGATATGTCCAGGGGTGTGATGTTTCCATCATTGTGGCAACTCGTTGAGGCCTTGGGAGGAACTAGTGTAACTCAAGGTTATGCAGTTGCCGCATTCTCCTTCGGGCGCATCCTCGTATCGCCAATGTTCGGAACTTGGAGTGTCACGCATGGATACTCGCAGACGCTGTTGATCAGTTGCTCTATTTTGCTTCTTGGTACTCTGTTCTACGCACAAGCTCAGAACGTAGGAAGACCAGAGTTCCTAATCTTGTCACAAACTTTGCTTGGAATTGGATCTGGAACTCTTGGAGTAACACGTGCTTTTGTAGCAGAAGTCACAGCTACTCGGAATCGAACTACATACATGGCTTGGATTACTGCAGTTCAGTATGCTGGGTTCACCGTTACACCATTTGTAGGAGCTTTCTTCAATAAAGTTCTTGAAGACACTGACGTCAACATTGGGTAAGTTCTGTGTGTCTTGCGGAACATTTTGTCATGGATGCTTGATACAATTCCTCCTTTGCTATGCCACATCAGTTGGATCAGGATTAACATGTTTACAGCCCCAGCATACTTCATGTCTATCACTGTGGCGCTCACCATATACATGCTTTTGATGCACTTTCAAGACCGAGCCAGGAGTCAAAACCCCAAGGATATCAAGAAAATGTCTGCCAAAAGGGCTGCAATTGATGACCATGCGAATCAAATGACCATGGTAGGCCTTTCCATTTACGACTGCTGCATCGTTGGGTGCATGCTACTGAATGTTGCTACGAAGGGTAGCATCGGATGTTTTGAAACCCTTGGTATCTCCATAGCAGAATCCCTTTTTGGAATCTCATCCACGATGGCAGGGACCATTGTTGGTTCTTGCGGGACGATCGGGGTCATTTCTCTGCTGTCGATGGGAAAGATATCTCAATTCTTGTCTGATATTCAAATGATCTGTGGTGGAATGTTTGTCATGGCAATTGGCATACTAAGTCTGACATTTGTAGAGGAGAACGGCGACAATCCTTCGTGGGTATACATGTTGTCCTTCTTTCTGATCTACTCTATTGGATACCCCATTAGTCACACGGCTGTGATTAGCTTGTTCTCGAAGAGTAAGTCCCGCTATTTTTGCGAATTGGCCGAATTGACTACTAATAGATGCGAAACTAATCCATTTGCGTTCCAAAGTTGTTGGGAGGAGACCCCAGGGGACACTGCTTGGTTGGTTTGCATCCGCTGGATCGCTGGCACGGCTTGTGTTCCCCATCGTTTCCGGTTATGTGGAACACTACCTCGGCATTGTCACCCTTTTCTACATCCTGACAGGAGTGTTGGGCGTTTCCACAGTTGTCACACTCTACAACCAGAAGACACTCACAATGTTGTCGCAGTAGCGGGTAAAGTTAATGAACCTGTACATCTTTTCATATTGCTACTCTGGTCCTTGCAAGAGTCAGCCATAGTCTAGATTGGTTTTGCTCGGGGTGTAATCCGATTCTTGATAATCCTGTTGACTTTCAGCGAATGGGCAAAGTGCATTCATTATTATTATACCGGTAGTCACAAAACAAAATGTGTTGATAGTCTACTGTGTTGGTGTATTTGTACCACCTAACACTTTATCAGAGTGTTTGTTGTCACGACGCAAGCATATGGGGAAGCCGGTGTATCAGTCTGTCTCTAGATCGCACATTCCCATCACTCTCTTCTTTATAGCATGGTATCATCTTCAATCATATACTTGGTCACGTATTCATGGCTCATTGCTTTGAATTTGGCTGCATTCATGCTTACGGTATCAGGTAGCTTTGCCAAAGAGATGATGCTGGCTCGATGAACACAGGTGGGAAAAGAACGACATTCTACCCCAGTACCGTACCTACGAGCCAACAACACAAGTTTTCGATGTTATATCCTTCTATTATTTTATTTTGCTGGTAGTGTTTCGATGTCTAAAAAGGGCGATCATACAGAGACAGCCATCTTGTTTCTTCGTCTGAAAGGGTATCAGTGAAGAAGCTAAGAAGATTTTTCTTCTTTTGGCAATTCGAAACACGCTGGTGCTCCTGTTGTAGAGGCTCCCATGTGCTATTCAAAATGGTGCTGTCCGATGTTTCAACGACCTCCTGATCCTCCTTTCGGTTTTGTTTGGATGAAGACCATGCAAGATCATCATCACTTTCCTTTCGAAATGGGATCACAGGAGGAGCTTCGGTAGAATTATTCCTGGCTTTTCGACGAATCGATCCTCCAGTTCTGTTAATTTTTCGACCACCATTTAGGTTCATGTGCTGTGCGTGGGAAAGCGTGAGGTAATCTTCGGACCTACGTCTCTCATGTTGTATCAAGACATTTGGTGTTTGAGTTTCCAAATAGGAGTCACTGAAAACCCGGTTTCTTGAACGGCTTCTAGGGGATTCATCGGGATCCTTCAAAGGTACCGATGATATCTTGGTCAAGCCTGTATCCAGTGAATTTCTCTTATGAAGAGGCCTTTGCAACATGAACTCCTTCGATAGGGTATCGAATGGACTGAAATCAGCATTTTCGTCATCATCTTCTTCATCATCAAAAGATGGATGTTTGCTAGAAACACGGCTGACTTGCTTCTCACATTCTGCCAGCTTGCTTACTACCGCACCGAGATCTTCCACGCTGTTGGTTCTACTTGGAAGAGTTGGCGCTCGGCACTTGGAGAGTGGTTTCCATGGACACGTGGTATTGGTTTGTTTCGTTCTGTTGTTGAATTCTATTCTTCGATCCTGCTCTACTTTCGCATCATCACGAACAAAGACGATGGTGTCGGCTGACCTTTCCTTCAGCAATAACGATAGATACTCTTGCATTGCCATTGTCGAGGGAATTGTTGCACTGTCGTGAAGTCAATTGTAGGGCAGTGTTATATTATTGGGATTTGCACATACAAATCTGAGAAAATTCCTCACTTCAAACACCTCTGTGTTCAATCTTGTCATCATCTAACTTCGTGGCAAACTTCGTTGTTGGTTCAAGAAGATTTGTCATAACCATAAGTAAAGGAGGTCTTTTTCTATCCTTCTTATCAAATATCGGCGGACCTAAAAGCCGTTGATAAACTTTGATTTATCAGCGCATTACCAGGTAAGATTTTAAATAGGAGTGAGGCCGGCGAAGGTGCGAATATGAGGATCCCGCAGTGAATCTTCGACCTCCAACGCTAGTCATGTTTGGAGGCGTCCTATGTACCATGTTGCCGATCGGACGTTTTTAGAAAAACCAACGCAGAAGGAGAGACAAACGACGCTGGCAAAAAGACAAGTGCGGCGGCTTCATCGCCAATACCGTCAACTGACTCACAGGTTTGCATGTTGGAGGAATGAATGAGTCAACCATCAAGACCGCTTCAGAAGATGTTTCAATTGTAGATGATTCCAAATGGTTCCAGACACATCCCCCAAGACTAAAATATACGATATCACGAGTAGAAAAAGGTGAAAGGTGTATAGTAGTGTTGTTGCAGTCAGTTCGCGGACTTCCATGGAAAGCAGGCACAGACCTGTTGTGGGCCTGTTTGCTTGAGAAAGGAACTTCGTGAGATGATATGCAGGAGCGGTGCGCATCGGATGTAGCATCTAGCTGCAACATGGCTGATCGACAACAAGAAAGAGTTTTCCTGGTAGCTAGAGGTGGGTGGTATGGCGAACGAAACTTGGGGAGAACGAGACAAGCCATAACACGGCGGGAGGTATTTTACGACAATCAACTATCTGTAGAGCTATCCTTTGGGTCAAGCATTCCAAAACCCAAGATCTGTGCCAGTTGCTGCTGTGCAAATCTCCAAAAGCGAGGAGTCCTTCCAATGCATCAAGAGTCCCTTGACCCAGTGGATCAACTCGGAAAACCAATCTCCCTTCTGATGCACAATGCTTCTTTCTTTGGGATAAGTGTCACTGTCTTCAAAATCCATCGCAACTGCAAGTTCTTCCGCGAAAGAGAGGTCAGTGTGGGCCATATTGTATATATAAGTGATGATGTGATCGGGCAGTAACTATGGTGGTTGCCAGAGGATGTGATCAAGACGAGAAAGGGGATGACCTCAATTTTCTCCGGGATTTGTGTCTTTCATTGTTTTCAAACTGCTCTCCGTAGATTTTCAGCTACAACATTTCATTTGATGGGATTTCCAACGGGATTTGCACTTGAGATGTGATGGTTACGTAATGGATTTCGAATGTGATGGTAGATGGTGGTGTGGTAGAAACACGACTATCAAAGTACCTTCAATCAGCAACGTCATCAACTTTCTCACTTCTCCTTTATTCCAATCATCGATCATGACAATGATCAACCATATTGTATTCCTTTGTTTGATAGGCTTGTTGCTATTTTCACAAGGTTCTGATGCTTTTCAGTCCACACCCAAAAATGGGTTACTCGAAAGAGCAGCTGATTCCAATCAACAAAGAAGCACTTCTCTGAACAGCAGCAACAACAACAACAACAAGATGGAAGATTCCGGTAGCGCTGTAGAGGAATACAAAAACGCTGCCACCCAAATCTTGTCCAACTTCATGGAAAAGCCATCTGATAATGGCGTATCAGTCCCCAATCCGATTGATTCTATTGATTTTGATGCACCCAAGTTTCCCAAGGTCGATTTGGATACCTTGGCCCAAGCATTGGACTACGAACTTTACAACAAGGAATGGTTTGTCACTGGCAATGTCAATCCTATTTACTTCTCGGAAGACTTTGAGTTCCAAGATCCAGATGTCAAGCTAAGCGGAATCGAAGACTACGCTAGAGGTGTCTATAAGTTGTTTGATCAGGAAACGGCAAGAGCTGAGATTATTTCGACAGTCCGAAACGATGCGATGCCCAACACGATTACGTGTACGTGGCGATTGTCTGGAAAAGTCAGCATCGGACCTGGCTTGACCATCAAACCATATATTTGCTACACCGACTTTACAGTAGATGAAGAGACTGGACTCATTGTGCAGCAAGAGGATCGATTTGATATTCCAGGTTACGATATTCTGCTGAGTGCAACATTGGGACAACTGTTTCCTCCCTTGATTGGCACCCTTCTGGCAGCACCAGCTCCACCGGTTGAGCCACGGCAGCCAAGAATGCCAAGCATCAAGCGAGCTTTGCCCAGTATAGGCGAGAATCCCATTGCCAAATGGATCGGGAGCTTTGCAAAACAATAGTCTACTCTTTAAAGCTACACTGGGCCTAGAATGTAATACCATTAAAAGTCTAGCCTTATTAGCAACTTGTTTTCGCCGTGAAGGACATTGAATCACCAGCAAAGACTGTCATCGTCTTCGTGCTGTATCACGCCATTTCAGAATTGAAGCGGCCTTCAATAACAGATTTGACGAAAGGTTAGATTCTCGAACCAAGACAGCCAAGTCCATCAGAGCGTATCCATCTCGGAAATCTCCTTCATTGTCGAATGGATCCAAAAATATTGTTGCCAGAGAAAATAAGGCGGAATAAAAGAGTGTCAGCACACCAGAAGATAGTACGGTAAAGATGCCCAACTCAGAAAACCTGAAAAGGGTCGATGGCAGCCAACGTTAGAGCGATGATGAAATTTATGAATGGGTTCAGGTACAAACCAATAGCTATTCTTCATAAAACTTACTGGGCCAGCGGCGCCATTGTCAAGAAAAGGTCAAGCAAGATTTGAACCAAGTGAATATATGGTAACGGCATTCGAGTACTGATTTTGGCTTTCATCTGAGCTGAACAATCCCTCAAAGCACAAAACTTGCTGAGTATTGCTTGCTCCATCCCACCTCCCCCATCAACTATTCTTCGTCTTCTCGCTTCTTTGCAATTAAACAAGATCCACTCGAGTAATATGTAGTGCTTTTGGTCTCTTGGCACCCCCAGCTGCCGATCCAAAGCTTCCTTCTCGTTGATGGTAAGTATGCCTTTGGCTACCATCCGACTAATTCCCTTGTCGGTCAAAAGGATCCGGAATCGCCTCGCATGAGTGGCCCACACGCAAATGTGGTATGCCCTTAGCTTTGATGTCAAGTCTTGCAAAAAGAGCTCGGCATCAACAGAGTAGCTACCGGGTCCTCGCCGCCTAGAGACGTGAGTCACCAGAAGGAGATGCAGATCATCGATATGTCCCTGGATTCCCCTAGCTACTTCATGAATGGACCTCCAAAATGAAAATGATTGTGACACAAAAAAGAGCAGGAGAAAGGTTGTCAAGGTTGACATGCTCTTCCAAATGACGTTGACACATTGGCAGATTTCCAAGAGTACAGGCATATAAAGCGGCGGAGATGTTTTCATAGCACCAGGCATTTGTGCAAAATCCAACTCCCCATACAAGATAAGCCGCAGAAGCACGCACAAGAATGCGGTTCCCCACATGTTCCAAGCCGCCCGAGGGACGGATTGTGCCAATACCGAGTCGCTCCATTGTTGATAAAGCCACCGCCTCGACGGCACATATGGATTCAGAACTAGACCTCCATCGGATGCAATAAGTTCATTGAGAACCTGATCGATCTCTTCCGTTGTGATAGAGTCTTCTAGATCATCTAGATCGGGATCCGGATTCGGATTGCTATGATACAATCTACGGCTTGTGGGCTTGGAATGTCTACCAAAATGTCGAAATCTGAATATTGATGCAAAGGAAGAAGCCCCCACGGTATTTAATGACAGGAAGCAAAGGAGAAGTAGAGCCAACAGCAAAGACGGCCGACAAATGGATCGCATAATACTATATTGTCGTCATCCAGTGACACCACGATCTAAAATAATGCATGAAAAGTGTCGATGAAGGTCGACTAGTACGACCACCAACATTTTCACGTCTGCATCACCTCTACCCTCTACCGGGTACAAGGTATCCTTGGTTGATCCATCTACATTTCTCACAAGTCAGTGCAACATCGACCGAACTTTCGTCACCATTCAGATTCATTTCAAATTTATCATCAAGGGAAGAACGATCCAAGCCCCGTATTGTGGTTGCATGCAGCCTGCCTTGTTCTTGGCTGGCTCCAACAAGGTCGTCACCGCCGCGATTCAGGATATTACTGCAGACGACTTCGCAGAAGTAAGGCATTTTCAATTGGGCTGTCAAAGGGTATCCAAGCCTCCGGCCAACCAAAGTGGGCGCAATCAAATACGACCAACAAGAGCGCTCCCCAGCTGGACGTATGAAGGATCATGATGAATTCAAATTTGACAGATGGACCCCCAGTTCTCCCGGACTTTTGATCCAAATTTTTCGAGTGCGTTAGTGAAATAGGACAGGTGGACTTCTCTTTGTTCAGAATTTACGATTCACATTTTGGAGTACGTGAGTGGAAAAGGGAACACAATAGTCGGGTTGGCCTTCACCGTGCGAGCCAGTATGCATTGTGACTGTATCTTTTGACACTGTCTTGATATTGCCATCTGCACACCATGTCGTTTTCGAAAATTGGTCAATAAGTAAACCGCCAGAAAAACACCACGTAAGAGAACTAAACCTTAAATAAGCGAGAGAGAACGAACAAAGAATTCGTGTTGAAAAAGTTTCAATAAGTGTGAAGGATCCCATTTGAAACTCGAACATTCGTGTCACATGCGTGGTGCAAAAAAAGAAAAACAAATATAACGATATCCAAAACTCACCAAAGTTTCAACTCTCTTCAATTTCAAACTTGGGTCATAAAATCAATTGCAAGACAGAACAAAATGGACCAATACATGAAAAACCTCTTGGCAAACCGACCGAACGTTGTCATCGTCGACGACTCTGCGAGGATGCATTTCGACGAATCACAAAGGTCGTTGTACTGTGATCTATCGTCTGCGGAGTTTGAAGCGGAACCTCACAAAACGGACTCCAGATGGAAATGCAAAAGTCAATTGCCATCAATTGATGACAGTACCAAAGCAAAAGACATTCCAATCGAGAAGCCTACAAAGCGAAGGACCTTGAGACCATCCTTCTCTGGATCATCAAAATCCTCTAAATCTAAGCAATCATCGAGAAAGAAGTCCTCCCCTACTCCTGCCACAATGCCATCCAAAAAGGAGCAAGATGCTAAAAAGGCACAGCTGATTATCGACCTGGTTCAATCCCTTGCATTCAGGGCTGTGACGGCGATCCATAATGTGAAACGAAGCGAAAGAGAATCTCCTTCAACGAGAGCATGCGAGTAAAGAATGTCCTTGTGAACATCGAAATTTTGATATCGTGAATGAGAGGGCGCGCGCCTTCAATAGTCATAGATGAAACGATAGATTCCAATTCTAATGCCGTTACTTTAGAACTCAAAACAGTCTACAACTAGCCACGGTCCTCCCTTGCCTTTTGGTGAAGCTGCGGATGTCGTTCGAACTTGCGTATGCTCTGACAGGGGCGAAATGAGTTGCAAAAGCATCGGGGGAATAGGTTTGAAGAATCTCGCAAACCCGAAGCGCTGTCTCTACCGGTAACTAAAAACGAACTGAGACACGATGAGTGATACACGGTCATCGTTGGTGTGCCTTCAATAGACAACGAACACTAGATTCCAATTATATTGCCCCTACATGAGCCGCTAACGTCCATTTCCATTGCTGGAGCCGCCATGACTCTAGTGAAAATATCGTTCTAATGTGTGCATTTGGCAGTACTCGTACTGGATCGGCCTGCACTCTGAAAATCATCATCTTGCAAATCTGGAATGACGTATGATCCGAACCCCACTCGATATGAGTTCGCAATCCCTATCATTCTTGGCCAATTTTCTTTGCTGTATTCGATCTTGTCGTGTTCCTTATTATGAAGTATCTAAAGCCAATGATAATGTGCGTCTTCAATATATTATACAGGTTATGAAGTGTGGCATTTTGATTCAGTCGGTCGTCTTCTGAATCAAGTGGTAATGTAGAGAAATAGCAAAAAGATAGCATCCATCATGCATATTTTGCCTTTTGCTTTGCTCAATCCTGTCACGATTGCAGGATGTTGTAGTAGTTTACAAGTGCTCGGGCTTCAGAGCAGTGGACGAAGACATCAATCGTTGTCAAGATCACCTTGTCGATTTCTATTTCGACGATTTCTTCTTTGACGATTTCTTTTTCGAAGAAGCCTTCTGGGAAGAAGAGGACGTGGAAGTAAAATCCATCTTCCCGCTGATTAGAATACGGATTTCTTCAAAATCCAAAACACCATCGCCGTTGTTGTCTAGTTCTTTGTAAACCAGTTTCTTGAGTTTCTTTTTGGAGGGTAGTCGATGATCACCTTTGAAGATGGAATCCTGTTTGTAAAAGATATCCAAGAATTCATCCACTTCATCTCTTTCGAGGACACCGTTCTTATTTTCATCGTACGCAGTAAACACGCAACGGTGAAAGAATTCAAGGCTACCCTTTGGATCCACAACATAGTTCTTTCGAAAGTGGTGGAACTGATCTTTGGTAAGTCTGTCATCATCCAGCAAGGCTTCCTTCTTGCCCGACTGTTTTGGATCTTTTGGTGCTTTCAAGGCAAGCCCAAATGCAACCTCGGTCGCAATAGCCTTACACTGTTCATCAGTTAGTCCCAGGTTCACAGTCAGCATACTCCAAAGTTCAATTTTCTTCTCGATGTATACAGCAAATTCGTCTCTGGTGATGGATTTGTCAGTAGAACCTTTACTCCTTAGAGCGTTGAATTCTTTCCCACTGTCATTCTCCACCGCATCTACTGATTGGCAACAGCCCATTGCTCTTTGATATCTGGTGTTATGGAGATCTGGCAAACACTTTGCCAACAGCACCGGATTTGTGATAGTGGTCGTGGTGTGATGACTACGATTTTCTTTCCGAAGTTCAGTTGCGAAATGCCGCCAATCCGTATCTGCTATGTCGCAGGTTGGGAATACCCATAAGTAAAATTTATAGCAAAAGGCTTTGTGACTGATGAAAAGACCGTTGTTTTTCGCCGGCTCACATTGCCGGGATCGACTTTCATTGTGTTGACGGACAGGGAAGGTAATTTTTTGAAGCGTAAGAAAACTTTGCAAGTCATTTGGTGGCGGATAATGAAGCATACGATACTAGAAAGTAATATATTTTCTTTGCAAAGGATGGAAAGAATCAATCGATCAATCAATGCATCTCTCTTCTGCCGGTTGGACCAAACTGCCGCTCATCGTCGTAACCACTGGCGCACCGGTAGTCAGTAGTCAGTAGTCTCCACATTCGTCTTTCTTGCCAGCACACGCGGCTTTCTTGACGATGTGGTCGATGCGATCAATGTAGGACATACCTACTACTATATATTACCCACCACCATCAGTCGTCATTGGTTTCTCCATAACCATTGGCATGGTCGCGGCAGGAGGTGCAGGTGCACTGACTAGCTGTTGCTGTGATTGTTGTTGCATCTGCATGGTAGGATTGGCACTTTGTTGGACTGCCGCTTGCATTTGACCATGTTGTTGCTGCTTTTCGGGCGATGACTTAAATTTGAGCATTCCGTCCGTTTCAATGACTCCGAGCACCCGCAATCCTTCGGCCCAGTATTCCTTTCCTCCAGAAGCTCTTGTGTGGCTCTTTTGCAAATGAACCAGCTTGTTCTTCACTTGCAGTGGAACCTTGTGACACTGTTTGATCAAGTGAAGCTTGGACATGTTTTGAGCCACTTGGTACATTCCATCGATCGTTTTGCTGTAGTAGACGGCTCCTCGGGCACGAGCTGGTTTGGGCAAATGAGCACAATGCCGACATCGGATGCTGTGAATGAAAACTTAGAGTGAGTTGCTATTGTAAAAACATGATTCTGATGAAACCAAAAACAATTCCAAACCAAAAACGCACCCGGCCTGTCCCAATCGAATCCGCGTGTGCCGTCCTTGGGCACTTCCCCGAACATCCTCCTCGGTGGCTTCAAAGAGTTCAATCTGTTGTCTTAGTAGGCATTGGTATTCCGTCAAGGCCCGGTCATCATATTCCAAGTACAAAGGAAGGGTCCTTCCATTGCTGCTATTGTTGCCCGGAGCTTGCATCATTCCTGTGGAGTCGGCAGGTACGTTACTAGAACCCGGAGCAAAGACAGAGCTAGTGCCCAACACGGTTTGTGGTAGGGCCGAGGGCATGAATTGGACTTGATGATTCATCAGTGGCGCTTGTTGCTGTTGTTGCTGATGCTGGCCTGGTTGTTGACCTTGTTGCTGCTGCTGCTGCTGCAAGGCCGCCATGAAGTGATTGGCTGCCATTGGATTCAATTGCAAACCTGGAGGAATGGTCAATACTGGAGCTCCCGTGGCACCAGGAGCAAACGCAAATCGCTGTTGCATTTGCTGCTGTTGCTGGCCTTGCAGCGGTTGTCCTTGCGGTGGCTGACCTTGTGGCGGCTGTTGGCCTTGCTGCTGGGCAAACATTGCCATTTGCTGAGGCAATAGGAATGTCCATGGGAGCATATTGGCAGCAGGATGAAAAGGAAGTCCCATGTTGGGAACAACATGTGGCACCGGGGCGTATGGGGCCTGGGCTTGAGTAGGAGCAGCGTTCGCTGGAGCTGCGGCCACTGCTGGCGCTCCCACAGGCGCCGCGGTGGCATGGGGTTCTTGTGTGCCTGGATCTTGCTGGGATTGCTGAGAAATGGCCGCTGGTGGAGGTGCCGCTGCAGTTTCGGTTGCAGCTGGAGCAGGTGGCGCAGGGTGATGATGGTTGCTCACTTGAGGAACTAATCCTGGTTGTTGATTTGCCACGGACAAGAGCAAAGTGGTAATGAGAGGTGCATTCGACGAATCTGGCACGAGTGGTACAGGTGCAGGAGCGTTTAGCATTCCGTACTGTTGAGAATTATTGGCGGCCCCTGCTGCAGCCGCTTGGGTCATGAAGTTGTTGTACGCATTGATGGCTTGTAGCTGCTGTGGGTTCATGTTGTTGGCATTGTTCATGTCGCTAGTGGTGCTGTTGTTGTTACTTTCTGCTTCAGCATCAGCACCCATGTCAGTTGCATCGTTGTTTGCTTCGTTTGTGGCTGCATCGGCATCGTTCTCGGTGTCGTTGCTGACACCATTGGCCTCGCTCTCGCCCGTTTCATATGAGTTGGCGTTCTCGATCTCATTGCTAGCATCAGGAACTTCCGACGAACTCGTAGGCTTTTCAAGATGATCATTGGATGAGGTTTCCTCGTTTCCTTCTCTTTCCAAGAATGGTGCTGAAGCGGCTGTTTGCGCCGGTGTTGGTTGAGGCAAGCTAGAATACGAAGATTCCTGTTTGACTTCAGCAGTTGACTTTTCCGCTGCTGCCTTCTCTGGATTGGCATTGCCACCATCATTCGTATCTTCCATGTTGACGACTCTGTTGACTGACTCTGTTTTGAAATGATGACACAGACCTGCTATGTGCAAAAACCAGTTTGCTGTTTTTTAGTTTTTAGCTGGCAAACTCGATTTTTGCACATAGGAGGTGGCCTTCAGTAACAATCTACGGGAAATGGCGGGGCTCGCCATCAATATCTCTGATGTCTGACAGACGCATCGCATTCTGATGTCTCCTCGATGTCGTCAATCACAAATTGAAAAGCACGATCATGATTGATTCATTCGAATAAGAATTGTGAATATGGAATAATAGAAAAGGCATAATGGAAAACATACCAACTGTTTGGCATTCTCTATTAGATATTGTCGTCGCCATGTAGAGGCAAATAAGAGCACTGATGTTCTCTGCTGCCTGCGTCCTCGTTATTGCCTTCCTTCGATCTCAATCATGATCGATTATTGCAATCACAAATGATCATATGTAGTTAGCTAGTTGTAGGTTACATTGCTGCCTGCACTAGCTTTTTGGAAATTCTATCCTTTGCCTTGTTGGATTGAAACGAAGAGGATGGATCCTGTTGCGGAATGTTTGGTAATGACAAGATGGAAAAGTCGTCGTCGTCCAATGCATGATCTTCTTGGTCCGTCTGCTTTTCGTCGGATGATCCATCCAAAGAGGACCCAGTAATCCAAGATTCCAACTCTTCCGTCATGATTTCGTCATCTTCTCCATCCACAGTTGCCTTTTCCACCAGGTCGCCCGCTCCAAGAGCCTCGGAAAATCCTTCGAGATCATTGACCCCCACACTGTTTCCCATGGAGGTCATCGCCGACTTGGCCTCGGTCATGGCTTCCTCCACCTGTTGATCTTCCATGGCATTTTCCAGTCGAAAGACTTGAGTTTCCATGTGAAAGACTGCAATCTTGGTCGTTTCTGCCAGCTTTTCCCATTTTCGTTTTTGCGATAGACAGTGAATGGCTTTGCGTTTGTGGAGAATTCGTTCTTCCTTGTTGGCCTTGATCTTTGGATTTTTGGCAATCTGGTGTTCTTTGCGGGCTTCTTCCAAAAGCTTTGGAATGAGCATTTGTTCGATCTCTTCAATGCGCTCGATTTGGGCTTTGATGGATGCCTCGAGCAAGTCAATGGTATCCTTTTCGGGTCGTCGCGGCTGGCGCTGGACGGGTAGCTCTTCTTCTTGGATTTCTGCTTGGTGTAGTGAAGTGATTCCTTCTGTTTCATTATCTGTTTCCATGGCACTAGGTTCCTCCTTTTTGGGTGCCTTGTCTGGTATTCTTTTCGAAGGCTGTTCCACTTTGTCTAGTCGGGGAGCGGAAACCTTGGTCTTGTTAGGCACTTGTGTTGACGTCGCATCTTTTGGTTTCGTCGCTTGTGGTTTGATTTCCTTCTTTTTGGAAACGGGTGCCTTTGCCTTGGAACTCGACGACACTTGTTTCGGCTGCTTGGATTTTGGTTTGGCCACCAATTTGGCAACTTGAAGGGGTGGTGCTGTATTCTTTTTGCTGGTGGATGATGAAGATACGGTTGCCGGTTTCTGCTTTGCTTCGGGCAACGCGTTGTTGGTTGCCTTTTCTACTTCTTTTGGCTGCTGCTGTTGCTTCTTTACTTTGCTCTTGACTGGCTTGACGGATTGAATCGTCTTTGATGATGATGATGATGATGGTGTTGCGACCGGAGCATCCGCAATTTGAGCCGGAACCAGCTTTTTGTTCGTTTCACTCATTGATGATGTTTCGTCGTCCTTTGATTTTGGTTCCTTTCGAGACGTCATCATCATGGACGTCATTCTGGACATTGCCGAGCCCATCAGTGAAGGGGCTGCTGCTGTGGAAGAATTGTCTGGCATTTCACTGTTGGTAGGTTGGGGACTCTCCTCGATGGCAGGAGATATGTCGTCCACCTGAGCACGGATAAGGCCATCAGTCTTCTTCTTCGATTGGGCCTTGTCATTTGCCTGTGTCTGTGCAGCGTCGTAAACTTCTGCAGTTAGTTGATTAAGGTCACGTTGCATTGCCGAAAGCTTGGACAAGGCACTCATTTTCGTTATGGTAGCCTCTTGACGTTCGGATTCGTCCTTTTCTTGTTTTTGCTTTGCTCTCATCTCTGCCTCCTCAGCTCGTTGTCGTTCTAGAAGCTTCATTTGGTCAAATTGACGTTGCTGTTCTCTCAAGATTTCTTGGGCATCCATTCGTTGTCGGACAATTTCCAAGCACTCGAGCACATGATTGCACTTGTCACTCATTTCCTTGTGTTGAATGACATAGCTTCGTTGCTTATAGGATGGATGTTGTCCCAATTGGACACATAGGGATACAAATCGTACCCCATAAATATAAGCCTCATCGAGAGATCGAGCATCAAAGGATGCCGTGAAATAATCCAAGAGTCGTTTGGCAATGCTGTAGTATTTCGAAAGGGGAATCTCGTTGCGCAGCTGAATCTTGTTGCTGTCAGCACCTTGTTTCAAGGTTTGGCGACGAGCAGAGCTAGGTGTCTCCATTGCACTTGGAGTAATAGTTAGTAGTAGTGTTCTGATATATGTGGTCGTCGAAAAGAGGAGGATAAGTCAGTCGTACCTGGTATTAATAGTTGCTATTCAAATTAAGTTGACTCTTGCTTTGAATGCGATGCGAAGATTCATCTTTTGATTTGAATTAGAGCCTTTCATAGTACCAGCAACGATTGTCCTTCGTACGAGCGCTTTCAACTACGACAAAATATTAGCACCGCATCCTGTGAGTAATAAATCGCAACAACAACAATGGCCTCAGCCAGCCAAGTTCCAACGTTATCCTCTTCATCTAATAGGAATCTATACGATGTATTAAGGTCAATATCATCGAACTCGTTGAAACGAGCACGCACTGCTGAAGACAGCTCTGAGGAAGTGGAGGATCCTGAAGACGATGACAATGATGATGATGATGATGCTATTACAATGCTGATGGAACCTACCGTTCCATCCTCTTCTGATACTGCTGCTCAAGATCGTGAAGATCGTGAAGATCGATTCGTCAAATTGGCTTCTACTGTCCTATACACCGATGCGTCATGCCGCAAAAAAATCAAACGAAAGCGAGACACTAAAAAAGATGATACATCTGCATCAACAACCAACACAACAACAACAACAACAACAACAACAACAACAACAACAACAACAACAACATCTGCACCAATAGATTCCGACAAAACTGCAGTGAAGAAAGAGAAAAAGCATGTCACTAATCCATTGAACATTATGGATCATCATATCGAATCGGATTTGGACCGCTACGAGGCACTCCTCCAAGCAGAAGACGAGCAAATCCAGCATTTGCAGGCCACCCGCAAGCGGATTCGACAAGAGCAGGTGGACGTCTGGGCTATCTATAAATATGGTCTTACCAAGATTAAGAATTTGAGTGATCTAAGCAAGGCGCCAGATGCAATCATGCCTGGGAACCTTGGTGGCCAGTCAGTCAATGTGACGAAATAGTAGACTGTGCATGCACACTGAAGAGTGAAACTGACTGGGAAACAATCGAGTGCTGCTTCCGAGATGCTGTTGTGGTGTCTTGGATAAGTTGGTGTTCTCGAATTCAACGGTATTACATATAAATATTATTATACATCTAATGTTTGATTGATTCATTCATTCGTTCATTGTATTTTTTCTATTTTGAAACCGAATGCTGGAACATTGATCTTTCAAACGGTCGTAAACTTCAAGAGTCACATTTTTCTAGGAAGAGCTAGTGTTGAGTGCTATTTGCTTTCTTTGTGCAACTTATTCAAAAACAGAATGAATCAATCCGTCCTGTGCATCATTATGCGTGCCCATTTCCTTTGGCAATTCCTGCCTTACATATCATTGTTTAAGGTTTCAGGGCCAAGGTGGCAAATATTTGGAAACAAGTCACTCGTCGACTTCAGGCTTCGTTGTGCAACGAGCATACAATTTTCATTTCTCTTTGCGTGTGTCAATCCGATGTACCGTATATAACTGGTCTTTCTCCCCTCCCTCCCTTGTCGCTTGTTCGGTGGTAAGAAATTGCTACTATGACAGTGTATTCCGAGCTAGTTTCCGTTTTTCTTGATACGAAAGAGACTCCCATTTTTTATCCAAGGCACCGATGCGATCCAATGTCCCCGGGTGAGTACTATCCCAAGAAGTCTTCCCTCCCTGTTTCCCATGGTATTCCCACAATTTGTTCAAGAGGGACTGCAAGGCTTGTGGATTATACTTGGAAGAATATACCAACAGATCCCAACTAGCCGCATCTGCTTGATATTCATTGGAACGAGAAAAAGATTGCTGGCCCAACCAATCTGCTGACTTGACCATGAGTTCTCCAATGGCTTCGCCAAAGCTTTCTTGATGCGGATCGTCGTCTTGGTACACCAAGGCTTTCAAAATGTACTGCAATACCTCTTGTTGCAATATCCGCGCTTGGGAATGTCGATGCAGAACATGTCCCATCTCATGACCAATCAAGGCGGCCAACTCGCCATCGGAAAGGTGCAATTGCTGGAGCAATCCAGACGTGACCCGAATGACACCACCAGGTAGGGCAAAGGCATTGACCATTTGGTCATCATTGACCACTCCAAAATCCCATTGATATTGTTTGGTTTTGGGAATTTTGGAAGTATCTATCAAATCCCAACCAATCGACTGCAATTTTGGAGTCCATCGCGGATGATGAATGGTGGGAGGAAACCCTCCTGCTCGTCCTTTCTTGGATTTTTCTTGTCGCATGGCTTGGCGTCCCAGTTCCATGTCAGCCTCAATGGGGACTTGTAAAAGCATAAATTCAATGACATATTCCGATAATGGTGTCAAATACCAGGCTCCAAGTCCCGCTATGGAAGCCAGTAACAGCAAGATTTGCTGTTTGGGTGATGTTCGTGGTCGATGATTGTTATTTCGTGTTCGACTGCGAGTATTGGAACGAGCACGGGAACCACGACCTCCTCGTTGTTGTTCTCTTTCATTCGAGGGTCCATCCCATGGAAATTGAGCCCTTTGTCGCTGTCGAAGATTGCTGGAAGCATCGTTCATCTTGCTGTTGTTGGCACAATGAAATTAATGGCACGGATGGTGCCATGTTTGAATTTCTGTTTTGATGCAATTCAAAAAATGTCCTCCACGTGGAATCAAAAGGTCACTAGATGAGTACTTTATGATTTTCTTCTCATTTCTACCAGTACCAGGTACCATTCGATTCCATAATATTGCTGCACATGTCGTACCGCTGTACTGCAGCATCCTAATTTGTGAAACAACAAATTATGTTCATTACTTATTAATATAATACGGGTTACAATCTTGTTTGAAGCGTTTCAAACTGCCAGTAAAACTCAACTTTTTTAAAATGGCATTCTCAGCATACGTCCAGCGAATTTTGGCAACAAGGAGTACTGCCCTCTGGTACCCCATGGGTTCGGTCTTGGACGGCGGGCTTATTCTCAATCTTGGTATTGTTACTGCTACAGCAGGACTGTGCTGTTGCTTCTTGCTGCGTACCTTCTGTACTAGTTGCGCTAAAGCTCTGCTTTTCTTCGTGGCAACCACAGCCTCCCTCTTGGACATTGTCAATTGTTTCATCTTGCACTCCTCCAGCAATAGCCGATTTCGCTGCTCTGTTGAACAAAGCGTCTCTTGCATTGAATACCACATGACCGAGTACCAAACCACTAATGCAACAAAGGAAAAGTGGAATGGAATACGTCATGACAATCAACATGACCAAATACCCCATGGTCAATTGCAGCGCATAAAATCCTGCCGATGCCAAAAGTCGTGACATTCCTGGTTCAAAATTCACAATCGATTTGCGTCGTCGAAAGATGATGGCTTCCACCATCATTCCAAAGAGGATGGTTCCAAAACAGGCACCAATGAACCGTGCCTGACTCGACAAGACGAACGATGGGAAGAGATAAATCACACAGGTCGTATCATGGATCCAATGAAAGCCATCCATGTACATGGAAGTTCCTCCATAGCAATATTTTTCTTCCACTTGACTAGTCGAATTGTATTCAACCGGCCAACCTTCAACGGACGGTGAAGTCTTGTGCCAAATGCCTTGACAATTGGAATTGTGGACCTTGCCGATGCATGGTTCCACGGCCTTGGGTACTTGATTTCCACTTTTGGCCAGGATTCCAGGATCCAAACAATACAGCGAATTGCCTTCATTGACGTACGATTCGGCTTGTTCGTAATTGGGAATCTCGAGGCATTGGGTCCAACAAAAGAAATTGGTCACATTGTTGCAGGCGCTGGCATCTTGAACGTGTTGCAATCGGCGGCGTCTCCTGCTGCTGGAAGAGGAAGCAGCAGTATACAATGGGAACGCAGCATCATCGTCCGTGGAAGGACCGCATCCAATGGCCACGGTTTCCTCATCCATGGCTCCTTGTCCTTGTTGCTGGGAAGAGGATACCTTTAGGTTTTGCTTCATATCCCCAAAGGTGCGTTGGGGAGATTCTTGAATAATGGAATCTTCGGGCACGAGGTGCACTGTTGGAAAGAAAAAGAAGAACAATAGGACACAGATTATTAGAAAGACAGTAGGGTAATAGGTGCACACAACAGTAACAACAACAACAATACCGTATTATTGTAGCATTTGTATTTGTATTGGACTTACTCATTCCATACCAAACTCGACTGGTATTTTTGGTCATCTTGACGGCATGACGCGTCGCTCTCAAGATTGGAGAGATCGACTGATGTAGCCAGTGTTCCGCACCAGCACCCATCATGACGGCCACCGAACCAGGTTCAAAATAGGCTTGAGCTTGTTCACCATCGGCAAGTTGGACCCAAAAGGAATCATCTTGATTGGTTCCGCCACTTTCACAGTCGTGGGCTGGCAAAAATGTTAGAAAGAGACCAGCGTCAGTGTGCCATTCCACAGTCTTGAAGGAGGGTTCTGTTCTTGTCTTGTTGTTGTTCTTCTTCTTCTTCTGTTGATAATGATGAAAGTGTTCCAAATGATTGGCCGAATGCACAATGGATGCCATGGTACGATACGAAGATCCATATTTGGTTTCCAAAAGTGGACCCTCATTTCGTTTGTCATACGCACCACCACCACCACCATGAACGACATCTCCCAACAATAGTCGATCCATAGATTGGACCACCGCCTTGGAAACTACAGCCACTTCATCGCGGACCGTTTCCATGGCGTTTACAGTGTTGGACCCACAGAGTAGCTGGATATCATTACCATTATCGTCCAGTGGAAGTGGATCTTGACCAATCGTGGCCGTGGCAATGGTCGTGCGTTGGGTATGACCATCTGGGAGCAAAATGGATTCCAACTGCTGCTGCTGCTGCTGCTGCCGATGATGATCATTGTGAAAATCATGGTTGTGATCATTATGATTATCATTCAAACATTGACACAATCCATTCATGGCTTCTAGTCGACTTGGAGATGACTGAGGAGACACCTTGACTGCAAACAGTCCAGTTGTTCTTAAGACCTCTGACAATTCGGGCAGCCGATGTCCCAGTTGGATTTCATCCAAGGAAAAGGTCGGAACTACATGTTGTCTTGAATGAATGGCAGTTGCAGCAGTTTCTTGTGCTTGACTACTGGCTACCAGTGTAAATAAGTTTAATAGTATAGTGAGGACATTGAAGGACTGCATCTTCTTTTTAGCATTGACTATTCAATATTGTGAAAGAAAAGAAGATCCTCGCACCGGTATATTGAAGTCAGAAACAATGTGTGAATGCTTGAGACTTTTATCCTAGAGAAGTGTCCAACCACCAATAGCCTAGTTTCTGTGCGCAAACTGGCACGAGTTACAAGTGAGTCGCTCGAGATCTTTTATTATCTCGGCCCAAGCAAGGTTCGGATTTCTCAACACGCTACCAGCTCAAGCAGGCCAAAAAATACCGTTGTCCAATCCAATTAGATCGTGTCAATCGATTCCTCCGTTGGCAATAAGTAAACTAGCGTCACAGATTTTTTTCAGAAACACAACCTGATTCCGAAATGAGGCTGTTTCTGCTGAAAGATTTGAGTGATCGGCTCATTTTATACATCTTGTTGTCGTCCACACCTCATAATATCTTTCGCATTGCAGCGTCAAGAAGGTAAAGACGGTAGCTCATCTTCATCAGAAAAACACAAGATTCGTTTTCCCGAAATCCGAAATCAGGCTGTTTTCTAAAGTTCAACACACAAAGATTTGCCTCTTGGATATTTTTATGAAAGTACTACTGAACCGTTTTCTTGTTCATCGCATCATCCATACAGACAAACAGCTTGATGAAGTTTAGTACATCTTGCATTGCCATCCTGGCCACTTTGGCACAGGCTGCCGCGTATAGTCCTGTTCGGATATCCTACGAGGCGTTGGAAAATGGAACGGCCGAAGATGTCTTGCGTCAGGCACTCACCGAGGTGGGCATGATTTCCATTACTCACATTCCTTCCTTTCAGAGTAACAAGATGGAAACCTTGAAGCTATTGCCAAAGTGCATGGACGAGGCGTCCAACGATGATCAAAGTACTACTACTGCTTCTACTACTACTATTGTGGAGCATACCTTTGGAGATGGCACTCGTCGCCGTACCATGGCCACTCACAATGTTGGGACATCTGCCTCTTCGTCTCTTTTAGTACCACAAGCGGCCCATGATGATAATGATGATGATCATTCTTCTTCTTCTTCTTCCAAGAATCATTATTATTATTGCCAAGAGTTCCAAGCAGTCAGTCAATCCTTTCGCGAGACAGTGGGTCATGTCATGGATACCTTTGCCAATGAACTTGCCATTGCTCTCGATTTGGATGCTTCCAAGACTTTGCTAAGAGAGGATGATGATAATAAGAATAATAATAATGATGATGGCCAAGGTGGTCAAGTCTACAACCTTCGCAACATTTTTGGTCAGGGCGAACAATTGGAACATTTTCATTGTTACTACAAGGATAATGAGAAGAAGAATGATACTCAAGAAGAAGAAGAAACCATTGAGTGGCATACCGATCAAGGTCTTGTCCTTGCCTTTACTCCTGGTCTAATCGACGGGGAACCTACCGAGGGCTTTCATGTCCAGCTCAAGGATGGTTCTACCGAAATGGTGGACTTTGACCACACGGACGATTTGGTCTTTTTGATGGGAGATGGTGTCAATCAATACGTCAATGGTGCCTTATTGGAGGAGGAGGAAAACAACAAGCCCCTGCTGCGGGCTCTTCCACATGCCTTGCAAATGCCTTCTACCACCACCGAGGATTTACCGCGTGTTTGGTACGGACGCATGGTCTTGCCACCGCCCAATGCCAAACATCCAACCCATCCAAGCATGACCTTTGGAGAGATTCGCCAGGACATGATTGCGGAGGATACTTCTTCGATTGGTTGCTCTCACAATCTAGTGGCTCGAGAACTACAGGATACTACTTGTGAGGAAGGTCTTGCCGCCTATTGCTGGCACCGATGCATGAATTTGACAGATTATGGTGTGAGTGACCAGATCTGTGAGGAGCAAAACAAGACTCTGGCCTGTATGAATGACGAAGGGTACTTGTGGCCGTACACGCACGATATGCAATTCAAATTGGGATGTGCCAGTCCTGATGCTGTCAACTGGACCACTGTGACGGATGACAGTGACAGTGACAACACCACGGATCATGGTGGAGACGAAAACAAGAACCATACTGGAAATTCCACCACCGTTGACGTTGCTGATTCTTCCACCAGCACTCTTCTCCTCGGAACCTCCCTTTTGCTGGGTACTGTCATGTCGGCTATCTTTTCTTTTTCTTAGTAAAATAACAAGCAAGTGATATATGATTGAGTCGAAGAATGTAGCTATAGCATCCTATCTGTAGTGTATGATGACACTTTTGGAACTATCTTCTCCTCCTTTCCTTGGTACACTGTACGGACAGTACAATGATGAAAATCTAGTCGGTTGAGTCGATTTTGGAGAGCCCGCCCGCCCTTCCCACGACTTTGAAAATGAAAAGGCAACGAAAAAAAAACATTCTGAATATTAATAATATGCCAACAGCAGAATACTAGTAAGATCATATCCTTGGGAGAGCTGTTATTGTTCCTGCACCCAGCTATATTACTGGATTGATTGACCTTTGACCGCATTGAAATTGAAATCTGCAATAAAAAGCTGCTCCTGCCTATCACCGCTATACAAGCTTCTTCCGCCAACAAACATCAAACATCCCGAATCAAATCAAATCAAACCAAACCAAACCAAATCAAATACAAAATGGATTTGCAAGCAATTTTAGACGCGACCGACTCCTCGTCCGACGAAGATGGAGATGCCGAAGTTTATCAATTGCCCAACATGGGATTGAATATCCCACCTCCTTCTCCTGCTCGACGTCTTAACAATACGGCGGCGGCGGCAAGAGCAATGACACCGCCTCGTAATAGTAGTAATAGTTCCAAGAATAATTATTCTACCGGACCACAAACTCAAAGTAACGCACTGAGTCCATTGAGTGCGACGGGAATGCCAACGCCTTCCCGAGTGGATTTGGAACAAATTCTGAGAGAAGACGACGACGATGATGACGACGATGATGATGATGACGACGATCATATAATGAATGGATCCTTTTACAGCAGTTATCAAGCACCCAAATCGTCGACAACGTCCGTCCATTCCTCATCGCATTATAATTATACTTCCACGGCCAGTAATCCGGAAGATTGGGATGTTCTGCAAGCCATCTTGGGAGAGGATGACGAGGATGATGATGATACAGATGTGGTTACCTCACTCTCCGACTATTATCCTTCTACCACAGGAAGTGCCGCCAGCAATATGCATCATCATCATCATCCGTCCAATAAACATGTTAACATGCTTTTGCAACAAGATGAAGACGAAGATGCTCTCATATTGGATCCTGCAGCATCCTCCAAAAACAACAGGGCCCTTCAACAGTTGGAACAAAAGGAATCCTATGGCTATGGAATCGATTCCTTTATTACCGCTACCCAATCAGAAGAATCCATGATGTCATCGGATCACAACCAAAAGTCACCATCCATGCAACAATATCAAAATCAAAATCAACAACAACAAAAACAAAAACAACCCATCCAAAAAGAAAACAAACTCTTTACCGAAGCTTCCTTGAAATATGCTCAAAATTATGAAAAGAAACTCTTTCGGGCTGGTCACCGAGACATTGTTTCGCCGCTCCAAGTCAAGCGCCGCCTCAAACCAAAGATTGAACTTAACACCAAAATGCAGCAGCAACGACGCAAACGACAACAATTGGCGCCAAAAGAACAAGTTGCGGCATCCACCAAATCCAAATTGAAACAACCCCGGATCAACTTTTCGGGGACGGTGGAAAATAAGGCCATGCGCGTCTTGTCACAAACCTTATCTGACTTTAGTACCAGTGTCGCCAAACGAACCAAGTACAAACAATTGGCACTTCCTACTGCCTTGGCGGTCAATGCACGCTTTATCGCTATTGGACTCCAAACGGGCATCATTCTCGCGTTTGATTTGTTTGAATCCCTCCGTCAAAAATTGGGATTGCATCAAACGGAACAATTCAACGCCAAACTAGCGGGATCGGTCACCTCCATTGACTTGTCTCTAGATCAAGGAGAATTCCTAATTGCGGGATACACGTCCGGATACATTGTATTATGGGATACCATTAAAGGTGTGGCACTCAAGAGTATCATTGAGTCGGCCAATCCTTCGCCCATGACGTCGGTACGATTCTTGACCAATTTGAAAATTGTCACGGTTGATGCCGGTGGACTAGTCAACAAAGTCTCTTTTGCCAAGACCCTCTTGTGGAATTCCTATTCGGTGGAGACGGAATGTCTGCTGGATGGAACGGCGGGGCAAATCTTGGCCATGAATGTCATGGAACCCTTTGCCATGGCCAAATCACGATTGTCTTCCACGGCCAAGATGCAACAACAAAAACAAAAGATTCCTGAATTGTTCTCCTCCATCGTACTCATTGCCTTGTCGAGTGAACGGTCTTCCTTTGCCGTGGCGGTCGAACCCAAGGTCCACGTCCTTCATCGATGGCCCAAACCACCACCCGAACGCATGGAAGCTAGTATGAAGGCAGCGGCGGTGGCTGCCGCAGAACTGGATCAAGAAGATATTCCACAAATTACGGATACCAATCAAGTGTATTTGCCATGCTTGTCGTGGGGATGGGCCTTGGTGTCGGGAGGGGGGCACGTGATTAATCCCATTTTGGCACGAGCCTGGGGATGCTGTCTACAACTACTGAGGGCGCACTTTCCAGATACACCACCGGGGGAAGATTTGGGAACTCAATGGCCAGCCTTTGGAGTCCATGATGAGTTTGACGCGGATGCCCCAGTGGTAGCCCTAGAATGGCTCAATGATCGATCTCTTGTATACTTGACAGTGCACAATGAATTTAATGTCATTGATACCGTCATGATGACATTGCTGGAACGCCTGGACTTGTCGGGACTCAAGTTGGTCTATGCCGAGTTTTCCTTGTCTCGCAAGGTCAATCAAGACCAGGATCAACAACAACAGCAAGATGCAGGCCCCGAGTCTGCAAATAACTTTTGTACCACCTTTCAAAATTCTGTGAGATCCTGCGATGATCGACTGTTGCTACTCTGTCAAGATGAATTAAAGGCCGTGTCCATTGTGGGAGCCAGAAGAAGAATATCTGGCTTGGAACAAGGCGGAGAATGGCTCGAAGCTCTGGCCTTGGCCCTGGATCACTACGAAAATACCGTCAAGTCACAAGAAGATAGACGTCGTCCGGGTGCCGGAATGAAGGATCTCACGAACCATGCTCACTATGGTCACGGCGCGAAGTCGGAAGACGAAGAATGGATTGCCAAGTTGTTGGTCCGATATTTGAATATTGCCGTAGACAATGCCCCAGATACCAACTCGACGGATCTTCCACCGGAATTCCTACAGTCGCAACTAGAATTGGCTCAATCGCACTTTCAAATGCTGGCTGGTGTCTGTGTCGAATTTTGTGTTACAACCAAGAGACTGGATCTTTTGTTTGGTCCCATTTTCAGCCGCTTTGCATCCGCTGGGTTCCTATCTACTTTTCTGGACGTTCTCGAACCTTACATTTTGAACGACAAATTAGACTATATTGCGCCAGAAGCCATGGCTCACTTTGTGGAGCATTGCAAGGCGACGAATGGTATTACAACAGTGGAACGATGCTTGTTGCATATGGATGTCACCATTATGGACTTTGATTCCATTCTTGGACTACTCAAGGTCAATGAAATGTACTCGGCTCTCTTTTACATTTTCAACAAGGGTCTCAATGACTACACCACTCCATTGGAAGTCTTGTCGGAACGAATCTTCGATGCAGCAGATACTGTTTCAATGTCTCTGGAACGCAGACCTGACGGTGTACCGCAAAATGATTTTGAACGTTATGGTTACAAGGCACTCTTGTACATTCAGACTTGTTTCCGCGGTAGATATTTTCCGCAAGGCACCGACATGCCGGACGATTTGGTGCACACAGTCCGTCCACAACTTTTGGAATTGCTAGTACAGAAGCACTACGTCCACCGCCACTCTCGCCGAAGGAAAGAATTGATTGGTCAACGGGCAATGAATTATCCCTATGCACATGTTCTCCTACTAGTTGACCACGAAGCTCTGTTTGACACCATGTCAATTGCAATGGATGCCCCTGATTCAGAATTTGGAAGAATGGAAACGGACAGCATGGGAGACTGGGAAGAGGAGGAAGCAGCGGCGAGGAGGAAGCGGTCCACAGAACGTCAGGATATCATTCGCATGTTCATGTCGCTTCTCATTCCAGAAAGCAGCGAAAGCATTTCTCACCAGAGTGATCTTTTTCGCTCCAAGCCTGTGGTCGATTCGTTTTTGGACTTTTTGGCAGATTATCTGGTGAAGGGTGTTGTTTCGGCAAACCAAGCTGTGACATTTATGATACTGAAACGAATGGCAGAGCGATACCAATCTTCCAAGAATTCCAACGAGCAGCAAGCTTCGCAAAGTCGTATATTGAAGTTGTTGACAGCTTTGCCTCGCACCGCTTATGACGCAGAGGAGGTTTTGGAACTGATGCAAGGGGCTGGAATCCACCGTGCTGCTTTGTTGATGCACCAAGAAGGAGCGTCCTATTGGGAGGGTTCTCGGGATTTGGAAAAGCGAGCAAAACACTTCCGTGCCGCAATCGACTGCTACCTTGGAGATGCTGATATCAACTTCCGAAATGGAGTCTTTGCCTATGTGAAGAAGGAGTGTTCGGCAGCTCCAGACGCAGACGATGAAGAGGGAAATTCTACAATAGAAGATGATCAACCAATTACTATGCGAGAATCACTTTCGTCAAAACTAACGGATTTGGTGAATCTTGATGCACTGCTAACGGCTGAGCTCGTTGGCGAGTTGTTTGTGGATGATATTGACCGAGTCATCGCAACACTGAATACAGAAGAGACTCGATTCAAATTTCTCCAAGCCATCATTTCTGGGGAATTGGACAAGATGGACTCAGTATCGGGTGCGGTTCTGAATTCGCATCTAACGATGGATCACCACCACCTCTACCTGGCGCTTATGACAAGGCTCCATCCGGAATCGGTCTACGAATACCTATCATCTCATGACAACTACAGGCCTGAGGATTGTCTCAAGCTCTGTCAGAAACATGAAATTGCAGACGCATCTGCATACTTGTTGGAGAGGATGGGGAATGTTTCCAGCGCTTTGCAACTTATCCTTCAAACCTTGGAGAGCAGAATGATGAATCTGAAGAGAACTATTCGCGGTATGGGGACCGAAGCTATCAATTTGTTCAATGCAAGAAATTCTTCGAAACGATGGAGAAAATCTGAGACTCCAATGCCAGCATCATACAAGAAGCAAGAAAAAGAAATTGACGGGGTCAAGCGCATCTTGGTTGTTGCACTGGACGTCTGTGAGCGCAACTCTGGGAACTTCTCTAATCGTACCGAGCACGGATCTCAATTGTGGTTCAATGTACTAGACCGCCTGATCAATGCCAAGGGATTCTTGCGATTGTCAAAGGAGCAGCCAGGCCATGCGAAAGTCATGGCTGGTGTCTTGAGCGAATTGCTCCGAATGACTATGCAACGTATGGTTTCAAGTGTTCCTCTTCCTGATTTGGTGCGCAAAGTAACTTCTGACCACTCTGGCAGCCGCCTCGGCGAGCTCCGCGAAATGATTGAAAGCCTTCTGGAAACCTACGGACTGGAGCTGAAGGTATTCAATCGATCGGCCAATATATTCAAGTACGATTCTCAACAAATGCTGAAGATGAATCGCGACATTCGTGTCGAGGGCTCCAACGTTAGAAAGATTATGAATATTACATTGAACAACGAGAACCGGAACAACCAGACAGTGGAGACAATTTCTGGTCAAGATAATGTCTTGCAACTTGTGGAGCGAGGAAACGCTGTCGTTCTCGAAAATTCCTTCCGTTCCAGGAGTCAACAGAAGACAGGTCCAGGACTTGGCAATGCCCTATCACGGCTGCGATCAAGACGTAGCACAGCGAGCCAATCGTCGGCTGCATTGAGAGAGTCTGTCGCAACTGGCTTGAACTATATGACAGTAGAGGATGTTGCTCACAGTAAGGGGGCATATGACCCAGATGCCATGTATTTCGATGATCGCATGGCTGGAGTCCTTGGCGATGCCGAACATCGTGGCCGCCTGATGAGTTTCATGTACTAATTATGGCAGATAAAATGAGTAAGCTTAGAACCAAATTACTGCTATGCAACTTCCAATTGCATGGTAATAGGTGGAGGTACGAATGGTGATTCGGAAGTAAACAGAAAAGTTTAGAGGAAAGAGAACAGTATCAAAACAAGTGATTTTCTCCAATAAGTGCGGTCACCTTCATATTCTTTCGTACAACGTACAACATGAACTCTGCGGCAAATCTGAGCAAACTACAATACACTACAACAGCCTGTCATTATATAGTAGGACAGATGTTAAAGAACATAAGAGTTACAATTTGTGTACAATCTCAATAGTCAGCTATAGAATAGTTAATCTAGAGACTGAGGTAATGAATTCTCTTCAGAACTCAAGTATGGTGTTTACTTGAGGTGTCCAATGATTGGAAGATCGGCATCATATCCCAATGGGATGATGAGTTCGTGAACCATAAGTCCAAGGATTCCGAATTGAGCGGCACGTCCGTTGTTCAATTCAATGGCACGCTTTTGAAGCTTGGTCTCTTCATCAAAGTCATCCCATCCGAAGTCAATGTATCCGTTACGGAAGTCACCTGGGAATTCAGCCATTCCTGGGACCTCACGCATGAAGGCGCACTCCAAGATACCAACAGTGGCGATCATCTGCACGATTCCTGCGGTAGGAATGTGGTTGGGGCCAAAGATGGCGGCAACTCCGTTGGGGAAAGAGTCGAAACTGTCTCCGGCGTAGTTGATGGATCCTGGAAGGTGGATTCCGGCACGGGTGGTGATTTGACCCAAGAAGGCCAACATGCAGATGCGTCCGTGCTTCAATTCGACGTAACGAAGACGTTCGAATCGCTCTTCGGTGGCATCTCCGGAGAGCATACCGAAAGGATCGAAGAATCCAAGTGGTGGCTGAACACCAAGCTCGCTCTCGAAAGCATTCAAGGAGCTGGTCTTGGTGGCTGCTTGTTGAGCAGGTGCGAAGGCACTGGCAGCGGCGATAAGGGAGGCAAGGACGGCGGTCTTCATGTTTGACTTGTTCCTAAAAGAAATTGTGGGAGAAAAGATTGGTTTTTCTTCAAGATTTGTCATTTGAGTTGAAGTGACGATCTGGTGCGTATGTTGAAGTTGAGGATCGGATAAGTCGACTTGGGTAAGAAGATATGGTCGGTGGACAAGGGTATTTATTAGTCCCTACCACCTCAGAGGCAAAAATCCTATGATGTGCAATCGAATTCATAGTAACCGAAGACGTTGCATCCCTCTCAGAAGATAAATTAAACTTGATGCCATAAGAAAAAGAATCATAACAATCAGATAAAACGCGGGTAGTTTTGATAGGCTTCAGTTATTATTCTATTACAATCTTTTGATTTTCATTTTTCATGAACCATTTCTCCAATCACATCAAATTTCCGAGCTGCTTTTGAGAATGAATCAACGCTCAGTGTTCCTTGTTAGCGTCCTCGGAGTGCTCGGCGTCTGGTTCGGTATCGGGTTCAGTCTCCTCTTCCTCCTTATACGTGATGCTGTCTTCGCCGTAGTTTGCTCTTTCAACGTACCACTTCTTCTTGAAAAGAACCTGGACAATAGGCCGAAGAAGTGATGATGTATTCGCCGTACCACGATGAAAAAGGCGGTAGTCATACCACATAGCGTCTCCTGCGGAACACTTTCCATTCCACGTCGATTGCGCAATCTCAGCGACAGGCCCAAATCCGACTAGACTCCTGTTTCGGTGGGAGCCTGGCCAGTATTGCGTATATCCGGTCTCCTCGTTGATGTCAACTAGGGGGATGAAGAGACACAGCGCATATGTTTCCGCCAATATAGTCTTCCATCCATCAGGTTCCCATTCAGAGTCTTTTGCTCCTTTTTGATGCTCTCCATCACAGTGCCATCCTTGGTTTTGAGAACCAGGTTTTGAATAAATTACCGATACGTCAAAATCTAATTCACTGTCAGTGCCAAGAGTTTTCTCCAAAAGGGTCGTCACTTGACTCCTTATTTTTTGTTCTACAAATTCCTTTGCCGATTCCGACTGTAGCAAAAGATCAAATCTTCCGTTACCTCTAGACGCAATCTCCTTGAAATGGAATGTGTCCTTACCGATTTCTATTTCCGGATGATGTTCTTTCATGAGGTCTTCCGTTTTGCTAATTTCCTCGTCTACATACGATCGCATTTCCTTTATTTCTTCGGCATTGATCAGACCCTTTTGAAAAAACATTCCCCATTCTTTCAGCACCTCAGGTGCCCAATCCTCTATGGCAACTTCTGAAGTTGGGTCATGACATATCACTTTGTCGTAGCCTTCTGGCGGCTGCAGTGGGAGAATAGCAGGTGCAGATGCCCACAATTCACAGGAATATTCGTCTCCTAGCGTCTCGTCAACTAGACCCACAACATTGAGCGTGGGAGCCTTTGTGATAGCGGTGAAGAGTTGGACTGGCTTGCCATCATCATTTGCAAGACAATGTTGAACCCAGGTGATATCAACCAATCTCCCAATCCCAGCGTATTCTACAGATGTCATATTTTGACTGATCTTTTCCCATAATCCTTCATCGGGAGGGGAAACCCCTATCAGTATACAAATCATCGTTTCTTATTACCGTAATTGCAAGTTCTTGCATTCTCATGTGCCGACCAAACCGAAGGCGGAACAAAGGTGTTGGAAGTTTACGATGGAAATCGCTTCCACGTGGAATATCACCATTGGCTCACATCGGTTCGTCGCCAGACTGGACTCCCAAGACCGGAACTTCGGTTCTCATTCGTGCAATAAGTCGAAAAACAAATCAGACAAGCTTACTGTACACGTACACGTACAAAAGCAGGAACACACATCATCCATTGACAATGTTACTATCAAGATGTACAAGTAGGAGTACGATGAGCCTGAAAGATGAAAATGGGTTGCAAAAGACATTTGAGAAACCAAGGCGAAGTCCAATGGATCAATAATCCTCACTATCTCTTTTCAAGCGAGCAAGAATACCAAGGAACAACGAGGCATATCTTTATCGGTCGTGACAACGAGTATGCGGAAGCAGAGATGGTCTCATTCCCACTTCCGTCATTGTTGGATACGTTTGGGTTCTCACAAATGCTGAAAGAAAGCTTGTATGGTGTGATCTTTGCCCATATATTTGACGAGAACAACAGCTGCTGAAAACTTATTGAAAACTATCTGAAAAATGGCAACAACGACCCGTCCAAACCAGAAACCAGGAAAGCTTTCTTCCAAATTCGGAGCTGCCTTTGCCGCTTTTGAAAACAACAGTGGTGAATCAAATGTTCCGCAAGCTTTCCGGTCTGCCACCACCACGAGAAAGACAAAGCCAAATACTACTACAGGTCAAACAAGAAGAAGCAACTCATCCACGCCACTGTTGAAGAAGCATCATCATCCGAACGTGTCATCGTCTTCTGAAGAAAAGCCGAGGACCAGGTTCAGTCAATCCAATTCGTTTCAACGACGAAGCGTCAGTAATACTGAGAAAGCTTCTGAAATGGATAACAACAAGCATGAACAAGACCAACCCTCCGCACAAACTCCTTCTGCTGCTGCTGAACGGACCAATAGTACCGCTGAGGATATGATCGCATTACCTACTACGCCTGGAAAGAGAAACTTTCGAGTTTCTTCCAAACTTGTTGCCAATCGGGCCATGGTATTTGAATCGTCAAATAGCAAGAACAATAGTAGTAGTACTACTACTACTACTACTACTGACACGGCCCTGCTCGCTGAAGATAAACATATCGACGATGACGATTCTGAATGTTATGGATACATTGACCTTGCACCAGTCAAGGAAACTGTACACAGTACAATTGATGGGGTCTGCAGTGATGGTGAATACGAAGAGTTTTGGGAGGAAGAAACTTTGGATTCAACAGAGGAAGCAGATGATTGGACCTATCAAAGCTGGGAAGAAGAAACAATTGTGGACGATAGAGTGCTGCTGGAAGAGGAGGAAAATGAAGAAGAAGTAGTAGTAGCAGTAGAAGAGGAATAAAGCATGAATCATGTTTGAATTATTAATATGTCTACAGTAGTACCAATGCCCCGTGTGGATGAACCAACCAAATCACTGGTGCTGAAAACATTGAGTACAGCAGGTACACTCCACAAAATCGCCGCAGTCACTCGTCAAAATGCTGAGCTCGGTCAAGTTACAAAGTACTTCGGGTACACTTCCAACAAAGTGGTTGCTATGCAATTGCACAATTTTCAAATCGTTCAAGCCGGCCAGAGCATTTGGAACAGCTCCATCGAGCGAGTTGTTGTGCACTCGCAATATTTCTGACCATAACAATATAACTGTAAATGAGTGTCATTGTGCCAATGAAAAATGGCAATGCGATTGGAGAGAGTTATTCCAAGCAAGACTTACTGAGGTTGGTCCATGCTTCTATAATGTCTTCCCAAACGGGGCCAGTAAGTTGATTCTCGTGCACTTGAAACTCTTGAAGCTCGGTCAATTCCGCAAGAGAATGTGGTATTGGTCCAGAGATTTGATTGTCAAACAAAAAAAGAGCCTCTGAAGCAGCAGCAATAACAACAGCAACAGCAACAACAACATCAATGAGCCAAGGGATTGAACATGATAATTCATAGTGTATGAAAAAGAATGAATCTTACCGAGGTGGGTGAGTTGACCCATAGCATTGGGTATCGCCCCAGAGAGATGATTCCCATCGCCGTACAAGATACCTGAAATCATTACAGGAGTAATTCATTAGCTTTATTGTTCGTGGCTTTTGCTTTGAATTGATTGTCATGGATCCACATGTATAATTTCAAACTTACGCAGCATTTTGAGTCGCTCCAGCTCTTGGGGCAAGGCACCACTAATAATGTTGTCATGGAACTGAAGTTCATCTGTAATTTGAAGTAGGTTTACGAAATTATGTTAGGACAAGATAGGACACTTAATCCAAAGGATGCAACCTTTCTCCATTCCGCTACGGTTTAGTACTTACGCAGTAGGATCATGTTCGACAAGGCTTCGAAAGGGAGCATACCAGAAATGGCGTTAGTGTCAATGTATGCAATCTCTGAATGAGCGAATGAATCATAGAAAAGTATAATATGGTGAGCATTGTCCATTTTCGCATTAACACGACGAGTATTGCTGCAAGTCGGAATCTATCTGTATATTCTAATGAACCATCCACTTACGGAGCAAAGTCAAGTGTTCCATTTCTGTTGGAAGCTTCCCCGTCAGCATGTTTCCGGATATTCGTAAATCGACTAGATTCGTCAAGGTTCCAATGGCGGAATCGATCGATCCAGACAAGTGGTTGTTGTCCAGGTACAAATATGCTACCGATAGGATAGATGAATTCACAATATGAGTAAAACAATCGACAAAATACAATGCCATTGATGGGATGAATCGTAATTTTTTGGGCAAGCAAGCAAGCAGCTTGCTTCACACACACAAACACACACACACACAAAAAGAAACTTACCAAGATTGTCCATTCGATATAGTTCCAATGGAATTGTACCCGTGATATCATTCGAGTGTAGTCCCAAGCTCTCAATGTGATGATTACTAAGAAGAGCAAGCTCTGCTGGAAGAGAGGATTGAAGGCCGTTGTACGACAAGTCCAAGGATCGAATCCGTGGTTCTGCAGTGTTCCTACCGTCATTGTCGTGGAAGCAGGTAATGCCATACCAAAAACATATAGAGTGTGTGGTGGACAACCAATGGTCGTGGTTGGTCCAAGAAGAGCTAATGTCATCATCATTAGCACTCAATGATTGGGTCGTCGCAAAGAATAGAGTTGCCAGAGCAAACTTGGCCTTGAGCGTGTCCACGTGATTCCAATCAATTTCAATTTCCTCAGCACTACTTTGAAGGATCCACTCCAGTGCTCGTGCTTGTGGACTTTGCAAGTCTACCAATCGCTCCACGGATGTGAGGTTCCAATCTTGAATCATTGCCGTCAATCGAATTCTGGAATCCATCATGTTGCTAATAATGGGTGATGGAGTATTATTATTGCGAGTAGCAGTAGACAGACCAACGTACAGAGCAATGATGGGCGATACAATCGCAATGACTGCAAATGCAATTCTCTTGGCATGTGCCCTCACCAATGGCAACGCCGATCGCTCCCGGCTACTAGTACTAGTACTACTTCTACTAGTCGAAGGTCCTCTCAAAATACCCGCCGTCATATTTGCAATCGCAGACGGCTCCTCATCATAATCATAGTCATCATCATCGGACATGGTAATGGACAGGGCTTCCAGAGTTCGAAGATGAAGCTCTCGCTCCTCTTGACGACGTTTGTGCTGTTTGTAATTTTGAAATGTATTCAGCATGATTTTGACAGTGTGTGTGTGTGTGTTTGTTTGTTTGCTTGCTTATGAGACCAATGATATCACGTTCCGACACACGGCTCTTGTTACGATTTCACATCTCACGCGGAGTGGTCGTCAGAATTCAGAATGCGTAATATTTGCAGTGAGTGCTATGCTCGGAGACATTATCATCATCGTCATCATTGTCGTCATCTCCAAAAGAAAGGGTGCGAAAGGAGTAACGACCTCATTCACCTTTGCCTTTCTCTGCTCCATTAAGGTTAAGCTTCTGCCCATCAATATTGGCCATCGACTTCATTTGTCATCTGTCGAAATCATTGGCATTTTTCATTTTGTTTCCTGAAACATAATCTGCCGTCTTGCATCTCCCGTCACTTCTCGTTTCTCAAACAAACAAAAAATAAGGTGGTGTTGGAGACTTGTTATTATTTGCATGCAAACAGAACATGTCGTCGTCGTCGTCGTCATCTTCCAAACAACAACCAAAGATAGAGGGTCCACAACCTTCCTTGACGTATTTACGTCCCGAAGTTGCAGCGCTCAAAGCTCGGCTCGACGAATTCATTGAACATGACGTCTTGCCGGCCGAAGAGGAATACAACGAGCACTTGTCCTCCAGATCGGGAAGCGATCGATGGACCATGGACGCCCTTCCTCCATCCTTGTCCAAATTACAACAAACGGCACAAGATTTGGGTTTGTGGAATCTCTTTTTGCCACCTCGACTGGTGCCTCATCTTCCAAAATCCGCCAAATCCTTGGCACCCAATGTCGTTCTGACCTACCGGGAATATGGCATTCTGGCCGAAAGCATGGGACGATCCGAATTGGGAGCCATGTCTTGCAATTGCAGTGCTCCCGATACTGGAAATATGGAAGTTTTGTTGGAATTTGGCACTCCCCAACAAAAGGAAACCTACCTGGTGCCTTTGCTCCAGGGAAAGATCCGATCCACCTTTCTCATGACGGAACCTGATGTTGCCAGCAGTGATCCGACCAATTTGGAAACCAAACTAGTCAAAACTTCCGCGTCTACCTATACCTTGACGGGAAAAAAGTGGTGGTCGACGGGAGCCATGGACCCTCGATGTAAAATGGCACTGGTGGTGGCCAAAATGGAGTACGCCCCTGGAGTTGCACCTGCGGCCTCTTCTTCTGATGATGGTACTACGACTTTCTCCAACAATAGCAGCAGCAGCAGCAGCAGCAGCAGCAACAACAACAACAACAACAAGAGGCATAGCAAGCATACGATTGTACTAGTACCTTTGCCGCATCCCAAAGTCCGAGCAGTGCGACCATTGACAGTCTTTGGCTACGACGACGCGCCGTTTGGGCATGCCGAAGTGGCTCTGGACAGCGTTCCCCTAACACAAGATCACTTGATTGGAGGAGAAGGAAGTGGATTCAAGGTCTCACAAGCAAGATTAGGTCCAGGACGAATCCATCATTGCATGAGAGCGGTTGGAATGAGTAAGTTTTTGGTATATTTTGGAAACGACACAACTTGTTCTATGGCGTGCACAACTATTACATGTATGAACCCATTGCTCACTCGATCACGACTACTGCCTCCATTCATCCTCTCATCCTCATTATGAACCAACCATTCACTCCAGCCCAACGCTGTTTCGAATTAATGTTGCAACGATCCATCGAACGCAAGACCTTTGGCAAATATCTATGGCAACATGGAACCGTCCAAGCAGAGATTGCCGATTCCTTTGGTGCCATTCAAGCCGCTCGTTTGTTGACTTTGAACTGCGCCCAACAAATGGACGAATTTGGTCCACGGCAAGCCCGACAATTCATTTCCTCCATCAAGGTCCAAGTACCGGAACTCTGCGTTGGTGTCATTGACAAGGCTGTACAAGTACACGGGGGTGCGGGAGTATCTGAAGATTTTGTGTTGGCCAAGGCATTGGCGAATTTGAGGACGCTAAGGATTGCCGATGGACCAGATGCCGTTCATCGGCAGTCAGTTGCCATGCTGGAATTGAAAGGATTGTACCGGTCCATGTTTGGTACCGACCCTCCCCGAAGCAAGCTGTAGTATTTATTTACCGTATATATATTAATAATAAAATAAACATAATAACCGCATTGATAGTGATGAGGGCATTGCGACATTTTATATATCAGATACAATGGTAGAGGTCATTACCAACATTTTTATAGTGTACAAAATATTCCAAACCAAAGAAATGTCGCGGGCTACTGATGTAGCTACTTCTATATTATATAATGAAATGGATACATACTGAATACTCTAGCGTTGTAAGTTAGCATTTTATCATTATATGTACATACGGTACACGTACGATACAGTCTACGAGATACGACGATAAACTGGCGCAGTCGTCTTGTTGTGACCCACTAGAAGATCGTCGTGAGCGATTTCACCATCTTTTTTTCAGTTCGATTTCCACTGAAATATGTTGTCCTTCCATAGGAACAACAGGGCATAGGACAAACCGATTCCAGAAAAGACACCGAGCTTTTGGACTAGAATTCCCTTGGCCTTGAGGACACCTGCAAAGGCGGCTCCACAAAAGAAACCTCCAAAAATGGAAGCATTCAACAAAAATCCTTGTTTGTCCTGGACTGTCAGCTTCTTTTGTCCTGCACTCTTGGAAACACGGTCTACAATTTGGGCCATCATTCGTGTCAAGCTTCCCGTCACGACAAAGGTAAGGGTCCCGGTACAATCCTGGCCGACCGAATTGACAATTCCAAATCCCATGGCCAACATCATTGTGGGAATCCAGCGACTCCCGTACATGCTAAACATGACATCACTCCCAACAAAGAGGGCTGCTGTAAAAAAGGCGGAAAGGGGAAGGGTATTCCTCTTTTTGAGTGCCACATCGGATTGTCGAAAGACAGCAAGACCTGCAAGATACGACAAGATGACCGATGCGTAGAAGCCAACATCCGTGAACCGTTGTTCTACCATTGCCAAGGCCATCCACATGGTATTTCCAGTCATCATGGTGGCAAAGCACTTGTATTTCAAATTGAGCGCAAGATCACTGACGCCTGTCAAGAATGCCATTCCAAACCCAAGTCGTCGTTTTCCTTCCAAGCGAGAAAAGGAACTAGTAATCTCGTTTTTAATATCGTTGACGGAATCGTTGATGGAAGCAGCTTGCAATTTGACCAAGTTGTTCGATCGAGGAGATAGGTCCATGGTTGGAAGATGAGTGATGGGTCGTGACATCTGCTGCTGTCGAGAGTAGGCCAAGATGTGGCGTGAAGAAGAGGGATTGTTGTTCTTAGTAGTACTAGTAACGAAACCACTGGCTGGAGTTACTGCCATTGCAGCAAGTAAGAGGGCACTGACGTTGAAATTCGATATCTTCATCGTGGAACGGTGTTTTTCTTGGTGTTGTTGCTGTTGTTGTTCTTTTATTCTTGCTAACAATAGTCTCCACCGTCGTCGTCAAACAATCCAAAAAGTCGGGAAGTTCAAAGTTCTGATGGTTATGACCGGAATTTGAGGTCCACGAAATCGCAAACCGCGCGTTTTATCATAAAACCGGAAAAATAAAAATGTGGAGTGCCGACGGGAGATGCAATGACGTGGCGGTTCGAAGTAGTCGCCTAGCTCAAAAGAATACTGCCGTGCCAGACTCACTCTTTGAGATACCGCTAGAAAAGAAGTAAACAAATTAATGACTTCATGGTTCGTCACGCAAGCATTCCAACGACCAGCCAGCACGAGCAGCAGCAACAACTGCCTCGCTCGTTGTTCAGGAGGACTCACGGCTGTACACCGCATGGTGGGGTGCAATGCAAAAGGTGAAACTGATGTCGTAGTCACATAGAGGCAGGCATCATGCGTCTTTATATTTCAGGCACCATTTGCCAATTCCTAAAATGAGTCATCATCATGCGCCTCTGATACCGGTCTATGAGCAACCTCAACATACCGGTAGATACAGTAAATATTACAAAGCTTAACGAGCTTATATAGTTTCTTTCACCACTACGACATCAACTTCAAAATATCGTTTGCGTTCGCATTGCGATGCCCCATACCATCGTCGTACTGTATCTGTTATATTATTACGGCACTTGTTGGTCTTCCGTCTATTCGTCTCAAATAACACATTTTAAAATTCATCAAGGAATATACACGAACGATACTAGGAAGGACCTATGATTGCAAAAAAGGCAGTTGTAGCAGGAGCCACAGGAAGTGTCGGACGTTTGATTGTGCAGACTTGCATAGAAGATCCCAGAATTGAAAAGGTCACAGCTGTGGTTCGTCGAACAGTGTCAAGTGAAAAAGCAGAAGAACTATGGGGATCTTCCGACAGTTCCAAGTTGTCGCAGCTAGTGGTGGATTATCCTTCTCTCACTGTCGATGATGCCAAGCTGAAGGAAGGCTTCCAGGGGTGTGATGCCTTCCTGACCGGCCTTGGTGTATACGCTGGCAATACCAAACGAGCGGAGATGGAAGATGCGGAAGTCAAGTACAATTCTATCCTTGCAAAAGTAGTCCATGAAGCTGGAGCAAAGCGGGGATCCTATCTGAGTGGTCAAGGTGTCCTGCAACCCAAGAGAGAAGGAAAATCCAGGATCATGTATGCTCAAATCAAGGGTCAAGCAGAAGAAACCTTGGCCGGAATCTTTAGTGGTCACGATGAAGCACATGTATCCGTTCGGCCGGGTGCAATATTCGATCGCCCCGGACCGCCCATATATGGGTTTACCGATACATTGTTGGCCAAGTGGCCTTTGAAAAAGTTAAGGGATACCAAATATGGAATTTCAGCTAATGATATTGCCAAAGGAATGGTACAAGGAGCTCTGTTTGACGACAGTGAAACCGTGAAAGGGAATACCGTCTGGGAGAATAACACCATCAAAGAGGCAGCTAGAAGATACGAGACGTACTTTGAAAACAATGGAAATTAAAGATGGATGGCGGCTACTGATTCAGCTCCCAATGCTATTGCATTATTGTATTTCAACTAGACAATGAATAAAAACGTATCTCTACACTACGCGGTATTAATTTCTATTGACTCAGTGTGTCACGACCGCGGGATCAAAGAACTGGCTGGAGCAAGTCAAACATTGAAATCATTGTGCTCGTAATAACGTCACATCCATCATGATGGTTCATTGGTCATTCCAGGCATGCTCTATACTATGCCCACTGGAAAGATGACCAGAACATCCTGTTTGAGGTCTCACACCACGAAACCGCAAACCGTTCAACAAGAAAAAAGTGAAGTGTGAGATGGGGATATACCGTGTTATGGATATATTGTGACACAAATGACGTGGCCAGTGTGGGTTCGAAGCAGTCGCCGCATATTCGAAGATCTCACGAATTCGTTGGATGCAAGCTCTGGTGAAAATGGAGAAGCTTCGATAATGTGTGACAATCACTTCTTTGGATGACAGCGTCATCATCAAGTCGAGAGATCCAGAGGTCATTCCTTGTTCCCAGAATAGTGCCATAATCGTTGAGACACCCTTGATTGCTGCTACGAAAGAAATAAAGGAATAAATGACCTCATCGTTCGTCACGCAAGCATTCCAACGACCACGAGCCGTCGTTCTCGTTCTGGGATTTGCAGGTGCCAAGCCCAAGCACGTTGCCAAGTACGCGAATGTGTACCATTCCTTGAATTGTTCTACTGTAGCTGGTACAGCAACAAATAGGGATATCTTTACAGGCAACACTGTAAACCAGGATGCTTTTGCTTTGGAGGGTTTGAAACTGGTGACAAAACTGCTGAAAGAAGTTGCTGAAGCAGACGACGATAATAATCAAGCAAACAAGACTCCTGTGGTGATGCACATTCTCAGCAATGGTGGAACATTCATTACAAATCGAATTGGAATCATGCTGGAGGCCAATGACAATTCAGTCAATAAGAAAGAAGAAACCACAGAAGAGCAGGACAACGACACAGAAACAAGCCAAGATCTCCGATTGTTTGGAGATCGTCTCAAGTTGGGCTGTCAAATCTTTGATTCAGCGCCTGGCTTTTTCACAACATCAGGTACTTTCAACGTCATTCGAAGCCTTGTTCCAAACAAAATCATTGGGTATCCTGCTGCGGCAATGTATGTGGTCTTTACCCATGTTTTGAATCTTTCCTCTTACCTGATGGGTCAACCTACACATAATGAAGAGTTCTGGAGTCGTTTGCAAACAGACACGAATTGTCTACGACAGGCATACATGTATTCAAACGACGATGAAATTGTGGAAGGAAAATACATTGAAGAGCTAGCCAACGACCGCAAAGCTGGTGTGGGCGAGTACGTTGCCCTGAAGCATTTTGAAAACTCGGCGCATGTGCAGCATCTGCGAAAACATGAAGAAGAATACGTATCCTTTGTCAAGACAACATTGGAAGAAGTTGAGAAATTGAATCGATAGTATCGTCAATGGTGGGATTGCATAGCCACGGGTGGGAAAGTGCTTCCGCAGTAGGCATGATATATAGCTTTTTCAATGACCAAGAAGGAACCCACAAAGATGACCTTACCAGCATGAAGACTTGGACGTTTGGCTTGCTGTGGTTTGATCCCGCGGTGAGACACTGATTCCATAGAAATCAATACCGCATAGTGTAGAGATATGTTTTTATGCATTGTCTAGTCGAATGGCAGTAATGCAATAGCATTGGGAGCTGGATCAGTAGCCACCCATCTTCAATTTCCATTGTTTTTAAAGTACGTCTCGTATCTTCTAGCTGCCTCTTTGATGGTGTTATTCTCCCAGACGGTATTCCCTTTTACGGTTTCACTGTCGTCAAACAGAGCTCCTTGTACCATTCCTTTGGCAATATCATTAGCTGAAATTCCATACTTTGTTTCCTTCAACTTTTTCAAAGGCCACTTGGCCAGCATCGCATCGAAAAATCCATATACGGGTGGTCCAGGGCGATCGAATATACCACCTGGTCGAACGGACACATGTGCTTCATCGTCACCAATAAAGATTCCAGCCAAGGTTTCTTCTGCTTGACCCTTGATTTGAGCAAACATGATCCTGGATTTTCCTTCTCTCTTGGGTTGCAGGACACCTTGACCACTCAGATAGGATCCCCGCTTTGCTCCAGCTTCATGGGCTACTTTTGCAAGGATAGAATTGTGTTTTATTTCCGCACTTTCCATCTTCGCTCGATTGGTATTGCCGGAGTATACACCAAGGCCGGTCAGGAAGGCATCACACCCCTGGAAGCCTTCCTTCAGCTTGGCATCATCGACAGTGAGAGAAGGATAATCCACCACTAGCTGCGACAACTTGGAACTGTCGGAAGATCCCCATAGTTCTTCTGCTTTTTCACTTGACACTGTTCGACGAACCACAGCTGTGACCTTTTCAATTCTGGGATCTTCTATGCAAGTCTGCACAATCAAACGTCCGACACTTCCTGTGGCTCCTGCTACAACTGCCTTTTTTGCAATCATAGTATTGTTTGTATATATTCCTGGATGTATTAATATGTTCGTTGAGACGAATAGACGGAATGCCAACAAGTCCGTAATAATAGAACAGATACGACGAAGGCGATGAAGGACATCGCAATGCGAACGCAAAAGATAAAGTTGTTGTTGTGGTGAAAGAAACTATATCAGCGCTTCTCCAAAAATGAAGAGCCACTTTTTAACACACCTCCAATTCTACATTGGTACCAAATCAGATTAGAGACGCATGATTCATTCTAGGAATTGACCAATGGTGCTGGCAATGTATGGACACACGATGCCTGTAAATGTAACTACGACATCAGTTTCACCTTTTGCATCGCACCCCATGCGGTGTACAGGCGGACCGTTTCGCTTTTTCGAAAGTCAATGTCTTCCAGTGATTGGCAAGATTCGAGGATTTCCGCCTCGAGATAGGCTGCACATCGCTCGTTGAAAAGGGCAGCATGGTGCAGATGGCCCGTCCGAGTTGCCAGTACGATAGCTTTCCGAAACAGGGATGCTGCTTCCGTTGACTTTTTATCGTACGCAGCCTGTTCTGCGCATAAAAAGAGGTGGTAGTGCTGCACATTTGGATTTCCATTTTGTGCCCACTTCTCAATGGTAGTCTGGATTTCGTTCGCGAGTTGGAGGTGTTTTCGCTTTCGCGTGCGATGAGCAAGGAGATACATTGCAAAACCTCGAAAGAAAGTGTCTACCATTCCAAAAAAGTATTTTGGTGCAATCGTAGAGAAACCACCAGTGTCAATGACCAAAGTCCCTGCCTCCTTATATTCTCCGAAAAATATCATCAGTTGCAACCGGAAAGCATCCAGATAGGCCCTTTCCAATGCAGTCACGGTTTGTTTCTTCTCTTCATTAAATGCTGCACCTCGTAAATTGGTTTTTCCTTTGGATTTCCCGGTGAGATTCAGTACCATTTGCCAGAACATTCTTGTGATGAGATGCTGATCTTTCTGCCGGAGGTCTTGTATCTGATGCAAAGTCTTTGAACAATTTTCAAGAATTCCCAAAAGAGGCTTTCCCATTTGATACGGATACATTAACGAATGCGTCATGAGACACCACATGGCTCCATTCAAATTACCAGCCTGCATTCCAAGTTGATAGCCTCTCAAGGCTGGGCTCAAGCAATCGGAGAATGATTTTGTATGTGGTAAAGCAAGCTGGCATGACGTGGCCAACACATCAGACTCGGAGTACTTTGACGGTACGATTGATTGCAGCAAGCCACTGACTTCAGCAAAGAAGCATGCAACCTCGTAGTCTCCAAAAACGGATGCAGCTAGCAAACCTAGATTTGCAAATCCGACACCACTTTCAGCCGAAACACCATACTTCAATGTCATTCTGATCGAATTCAACCATGGAAAGGTGAGAACAAATCGCAAACAACTATTGGACGCCCACTCTCATCAAAGCTACTCACCGAACAATTTGAGTTGTACACAAGTCGACAATGACTGGTTTTTCAGATACACGAGCAATGTACGTCAACCGAACAAGAAGATGAACAATTGAAAGTAGTTGAGGGTCTTCCATTTTCGGCAAAGCCTGATATTCCTCCTTCTCTAAAGTCTTTGCTGTTTCGATTGCCTTCAGCAGCGGTACACTAGATCCCATGGAAATAACTGCCATATTCCATCGCGGCGAACCAAGCTCGGCAAGCACATCGAGACAAAGATCAATGGATTCGTTTGTATTTTCGTCCATTGTATACAGTGTTAGACATTTTGTCAAGTTGATGGGAAACTTTTCCATCTCTGTACAAAATGCTTGGGACAACACTTCCTTGCAGAATTTCTCAACTGTCGTTTTCTGTCGTAACGCAAACGCCAGCTCTGCGCCAAGTGTGCACAACCGCAAGGTCATGTCATAATTGTTTGTCCATCTGTCGACAGGTAGCAAGTCGATACCTTTCGACACGTACATTAAAGCACTCGAAAAAGCTGCCATCTTGTTTGCCTGTTCTGCTGCCTTCAAGTTCAAGTTGGCAAGCTCGACACTGGTCTCCAGACTGCCTTTGTTCATGAGATTTGCCACTTCAAATAGCAATTCATCCAGTCCATCGACACCAAAGTCATGAAAAAGGCTGGAACCGACTGCAAATTGAAAGCTGACAGTATCCTCGGCTGCTAATGACAATGCTGCCTCCCTGACCTCATCGTGAACGAAGCGAAACGATTTGACGCCAAAATACTCGATGAAATGGGCAGCATCTTCTAATTCTCCAAAAAGTCTAGAAAGATCTTCGCTTCTTTCCCCCAAAACTGCTACCGCATGCGTGTCCCACAAGACTTCTAGAGTCGAGACCCGTATTGAAGATCCAAGGCAAGCGGCATATTGAAGCATCAGCTGTACGTTCTGCGGTAGCTTTTTCATTTGTCGCTGCAGTAGATCGACGATACTTGTGGTGGACATGGTCTTGTACGAAATGTCATCTTCATTCCATATCCACTGGAGTAGCGCAAATTGGAATTCAAGAAGGCCCTCTTCCTCCAACATGCCCAGTAAGGCGATTAAGAAGTAGGGATTTCCCATTGTGCGTTCGTGGCAGATCACTGCCAACCCCCTTGAGTGATCTTCGTCGTCATCGTTGAGCAACTCCATAATCATCTCATGTGTTTCATCCACATTCAAGTTGTCCAATTCCAAGCTGGTTACAGTGAAACTGTATTGGACCGCTGCAACTTTCTTTTCCAACCTCCGTTCAGTTTCAGCCAAGTAATTGTCCTCACCGACTTCTTCGGGACGAAAGCATCCTACTATCATAAGAGCATTCGAATTTTCCTCATCGGATATCAAGGATTCTATGAGTTCAAGTGATGATGCATCTGCCCATTGGAGATCGTCCAACAAAATAACAATGGGGGCAAAGCAGGAGGTCATGGCCCGCATCAGCACACGAAAGGCAAAAGCCCAGCGATTTCGTCCAGCATCAGCATCAAAGAAAGGTTCTGGTGATTCCTCTGATAAGTCTGGTACAATCATTTCGAGTTGTGGTACCAGCTTTACCAGCAAGTGCACTTCACTGCCTAGCGCTGAGATGAGCTCAGTTGCAAAGTCAGCTTTCTCGGTAATAGCTCCAGTGCTTGGTTCATCTTCACCCAATGGGTTCTTCCTTTTCCTCATGACTTCTTGCTTCTTTATCGCAACACATATTTGACCAAGAGCCTGTGCAATTCCAGAATAAGGCTCTTCCGAATGGCTCAGGTCAAACTTCCCGTTCACAAACAAACCAGACTCCTCTTTTGCAATGTCGCGCTTCAGAGTGTTGGCTATCGTCGTTTTCCCCACCCCGCTTGGCCCTTGGATGAATATCAGCTCCCGTCTCCCCTTTGTCTTGTCATTATTTCCTTGAACCTTGCTGTCATTTTCATCGCTGCTCTTGCTTGATGAGCCTTCTTCGTGTCCCATCATCCGCCTATAACATCGTTTCAGACAATCTCGTTCTCTCTTTCTTCCAATCAATCCAAGGGAATCAAACTTGAGTTTATTGATCGTCAGTTCTTGTAAATGATAGCTTTCTTTCCGGCCAGCAGGCCCTATTGGTTTGCTGGGTTCGAATTCCCCTGATAGCTCTCCTTTCACTGAGTTCTTGGTGGCACCACCACTAGTAGACGCTGTAAATTCATCTCCATGTTTCAGTGAAGCGGAAGTTCGGCCGTTGCCAACATGCTGATCCATTTCCCCTTTTTTCCTAACGACCAGTATTGGCAGTAGAGGTGCAATGGGAGGTAGAGGATGGATCCACTATACTGTTATTCGGTTTTATTCTCGTCCGGAGAGGTATGGTGGCGCCATTGCGTTTCGCATATTTTTCATCGTGACTACTTTGATTCAATCAACCTTTTGAGTGAGTCAGTCAGTCAGTGAGAAGCGATTAGTGGTGAAGTGTATCTTAATATAGAAAACGAATATCTTTGCATCATAGAATAACAGTCACAAAGAACTCCTATGTACTTTATACAGTTTTGTAAACTACTACTGTAGTATAGTGTGCAGTTGCAATCTTTATGCCTTCTTCGCCTTCTTCACTTTCGACTTGAGTGGACCAACGGGCATCCTGGTCCCAAAGACTAGGTCCCCGTTGTACATGCCCCAGGTGGCACTGGCCAAAACGGCGCTGACACAGGGTGCCACCCAGTAGACAAAGTAATGCTCATTGTCCGAAGGGAATTCAAAGTTGCCGCTAGTGCCAAAGGCGCCCCAACAGGTACCCAACATGGGGTTGATGGCAGGTCCAGCAGTGGGGAAGAATTCAATGAGGGCACGAATGGCGACGGCCGTCAAGAATTGTTTGATCCAGTAGTGGTACTCTCCAAAGTTGAATTCCCAGTTGAGCTGATGAACGAAGTAAGCACATTTTGTGAAAAGTTGAAGTTATTTTTTGTCGTGACAGATTGACGAAAAAATAGGGAAAAAAGACAAACAAGATGAGATTTCGATGATCGACACCAATGACAATGATGCGGCTCCAGCAGTGTAGGTACTCACAAGGTAAATGGCCCACATCAACAAGAACATGGCACCGAACTCAGAAAGAAAGGCCTCGGCATTGGATGCAATCTTGAATTCGGGTCCACCGAAGGGTTCCAAATTCAACATTTCAGAAATGATATGGAAGACAGGGAAAGCAACCATACCTCCGCCCATTTGTCCAGCGATACGAACGAATGCTTCAGTGTAGTCGATCTTGGCCAAAGCCCACATACTGACGGTGACAGCGGGGTTGACTTGTTGACCTCCACCAAAGTAATCAGCGGCAATCACACCGACAACATGCCAAGCCCAGGCCAATTCCCACATTTCTTTACCGATCCACTTTCCAGCAGAAAAGGTGAAGGCAATCATCATCATGCTCCCGATAAATTCCTTAGTGTAAGCATCCCAGTACTTGGCCTTTTCGATGCGACCAGCAGCCAAACTCAAAATGAGACCTGGTGGGATATATTCGACAAAGTGGCCGAAGAATGTACCAATCCATCCTACGATAAAGACAATCATTTTTTGCTTCTTTCGCTAATAGATCCTTGGTGGATGTGTATACTAGTATTGTGGCGACTGCTGATGTCAAACGATCAGAAGAGCAGTGTTTGTACAACTTCCTGAAGAGGATTCAGACGCCGACTTCCACGACGAAAGTGTATCCTCATTCCTCATACGTCACCCTTTTCGAGCCTTATCGGGGGAGCTACAGAACGTGTACCAATTTGTTCCAAATTGGTGCCCCAGAAAAATCAGAAAAGAACTTGCAAAGTCCCAAACGAATGACTCACCAAAGGTATTTCTTATTAGTTCGTTCCCGCACATCACTCGATCCTCGTCTCGTAATTCTTGCACTCCTCTCATCCATCAGATTCAAGAAAGCCACAAAATCATCTTTATTCCTGTTGCAACAGAAACACCTTCCACCATTAGAATAAGGCAACAATGAAGAAAAGTACCATCCTATATATTGCAGCACTATGGAGCAGCCTACTTTTGGCGTCTGATGCCTTTGCTCCCTCCGTGCCATCATCATCCCCGTCCATCATTGTCAACACCCGACTGCAAATGGAAGCCTCGTCACCTGACCGAGAAAGTCGTCGGAAAGAGCTTTTATCTCGAAATGGTCCCTATTTCAAGCTCAATCGATTCCAGGGAGCTGTGGAATTTGGATCGTCTGCCAAACTTGTCACAGTGTTGAATACTCAAAGTAGCGGAAGCAACGGTCAAGATAATAAGAAGGAAAATTTGGAGCAGATCTCGGAATGGCTGTCGGATGGTCGGGGATTGGCTGTATCCATCTGGGACGAATCATTAATGACTGAGCTGAATAATAACTTGTATCGGTTGCAAACCATGAAGCTGCAATTCGTCACGATTCAACTCGCACCCAGTGTGGATATGAAGATGTGGACCCAGAAGGACGGTGGCAACAACAATATGCCAACTTTCTCCTTGCAATCAGTGGGATTTGATCCTAATATTCAACTATTGCCTGGGGTAGGGATATCTGCGTCTTCGCTGGGCATTCAAATTGACGTGGATGGAGAATTAAAGCCAACCTTGGATGGCAAGGGAGTGGAGGGAAAGATTTCCTTTGCAACGCAAGGCATATTGCCACCACCAATGAGAATGCTTCCTGAGCCCGCTCTCAAAATGGCCAGCGATTCCATCAACGAAACCATTGTCAAGTTTGCCATTCGAAGTTTTGAACAAGGAGCGAGAAAAAAGTATCAAGAGTTTCTGGAAACAACAGCAAAGCAAAAGCAGGAACAACAGTAAAAAAATTTTAAAATGAATTCGTGCTCAAGCTTGTAGTTTAGAGATGATCAATTGACAAGATACAGCATTTGCTAGCATTGCATAGAGCAACCAAAAAGGCTGAACAATGAAGAGTTACAGGAAAATGCTGTCGTGTTACATGGACCTTCTTGTCTCTCTGTTAAACCTCATCAGTACTCATGCGATCAGGGGCGAATTGAGGTGGTGGATCTTTTCCACATCTTAGGAAAAGGTAGGCAACTTCGATATCCTTCGTCAAAGGAATGATAATGTCTCTGTAGACAGATTCGACTGTCGAAGGACAAATCTTACCGCTGTTGTTGCCATCAGGATCAGCTCCCAAGGCTTCCATGGCACCAACCACAGCAGCTGCAGCAGCTGCAGCGAGAATGGAGTTGATGTGGTCTTTCGAAGTCTCCATGACTTGCATATCGGCCAAAAGAGGCTCGCGACCATAAGTTGCCGCCTTCAAGCGAGCACGTCGCAAGACCTTGGCTTCGACGACCGAGTTGGTCAGCAATTCCATCACGCCATCAGCATCACCTGCGTCTACCAAGCGTTGGTATCCCTCTGGGTCACACATATACTTGGATTCTGCTACGAACTTTCCATAGTGAACACGTTTTGATAGGGCTTGTAAGACAGCAACATCACACAAAACTGTTGATCCGTGTTGTTCATCATCTCCAGCACGAGCAATGGATGGGACGACGATCTCGAGGTATTTCTTCATCAAGATTTCGTTGAAATTGACATCTATAGCCGCACCAACATCAGACAACAGAGTGGGGTATTCCAACTCTTCCATGATCTTTTCGTTTGGAAGGCGATCGGGGAAAAAGGCATTCTCTTCGGGGGAAGTGTAACGACGAACGGCATAATGCAACGTTTCCGTTCCAATCAACAAATATTCCAACAAAGACAAAGGTTCATCTTCCAATCCTTCTGGAACAACGCTTCCTGGCGGAGTTACCAAATCATGCTTTTTCATGTAGACAACCTGATTTTGCCGATACTGAGCACGTTCGATCAAGGCAAAGATGATGGTTTCTTCCAGTCGAATCAGTGAGTCACGGATCGAATCTAGGGACAGGACGTCGGTTGTCTTGACTTGATCTTCGTCACTTGTGGCGGTGCTACTAGTGGTAGCATCGGTATTTACATTTGTAGCTTGCAGACTTGAAGTGGAAATGGCCGAGTTGCCACGCCATGAAAAAGGAGAATATGTTGATCTTGGAGGTTGCGAAGAGGATGGCGAAGATGCCAAAGCTTCGCAAGGACATGTATTAAAGGAGCTAGCTGCAATTAGTAATAAGGTCAAACAGACGCTTGGAATTGGCTTGCAGTTTGATAGTGGTCTCATCGTAGCGAAGATAGCTCAACGATTGATTGGTGGTTCAACTTCAAGTTTTGATTCAGTTTTGCCGCTTCGTCGGACTTTCAACTCGAAGTGCAGTTCAATCCCCTGTGAGTTGTCGCAGTAATCTTGTTAGGCCGACGACCAAGGATCCCTATCTCCGTGGTCAAGGGGTGATGTTATGTTTGTATGATGTGCCCCGAAGCGTCAATAAACGTCACTTATTCGTCATTTCTCACCATGAGTTCTCCGTGCATACGACGGACGGACCAACTAATCGACTACTCAGAGTTCCTCATATCTCATTACTCACATATTGAATATATTACTACACTACTGTACCTTGATTGCTTCATCTCTGCCTTTGTTTCGAGAATCCTCGCACCTTTACGAATCTCGGCCACTTAAGCGTCGCGTACAGGAGATCGCCATGCAGTCGAAATCTAACCCGGTGAAGCTTCTTGGCTATGATTCTTATCTATGTCTAAACGGCAACAACATGTGTTTGCTTCCCAGGACACCCGTTTCAGATGATTGTTTGTCGACCAAATTCATTCTGGACCATCCTTAACGGTTAAAAACTCCATGTCATCCAATTTCGATGATCTCTTGTTTACTAAAATCAGTGGATGCATCCATGGTCCTCATATCGTTTCCTCCTGTGACGTATTGCTTGCTGAGTCAGGGCTCGCGGTTGCATCAAGATCATCATCATTTCCCGATGGTATATTCAAGTTGTGTGTGTGGATCTGCCGCACATTGCTTATTCTTATTCCAGTAAGCATACCTTGTTCAGTCCTACGATGACTCACCATGAGCGAGTCTCGCAATTCCAAAGCTTTCTGGATCTCCACAGTGATAAGGTCAGTTGGATCTTCAGTGCACCCATGGATGTGACGATCCATTTGAACAAATTCATGACGAAGCCCCTTTCGGGGGTCCTTCCAGTCTCTGCTGAAGAGTACGCCAACAAGGTAGAAAAAAGGAGGCATCGTCAACATTGACCAACCAGAAATAGCAACAATTCCTATCAGCTGTCGACCCATCAGCTCAAAACCACCACCTCTGAATAGTCCAGACACGTCTATGCCAGCGCCAGTCAAGTTTTTATCAGCAAACAGTCCAACTGCAATACAACCCCACATACCACCCCCTAAGTGAACACCTACTGCACCTACAGGATCGTCAAGCTGGAGCCACTTCTTCATCACCGTATCGTTAATAAAGTTGGTGAACAAAGATCCAAGGGCTCCAAAGATAAGCGGATCCCAAGTATGGGTCGTCGCACAGGTGGGGGAACTCGTGACGAGCGCACCCAAGATTCCATTCACCACATCACCAGGGTGAATGTGCTTTCCACCAGAGCGGTATCGACTGTAAATCATCGCAGTCAGCCCTCCAGCGGATGCGGTATTGAGTGTGATAACTCCGGCTCGGGCAGCAACAATCCACTTGTCGTTCGTGATGCCAAACGTCGATCCGCAATTAAAGCCAATCCACCCCCACCACAGCATGAAAAGACCAAACAACATACTTGTTGGACTGGATTCTTCAAAGTCCGATGCTGGTCGACTGCCGTCGAAGCGACCACGTCGGGGCCCGACAAACAATATAGCAATCAAACCATTGACGGCACCATGCAAATGAACTGCTGCTCCCCCCGCGAAATCGTGAAAACCCATTTCAAACAACCAACCACCTGGTGCCCAGACCCAATGAGCAACAAACGAATAGATGACGACAGCATAGAAGGCGAATATACAGTAGACTTCAAAACGCATGCGCATGGCAATGCACCCGCTGACTATTGTCGCCGAGGTAGCTGCAAACGATAGCTGAAACAGGTATCGTGAATACAGAATACCCGACGACACTGCATCGACATCGCCATCCGGGAAGAAGTCGCCTAATCCCATGAAAGAATTCGAAGGCCTACCATACGCAATTCCGTATCCCACGCAGTAAAATGCAAGTGCACCAAAGAGAATATCAGCGACATTCTTCAACATGGTATTCACTTCGTTTCCTGCTGAGCTTGCCCCGATTTCCAAAAGTCCAAAGCCCGACTGCATCGTCAGGATCACAAAGGACGACGTAAGAATCCAGGTTGCATCGTCTTTCCACTGTTCACTGTATGCATTGACTGAAAAGAGGTTGTCGAGTTTCTCGCAAGACCCAGCCAAAGAATCGCATGTGAACGAATCTGCCATCTTTGACTACGTTGTAGCTTCTTTCTTCAAATTGTTGTGAGGCGCTGTAGTCTGATTGTGCCTGATTCTTCCGATGGATAAAGATGCGGAAACAAAGCCTTATCTTTCCGACAACTGTCACCGGGCCAGGTATTTCTGTTTTTATGGCCGGAAGGTGAAATGAACTTCCGAAATTGTTGCCTTGGGAAGAAGAAAAGTGCAAAGTAGAAAAATATATAAAATAGTTCCTCCCCAAAGAAAACAAAGTTCGACATGTTCAAATTGATAAATACCTATATGTATTCATGACACAAAAGGTATTTCTACAAATAATGTCTGTCCCCGTTTTTTGATGAATAATATATCAGCTTTATATAATATTGCAACCAACCAAATTCCATCTCATGCTTCGCCGTCCGCGTTGGTCTTGAAATTTGTTTTGTTTCTACCTGAGCGAGTACCGGTAACAGTACCGGTGCTGCATGTCTGATGCTTCGGGTATCAAAGTCTTCTCTTCGTTGTAACGGTAGGGTGCAAGGTATAAATTACCAGGTAATACCATAGTTGCGATGAAGTTTGGTTTGTTGAAACTAAAATAGCGAAATACTCCTGGCACTGCCTTCTCCGTGATTTGGTACAGTATAATTCCTTCAACACATACAACGAATAGGGCATCATTAGTATAATTCGATCAACTCATATCAACAAGTCTCATGTTCGACAAAGGAGTTATTTCTTGCTATAAATTTGCTATGTTTGGACCGAAAAGGTGTTTTTTGGAAAACAGTTTCCAGATGCGTCTATTATGTCAATTTGATCGTGATGACAGGGGCGTCCTTAGCGTACTCCAGATAGGTGGTACCTAAACCCAAAAGTAGGATCGATGTATTTGTATTCATCATCTCGGTTTCGAGTTTGATTCATTCCTTTGTACAAGTGTTTGGTTGTGCTTGCATTCGTGATGCGAATGTCGGACGGAATGCGCCCTTCTTCAATACCTTTTCCCGTATCGCTTCTCTAGACAATACTGTAGCTCTCAACATGATATCTCTCCCGAATCATATTCTTCTAGTACAGTATCCTGGCGCTTGGAGTCAGCATATTCCTCTGCTGTCGCTGACAGATTACCGGTACTCAAATTGTGCCTATAGCTTCCGGAAACATCGGTCATTCCAGTTAGAACCCCCACTCGACTCTTATCACCGATGTGAGTTTGATCTCGTAATGCCAGCGCTAGCCGGATCATCTCGTTGATTTTGTCAGTTGGATCCTCGGTACACCCATGGACGTTGGGGTCCATCTTGTCATACTCGTGACGTAGTCCCAGGCGCGGGTTCTTCCAGTCTCTGCTGAAGAGAACACCAACGATGTAGAAAAACGGAGGCATTGTCAGCAGAGACCAGGCAGAAATAGCTGCAATGCCAATCAGTTGTTTGCCCATGAGTTCGAAACCTCCACCTCTGAATAAACCCGAATTGTCAATTCCAGCGCCAGGCAAGCTGGCATCGGCAAATAGACCAACTGCAATGCAGCCCCATAGCCCCCCACCTAGGTGAACACCGATAGCCCCAACAGGGTCATCAAGGTGAAGGCGTTCCTTCATCAATGTATTATTCACCCAGTTGGCGATTAACGATCCAACTGCTCCAATGACGAGAGACTCGTAACCATGGGACGTGGCACATGTCGGGGAACTGGCTACCAGAGCACCCAAGATTCCATTCACCACATCCGAAGGATGTACATATTTTCCACCGGACCGAATGGCCGTATATATCATAGCAACGATTCCACCCGCAGACGATGCGTTGAGAGTGTTGACTCCTGCTCGAGCTGCTACTATCCACTTATCATTGGCGATTCCAAATGTAGAGCCACAGTTGAAACCAATCCAACCCCACCACAACATGAACAACCCAAATAACATGCTTATTGGACTAGATTCTTCAAAGTCAGATTCTGGTCGACTGCCGTCGAAGCGACCACGTCGTGATCCAACGAACAATATAGCAACAAACCCGTTGACAGCACCATGCAAATGCACTGCTGCTCCGCCAGCAAAGTCATGAAAACCCAGATCCCCCAACCAACCACCCGGCGCCCAAACCCAATGGGCAACAAAGGAATATATGACGACGGCATAAAATGCGAATATGCAGTAGACTATAAAACGCATGCGCATGGCAATACAACCACTGACGATCGTCGCTGATGTCGCTGCAAACGACAGCTGAAACAGGTATCGAGCATACAGAATACCTGACTCCACAGCCACCTCGTCCCCCTCAGGAAAGAAATCTCCTAATCCCATGAAAAAGTTCGAAGGCTCTCCATATGCAACGCCAAATCCCACGCAGTAAAATGCAAGTGCACCGAATAAAATGTCAGCAACATTCTTCAGCATGGTATTGACTTCGTTTCCTGCCGTGCTGGCACCAATTTCCAGTAGACCAAAGCCCGATTGCATAGTCAGGATGACAAACGATGAAGTTAAAATCCAAGTTGCGTCATCTTTCCATTGCTCGTTGTATCTGTTGATGGAGAGAATGGCGTCGAGATCGTCACAGGAATTTCGAAAGGTGTCGCATGTGAATGTTTCTTCCATGGTATCCAGATTTTTTGTATGTGTTGCTTTCTCAAGTTCTTAGCAAGCGATAGTCTTGACACTTCTGGCTGATCAGTATTGGGATTGTTCTGATGCAGCGGGAATGATAGGAGTGAGGAGGTACGTGTCGTGGTGTGAATATTGGAAAATGCTGCTTTGAAAATGCCTAAAACTTCCGAAAGTTTACTGGTAACACAGGAAGAAGCATTGGGAGTTTTTATTGGTCCAAGTCGACATATTATCTGAAGTAGCGCCATAAACAAATAGAGAAGAAAATAGTCATAGTGACATTATCAATGTCAATTTATGACCAAGGGCGAAGGCCAATCGATCACACATGTTCGAAAATCTAAATATGTACTTTAGCTTATTGAGTGTGGCCATTGTCAACGAATAGCCAGGATAATGCTACAGCGTTCTTTCACTCATTTCCCATGAGTGGACGACTTGGTCAGCTATCGTCGGCGTCTTGGGAGTGTAAATAGTTTCTCCTGCATTTTCAATCGCGATTTCCCTGGCAGATTCTGGTGCTGATAAGGAGGCACCATCAGCCGTTTTGGAATCACCCGTATCATCCAAGGTCAATACGTGAGATTGATAGGGATTTGGTGCAGAGAGAAGAATGCTCCTGCGACTGTTGGTATTGTTGGTACCATATCGCTGATCTCGTGATTGCAGCGCTTTTGTAATCTCCTCGGTAATCTTGTCTGTCGGATCCTCAGTGCAGCCGTGTATGAAGCGGTCCATCTGAATAAATTCATGACGAAGCCCCTTGCGGGGGTTCTTCCAGTCTCGGCTGAAAAGAATACCAACAATGTAGAAAAATGGAGGCATTGTCAAAAGAGACCAACCAGAAATGGCAGCAAGTCCTATCAGCTGTCGACCCATCAGCTCAAAACCGTCGCCACGGAAGAGCCCCGAGACATCGAGGTCAAGACCTGGCAAGTTTTTATCGGCAAAAAGGCCAACAGCCATAACGCCCCACAGGCCACCGGCTGCATGGACTCCAATTGCACCTACGGGATCGTCAAGGCGTAGCCGCTGTTTGATCAAGTAGTCATTGGTCCAGTTGCAAAACAAAGATCCTATAGCTCCAATGGCGAGGGAGTCATAGGTATGGACACAGGCACAGGTCGGAGAACTCGCCACAAGAGCTCCCAAGATTCCATTCACCACGTCTGCGGGATGTATGTATTTCCCTCTGGAACGCACTTTGCTGTATATCATGGCAAACATGCCACCTGCAGCGGATGCATTGATCGTGTTGACGCCAGCACGGGCTGCGACCAGCCACTTGTCGTTGGTGATGCCAAAGGTGGAACCACAGTTGAAACCAATCCAACCCCACCATAACGTAAATAGACCAAACAACATACTTGTTGGACTGGATTCTTCAAAGTCAGATTCTGGTCGACTGCCGTCAAAGCGACCACGTCGGGGTCCCACAAACAAAATTGCTACAAGACCATTGACAGCGCCATGCAAATGAACCGCTGATCCTCCCGCAAAATCGTGGAATCCTCGTTGTAGCAGCCACCCATTGTCAGCCCAGACCCAATGAGCAACAAAGGAATAAATGACGACGGCATAGAAGGCAAATAGACAGTAGACTTCGAAGCGCATACGCATGGCAATGCAACCACTGACAATCGTAGCTGACGTAGCTGCAAACGACAGCTGAAACAGGTATCGTGAATACAGAATACCCGATTTCACTGCTGCATCTGTGTCACCATCTGGGAAGAAGTCTCCCAATCCCATGAACGAATTAGACGGGTCACCATACGCAATTCCGTATCCCACGCAGTAAAATGCCAGGGCACCAAACAGAATATCAGCGACATTCTTCAACATTGTATTCACTTCGTTTCCTGCGGAACTGGCTCCAATTTCCAATAAACCAAAGCCCGATTGCATCGTCAAGATGACAAAGGACGACGTCAGAATCCAGGTTGCATCATCTTTCCATGACTCGTTGTATCTGTTGATCGCTAGAATTGTGGCGAGATCAGGACAAGCTTCCCCAAGGGAGTCGCACGTGAATGTTTCTTCCATTTTTTTTACGGTATGTATTGCTTTCCCAAGTTAGGTTCACCCGGTAATAGCTAGAGATGGTCTTGGAGGTCTTCTTTGATCAAAGTTGGGATAGGTGCTTTGTGTTTGTTCTGATCGTAGGTACCTGGTACCAGGTATGGCGAAGTGCTTCTGGTTGTCGTTGGTTGAAGAAATGTTATGTTGAGTTTTTGAGTTTTGTACCTCCCTGCAGTACTTCAAATTGGCGGTTCGTTACTGCGTACAACCTGGTACTTCTTCTACAATTGCAAAAAGCTCCCGAAGTTTCAATGAGACTTCAGCGACACTTTCATTATCTTTTATGACCCTTGACTTAACGACATCGTTTTAGGGGAATCCAAAGAATTATGACGGATGATTTTTTTTAGAAACGTCATACCTTCGCTTGGAGGACCCGCCGGAGTCATTGTTCAGTCGAAGGATTGATTCGAAGGCTATACCGCAGTATCTTGCTACGCTACTATAATAGCTATGGTGTTGCACGAAGAATAAACAGTATACCCCAATACCAATAACAGAAACTGAACAGTAGACTTACGACCCTGCCTGCTACTATCACCTGAGGGAACAATCCCGAACCAATGACGAGGACGACGTTCGCTTCGTTTTGTGATAATAGCTACAATCAAATCGTTTCAATCATGATGATTGAGAAACTCCTTATTCGAATGCTTGGGAAGATATTTGTGTTGATGCAGTACGATGAAACAAAAGCCTAGAATGCTTGATTTGTGATTCTTTCCGATTCTCAAGCAACCGAGGACGAACAGCACATCTAGCTAGTATGCCAAAATGATAGGGTTCCATTGAGCTTGAATCGCGGGGGACGACGAGCACTGGATGTGGAATCTTCAAGACCGCTACCAAATCAACTACGGCTTTCAAGATCGTCGCTGGTGGAAGAAGCCAGAAGCAGCACAACCAGAAGTGGTAGTAGAATCGGCGAGGTTCGATGTTAGTATGTGCTGGTTACTGCGAGAGAAAATGCTCGATCAATTAGTATAGGCCAATTGAGCTTTCCGAATCGTATTCTAACAAGTGGCATTTCATGAATACTGGCAGCAGTCGATAGGGGATAGGGGACTATCGATATATCCCAAACTCTTTGCTTCCACGTGTAAACCAACAGAAAGGTCTTGCCTCCCTCCGGATGACCGATTTTTGAATTTTTGAATTTCTGATCCATGCAATGATGACAACGTTCCTTCCTCATCACTTTCCTTCCTACTACTCCCATTGAAGATAATCCCAAATGTACATCAGAAATGTTCCCTACACCAGTTCAAGGCACGTATTCCCATCACATGGACCAGAGGCAGACCTAATTTGTCGGCCAGTGACGGAATCTTCAAAAGACAAAAAGACGAAGGGTCCACTCTTTATCGATTGGAGTCAGATTCGAAGCATCGTTTTGGTAATGGTCTATCCCACTATTGTCATTATGGCGCTGAAATCAATGATCTACTTGGCGAAGTGTATTGAAGAAGATATCAAGAACACTGCAAGCCGACCATGAGCCTGCATGATCAAGTGCAACCGAAAGAAACGCTTAGCTTGCTTCGACCTCAAGATTGTTAGAATGAAGTGGTTTGGAGGGTCACTGTTTGCTTTGAGATCTTGTCCTACAGGCGGCGAGAAATATACAAATAACAGTGGCAACAAGGACAAATCTTTCCTTGCCTTTGGGATCGAGTTTGAAAGTAGGTAGTCGGGTTGCATTTCGATCCCTGCCTGTCACATGGCTGGGAACGCAAACTCTGGCCAAGTCGGATCGGTATGCAGCTGAATTTGACTTTTCACATTTTCATCGCAGTTATTTGATGAAATCTAGAGATGCTGAAGGGAAGTAAAAAGGTATATCCAGGTCAATCAATGAGGTGCCGTGAACAGAGATTGACAAATCTTTCAATGAAAGCAAGCTTCCTTTGTTCCTGAATTATTCAAAAGGCATGGCGGCTAGTGGTGGATCGGAACCAAACGACATCATATAATTTTGCTTTCAGAATATGAATTGACATCAGATCTGCTGCTGATCAAAAGCCATCATCGTTAGCATTGCAAAATTTCGCAAACATAGTGAAATGAAATAGCTTACCTATATATTATAAAATACAACTAGTAAATAGGATTGGCTGATGTTTTATTTTGCATCCATTGCTATTATTTTTTTAAACATTTATAGTCCATCTTCGAACTTATTGTTCCCATTCAAAGTTTGTATTATTGAAGCTCCGACGACTTTTGAGTGTCATCATCAATACTGTAGTATTTCGAGCACTGAGCTCCCACCTTGCTTCCACAATATCTGCACATCACCTTATTCCGAAGCCATCCATCCTACAGTATCCTCCTCTCATTTTCACTGATGATTTTATTTGTATGTCCTCCTTAACTTACGCGACCACCTACTGCAATGTTTTGGTGCAGCAGTACCCCTGTAGGCCAACTCCCAAAGATCGAGTTGGCCTCCTTGATGTTGCAGGAGGGTCAAACGGTAGAGGTAGATGAACATAATGAGTCAGTCGCTTTTCAAAAGCTCTCATTTTTAGAAGGATCCGTAGTATCCTTCAGAAAGGAAATGTTGGCGAATAGGCTGCAAAGGTCCACGATGGAAGGGTCCTTAGACTTGTCGCAACTGGCTTGATACCTAGCATAAGCATCCGCAGAACGGAGTATGACCGATGGTGTCATTTTCTTTCTCAAATCAGTCATGGACAAACAGGGTGTCTCCAAGACAATGGATAAATCTTCCATGGAAACGAGCCCTCGATCGATGACACTGCTGGCATAAATCATAGTCACAGCGGCGACGAGGAGGGCAATGACAATGGCTCCAAAAGCGGTCGAGTCCAATACCTCCATTGCAATCAATTGAGCGTCCTCAAGGGATAGCAACGGTGGAACTGGTGCTGGGACGAATGGTTCCATGGTGGTGTAGGATAACACTCCGTCGAAAACATCTCTGACAATGAATTCATGGTCAAAGCTTAGCCAAGCTGGAGCTGCAGCAAGCAGGTCAGTGGCAACATATTCTAGCTCCTTGTAGACTCGTTGGTACTTGACTCGGAACTCTTGGTTGTATGCTTCGAGCTTCTGGATGAAGAGTCCGATCTTGAAAAACATGGCAGTAGACACTTCTCGGGTGTATGCTTCGTACTGCTCATTTAAGAGTTCTGCCAAAGACATGGCGGACTCGTAGTCAATGGATTGGTGGAATGCTTCGTACTCGAAGATGGCAGACATGGCATCAGTGAATGCTTGGGTGAAGGCTTCGTACTTCTCGTTGAGGTCTTGTGCGAAAGTCTTGATCGATTCGTAGTTGATCGATTGCTTGTATGCGTTGTACTCCATGCTGAACAACTCGAAGATGGCATACATGGCATCAGTGAATGCTTCGGCGAAGGCTTCGTACTTTTTGCTGAAGTCTTGTGCGAAAGCCTTCACCGATTCGTAGTCAATAGACATGATAAACTCCGCAAGGGAGAAAGAAGGAACACCAGTGGATTCCATTTCCACGGTGGTTCCAACAAAGTCGACAGTGGAAACAATGTTTTCGTTGGCCAAACTGTAGACTTGAATGGATGGACGAGTGTAGTTTGCACTCATCAAGGAAGGCATGGCCATCGGCTGCATGGCCAAAAGAAGAAAGATCATGATGATGGATCGAAGAGACAACATGGTGGAAAATGTTTTGTTGTTGTTGTTGTTGTTGTTGTTGTTGTTGTTTCAAAAGGTTATGAAAGAAAGGACTGAGTCGATGCAATTGATCGAATGTCAAAAATATGAGCAGATTCTGTTGTGAAATGAAGTTGCTCTGCTGAAGCAAGAAACGTCTCGACTTTGGAAAGATGTACCAAGCTCAGTAGAAACTCTAGTGTCGACAACCGTTTCAAACTGAATCGAAAGTTGTGAGCATAGTTTTTTTCCACGGTTTCGGCTCAACGGCAACGTGTGTTCCAAACCGATTTGCTCTTCCGTCTTCACGGTTAATGGTGAAAGAAGTATTGGTGCCTAGCATATCATGGATTTTGGTCTTCATGGTCGCATTGTTAGTTTTCGCGCCATGGCTGTAGTCATTCTTATCGCCATTGTCTTGTATCAAAAGGTTTCAACGAGCTGTGAAAAAACGTGATTTTTTGCCATTTTCATTTGACATTCACATTGCACGCGCGGCGCGTCACGCACGTCGATGCGACACGAAAATCGATACGAAATAAATTGAGAATATACAGTAGCTTAATTTCTGACACCACCAAATCGTGGTGCTGTGGTAATACTGTCGTTCTGTTTTCAAATGCACACTAGAGGCCACTTTGCAGATTCATACTGTACGATACGGTATACCTGGTCAAACAATTTGCTCCTACTGTCAACACACTGTCAACACACTGTCAACACACTGTCAACACACAGAACTTGAAAATGCTAGAAGTCGATTTCCACAATAACAAAGAGCGTTTGATAGGAAGCATGGTTGGGGAGACAGAGCTCCCAGATCGAGTCTCGGAAATCAAGATTCATGGCTCACGGCTCACATGATGTGAACTATAATCATGGACTTCAAGCCCTGTTGAAAATGATGAAACCTTCTGAAGGAAAGATTGGCATGGTGTCCATAGACGGTATTCAGGAGGTGTCACCAGAAATAATGACCTTCCTAACATATTGATTGCGACCAAGACGAGTCAGTCAGTTATCGTTGATCAATTGCAAGCTCGGCGATTCTGGATTTGCATGTTTGATGTCAGGAGTGCTCCAACCGAACGGATTGAGAAAGCTCTACTTGACGAACTGGCACCATCTCTCCAGAATTACAAAGCACCAAGCAACACTGTTATTTGAGGCAATCGCATCATCGTCCGCGCTTGAGACTTTGTTGTTCAATGCCAATAATGTCGATGAGTTGGATGAAGTTGGTCAGATCCTCGTGAATTGGTTGCGGCGCAATCGCAGTCTGACGGATGTCGCTCTCGGAATGAATT